CGTTCTGTGAGTCTTGTGGGTAGTCGGCGGGGGGGCGTTCCGGATTCTGTTGTCCGCTTCGTCCTCCTGGAGGTAGGTCGTTATTGTATGACCTAGCTCGTTCACGCCGATAGTCGGAGTCGCTTATCGTCAAGCGGCCGAAGTCATCCATGTTGGGATGTGAGCTTGTTCGCTCTCCCAGTCGCCGTCCTGCGCCCCATTGATTAGGCGCTGGTCCATTCGGGTGGGACGTGGTGGGCGCTGGCGCATGCATCGATGTGTGTGTTGCGTACGTGGTACTAGTGTAGGTACCTGACGTGGCCGTCGTCGTTGTCGGCACGTTTGACGTTGGCACATGTGGTGCCGCAGTCGACGTATTCCGTTCCGGTTCTGGACGGTGGGGCAGAGGCTGTTGCTGCGGAGGAGTTCCGATGAGCGGGTTAGTTGTTACCACACCCACGAAGAAGTTCTGTTCCTTCTTCTCCTCTTTGGGTTTGATGTCCCACAGGATATCTCGAACTGTTTGCGACGGTTCAAAGTGGAAATCCGTTGCCATCGAAGTCCTGTAGGATGGAGGCTCCGTCCTGGATTGTTCCAGGTGTTTCGTTTCCTCCTGGAGACAGCGTACCTCCGTATCCAAGTCATCGGTATACGTGGTCATTTCGTCGATATATCGATTTAAGTCATCGATATATTTATCCGCGTCCAGCCCGTAGTTGTACAGGTCGTTTTCGCGGACTTCCAAGTGTGCGATGCGGTTCTGTTGCGCTTCGTACACCTTCTGGGCTTCTGCCAGGCTGTGTTCCAGCTGTGCTCGGAGTCTTTGTTCTTCCTTCAGCACATCATTTAGTCCGTGGACCTGGTCGGCCAATTGGGCGTTCGCTTGTTCCAGGTCGGTGATGGCTCTGCTTCGGTCGGGTGAGGCAGGTTGCTGGCCGTAGTGAGCCATTAGCTGTCGTCCTGCCCTGACCAGGAGAGTTTCCATCTCCCTTTCGAGTTGTTCGATTCGATATTTCTGCCGGTCGACCTCGTCGTCGGCCTGCTTGAGTTCGACAATGTATCTGTCGACCTCGTTCCGGTACACTTCGGCCTCTTCATTGGCCTGCTTCAACTGTTGGTGGAACGTCCCTGCTGCCAGTTCCGATTCGACCAAGGCTGTTTGTGTGTCAGCCAGGTCTTTTTCCACGGTGGCAAGGCGTCTCTTCAGTTCGAAGACCGATTCCACTGACGTTGCAAGTGTAATTCGGAGTCGTTCGATCTCTTCGAAGTCGTACCGACATGGATTGTCGGACCTCTTGAGGTGACTCTCCAAGTGTTCAATGCGGCGCTGTTGCGCAGCTATGCCATTGTTGGCCTCGGCTAGTTCCTTCTCCCATCGCTTCCGTTCGAGCTTATGGGTGTCCTCCGATCGCGACATCTGATTTTCCGTGGAGTTAACGATTTGGTCGGCCAGGACGATTTGTGTTATCAAATCCTGGCATCGTTTCCGGAGTCGATCGATGTCTTCGATCTTTTCTGGAGGTGTGGATGCAATCCACTTCCGTGCCGTGTACTCAAGCGTGCTTGCTTGGTACCTGTGGTTACCCAAGTGGGGTGCCACTGGCGTTCGGAAAAATCCATCCCTACTGCTGGGACGTGACACTTGTGTCGTGTCGAATACGTCGTCCGTGGGTGGTGGAGTTCCACTACCCGAGTCGCCAAGTTCGAACATAAGTGGCGACCTCTTCTTTAGGTCGACAGGTCGACTTGTTGGCGACTTCACCTCCGGTTGAGTTTCTGTTGCTCGGGTCGACCTTCCTTCCGTTGGCGAAGGTCGACTTAGCGGTGAAATAGCCTTTTCGTTAGGCATCGGTATGTTGGTTGGTGATCCAGCCGGGTGGGGTCCGCTTCGTGGCGGGGCCTCAGTTTCTCCCGTTTTGGCCGGTAGTTTAGGCCACTGGATGTCCATTTCCGACCTTGTATCGACTGGCTTCTTTTCCAGGGAGGTCGGTTGTACTTGACCGACTTGCTGTTGTCCGACCTTTGAGGTCGGTGGAAGTTGCCCGACCTCAGTTCCGACTTGTGTTGTCGAACGAGGTCCGACCTGGTTGGTCGGTGGACTTCCATCCTTCTTGGTCGGCGAAATCCTCCCGACTTCTGTTGTCGGTTGGACTTTGCCAACTTCCTTGTTTGATGATTGCTGTGGTCGTCCGACCTCAATTCCGACTTGTGTTGTCGGGCGAGGTCCGACCTCCAGTTGAGAATAACCGACCTCTGGGGTCGGTTTCCGTTGACCGTCCTTAGAGGTTGGTGAAGCCCTACCGACTTCTGTGGTCGGTTGGACTTGACCGATTTCCGTTATCGGTTGTTTCACTCCGACCTTCGAGGTCGGTGAAGTCGCTCTACCCGAGTTGGGCGAGGTCGACCTTTTCGCTTCATCCGTCTGGTTGGGTGATTGCCGTCCAGAGTCGGTGACCTTCGTAGTCGTTACCGGCTCCTGAGCTTTCTGTGAGCTCAGTTGAAGTCCTTCTGTTGGGTCCGTAGAGGTCGGTGCCCCATGTGGGTGTTCCGCCTCGGCATGAGACAATGTGATCTCAGCCTGCAGCTTCTCCAGTTCCCCCCCGGTCGGGTGGGACGGGGCTGCTAAGTCAGCTCTGGGCTCAAGGAACGTCTTGTCGTGAGCGTCCTCGAAGCTGTCGTCCGACGTTGGGTTGGAATCGGCGAGGAGGATCCGCTCGTTGCGCTTCTCCCTTGCCTCCGCCGACTTCGTCGAGTCTGTTGACGATGGCTGACTTCTATCCTGACCGGAGTGCCGTAGTGCATACGGCGCGTTGGAGGTCAGGCGCCGCGAATAGTCCGTGTTGAACTTTCGGGCGTATTCGTTTTCCTTCGGGTTCGACATTGTTGTCGGGTCAGGTCGGTTCAAGTGGAACCAACGAGAGACTTGTACTGTTGTACAGTAATTTGAACAATCCCTTATGTGGGGATGTTCAATGAAATCAGGAACGTCTTTGGGTTCAGGAACTTCCGAGGGTCAGGATGGTCCGACTTGTTGTTGTTGTTGTTGTGTTGATGTGTCTGTGTATGACTCAGTACACAACGTTACGATACAGTACTATGGTACAGTGCAGTATGATAAGGTACTACAGTAGAGTACGTCCTATACTACTGTGCTGACCAGTATGACGTCACAGGGCTAAGTGGTCTTGCACTTCACTGCCTACGTCACAGAATGCGAGCCGCGTGCAAAATTTAAAAAATGATGATTCACGCCTATGTTAAGCGTATGGGAAGTTTCCCATACGCTTAACATAGGCGCTGATTGGCTAGCCTCAAAGTACTGAAAATCGGGCGTTCTGACGTCACAAGGAAATTCAAGAATTTTCACGCTTATTTTCGCGGAAAAACAAGAATATTTTTAGGTCGATCAGAGATGTTTTCTGGTCGAAATTTTAATTTTTAACCGTTAGAAATAATTTCTAGGTTCTTTAGAAATTTTTCTGACGGTGAAAAGTCCGTCGAATCAACAAAGAAAGAGTATGACCGACCTGTGGTCAGTTACACAGAGTGGTCCGTTAGGTCGGTAAAGTAACTTTTTTAGGTCGGTTTCTCCGACAAAAATTAAGTTTTTACCGTAGAAAAATTATTTCTAGTTCTTAGAAATAAATTTCAGCCGTTAGGAATTAAAAGTTATAGCTAGAATCGACCTGTGTCGACCTGTAACCGGGACTTTACCGTATGTTACTGTAGAGTCCGTGGAGGTCGGTGATCCGCCGTTGGGAGGTCGATTTCCGTTAGAGTTGCGGGTCGCCGTTCAAGGCGAAGGTCCCCGATTGTTGAGAGGCTCCTTCTGGGCGCTGCAGGCTACTGTCCGAGCCTGATCCGTCAGTTGGGATTGGGGAAGTTCCCGTTCGTCCGTCTGGGGCAGTCAGCCGAAGTGCTCTCCTTGTGTGGAAGAGCCGAAAGATAGGGCAAGCGAAGGTGGCAGGGATCGCTTTTGCGATCAACCTGTTGCTACCACAGTCGCTAGACAGCAAAGACCAGGTTGAAGCAGAGGCTGCGTTCGCAGTCAATCTGACTTTCAACCACGGGTTCTCCGAAGTTCTCCGCGAAATTATGCCTTTACCGTCTCCTCAAAGGCGCAGTCAATCTGACTTTCAACCACGGGTTCTCCGAAGTTCTCCGCGAAATTATGCCTTTACCGTCTCCTCAAAGGATCCGGTAGAACGAAAAACCAGACGATCTGCTTACCATGTGACAGGCAAGCACAGAGAGCTCACAGATGACTTTATTGTACAAATAAAGTGGAGCAAATGCCGCGTGAATGCGGGGAAAAACACAACAAAGGCCAGTGTCTGGCAGAAATCAGCAAGTCAAGTTGCTGCGAGCTAGTTCTAGAGCGTAATAAAATGTAGAGAAAGAAATGTGCTGGCGGCAACGGCGTCACGCTGTCCAGACACATGGAATGTGAGTGCGCAGACTGGACTCGTATCCAACGCGAGCGTATATGCGCTGAGTCATACAGCGAGAGAGAGGAGCGAGAGAGCAAGTATGCTCAGTGAGTGCGCCCGCGGTGTATCCGCATAGGCGGAGAGTGCAGTGCAGCCACTCACGTACGTACAAGAGAGGGCGAATCAGCATGTGTGCAGTGATACGCATACGCAAAGTGGCGTATCTATCACGCAGGCTGTCGTGCCTCTAACAAAACTAATATCCTTGAATAATGCACACGGAAAAACCTTACACCTCAGTGACCTCACTTTCCTCTGACCTAACTTTACGTTTACAAATCTGCGTAAACGTCAATTATGAAACATCAATTTTCATTCTTCAGTACTGCATTCCAGTATAACTGCAATAAAGAATTCCAGTATAACTGCTTCTGCTTTCTTGCGAAGAATGGACGCAGAATGGTTTCAAAGTGTTTGCCACGAAAATTTGTGTACATACCATTTACGATTCCAAACAGACATCAAACCGCCTTTGTAGATATATCATATTTCAAGAATCTGAAGTGGTTACAAATTTTTCTTTTACACCAGGTCGGAATCTTATCGGCGCGAACAGTTTAAGTCTCGTTCCGGTCTGCCAATGCTCGCCAACGTGCACGCCGAAGATATGGTTCGACCAGACTTCCAGTTGATCTGAACGAGAAGATGTGTTTATTGTTTAACGGAAGAGCATATGGCCACTTTCTACAAGCTTGCAGGTCAGTTGTAAGCCGCTTTATCATTTTGCATTTTGCAACTACTAGAAGAATGCACGTTGGCGAGCATTGGCAGACCGGAGCGATGCTTAAACTATTTTACGCTGCGGCTGGCCTATGCAAGTCCCAACAAGATGTACCACATAATGAAGGTACAGTAAAAGAACATCTTGTAAATAACTGCTCCAAAGTTATTGTGCTACAGGGTTACTCAATTTATACGTAACATACCGTAACTCAACATACAGCCTGGCCACGCCAAGTTCGGACAGTTATGCCAAATAAATTAGGAAGTATTTCCGTGAGTCGTTTTGCTTTTAGTTTTGCAGTTTTCTAGTGTAACTTTTTCTTGCGGATCTGGTACCCTTAAAAAATTTAAATTTTAATTGGTCGGTAGCGAGCTGAGCTACGATTTAAGGGATAGGGTAGTGGTCATTTCTGGAAGGCTTATACCTAGCTCCTTGAGAAATCTACCATCTGATATTTTTTTGTGAACTTTTATGAAAAGTATTGCGGGACCTGAAGGAATCCCTTTCGGGGTGGCATTGAGGTCTTTGGCGATTGGGGCTCGCGGTGACCTCGAAAGATAACTTTTCACCCGTAGACTTGTATGCTAAACGACACCTGCCGAATATTACGGTTGCTTAGCTGCCCAGACCTACCAACATTGAAATGATAATTTCTATGAGTGGCACACGGACCACACCAAACGATTTTAATGTTACGACAGATGTCCACTGCAAAGTCGGGAAGATATTAGTGCCAAACAAATGGCAGAAAAACCCGACAAAGCTGGAACAAAAAAAAGTTATGGCTGTAGTTTGAATTTCTCGTGACAGAACGTAGCGAGCTTTTTCTGAGAACGAAGATGCTTAAACTGACGCACAGTGCCTCTTGTCCGAGATCCAACTAAAAATAACTACTTCTGACACCTGGTGGCTGTGCGGCGAGTCGGCAAAGGAAGCAATCCTATGATTCATTAGCGCTCGCAGTCGCACTACAAAGGTCACGTAGGCTTGCTCAAATCGGTAAGTTTCTTAGATAATCCTAAAGGGCATTGAATGGTCAACATCATGAAACAATCGTTTTTCGATTACATCATCAACAGCAATTTTAATAAAATTTTAAATGAGCCAAAGGATATCGCGGTAGATGGGTCCATCCGCTTTTTTAGACCGGCTTGGTTCGGATTTAATCTCACCGTAAATCAGAACAAGCTCTTATTCTGAAAAGTTCAACTGCAAAAGATGTGTGACACATGAGGGAATCAGGAAAAAAAATTAAATAAGTTCATATTGTTTGGCGGATGACTTGTAACAATTTTTTTAAAAAAACTGTCCGAACTTAGCGTGGCCAGGCTGTATTTACGTAACATACTGTATCGTAACTTATTGAACCCTTAGGGTTACGTTATCTGCATGAGGGAACTGCGGAGATAGGACAGTGGAAGAGCTTTTGTTCGAGCTGTTTAGCGAGTTAGTTGGAAAAGCCGCGCGGGCATTTATCGAATGTTGGATAAAACCGATTGCGACCTTCAGAGATGTGAAAGTGATTTTTGGAAAAATAATTTTAAAATTAATAAAGGTAGAATCGTATTTTCAATCATCAGAACACAGTTAAATGTATTTCGCTCTCGATATGAGAGAAGAAGGCTATCAAAATACCACGGAAGCGGTCAAATGGGATCCGCTTTGTAGAAATAACGGGAAAATACAGTAAATAATCGGTAAAGGTTGCAGACCGGGAGTCCGGGACTGACCATTGCAGATAGCAATTCAAAAACAGATGCTCTGGCATGCATGTTGCAAGACTGGCAAAAATGACCCAAACCAACCACCTTAGGTAGTGTTCCATGTGGAGCACCCTTACTTTTTGCCTAAAGTTTGACTGTTTTCTAAACTTTTTAGTTTGGTACTTTATTTTACGCTTGAAGACGTATGAAAGATGACAAATTGAGCAGTTCATGTTAAGCCGCCCTTGATGCCCCCGTATTGTGGCCATTATAGCGAATATGTTATTGTTCCTCTGCGAAATTAAGAATGGCTTTTCAGCCCAATGTTCCGGTTCGGCGGTTGCGTTCGTGCGGTTGATGTAAACTTTAAAAACTCTAGCTTTCAGTCGCTAACTGAACCGTCTAAACGGTATTGAACGCAGTCTCTAAACCAAAGGCGAGCATTACCTTCGGGCTACGAAACCGGTGGCTAAGTTTGCAAAAATGCAGTACCATCCCGGCATCTCGACTGGGGCGGAGGGAGTGGGATACAGAAAAATCTTCCTTGAGGATATTTTTGCCGGAAGCCATCATTGCCGGTCACTCGTGTGCATTGCGCTGTTTGATGGTATGTATTTGTACGTTGAAATGTTCTGCGCTATGTTCTGTTCTACGTAATATACACCAGCTGAGGTGACGTCATAGCGGTCAGCAGCGTGACTTCATAGCGTTACTTTAGTAACAAGCTTCCGTAACAAACTTCCGTAACGAGCTCCGTAACGGATAGAAATCAACGAATGCATTAGTTTTGAATATGAGGACCTCCTCTACGCCCTACGTGGTCGATTATGGCCGGAATGTTACTTATCTAGTATGTCATGGCGGCGGTACTAAAGAGATTAGTATTTATATTAGTACTGCCATGATTATGTCTATATATCCAAATGTTTGCGGTCTGTCTAAACATGAGCGTTTTATTAGTGACTCTATGAATAACGAATGTCTAAGATCTTTTTCACTCATTGATTCCTTTTTGGGTGATGTAGTAATTTACTTTTGACTTGAATTCGAATGTTGGTATGCTTTTGCAGTACAACGTTAACCAGAGTGGATATTACGGTCGCGGTGCTGAATACTTGGGGCAAAGCGGCTACGCAGCAACCAGTAGTGGTGCCATGCTGCGCTTATTGAGCTTTTTCTCAGCATCCTGCACAATGGGAGTAACAACGGAATCTTAGATAGAGATGACAAGCACGACTTGGACGATCATCCCAGGCCACAGTCGGACGCTCAAACCAGCCTCAACGAGAACAATAACGGGCTGGCTTCGTCCGATCAACCGGCGATTGATACGGGCGAAACATTCCAGTTCCCAGCTCAAATGCCCACTGCCGATCCCATGGGAAGTGACTACAGACAGTCAAGACAAAGTCCTGGAACATGACAAGAGCAACACGATCAGCGATCCGATAATGCGCACTACGAATCTCGCTTGCCCTCTAAAAGGGTCAGAGACAACCCAGGAAGTCCTAATGGTTCTTATAATACATAATTTTTACAAGCGATTGACCACTGAAAATGTTTCGGCAATTTGAACGAAGAGGCGTTATAGCGATGTTTATTGTTCACTATTTACGCAATAACGGTAAACTGGTATACTTTTGTTTTGCTATATTTATTTTTTTTTAGCGATAAGCGTTCTTGCCAGTTTTGTAGTCGCGTTGTCAGTAACTTATGCCGAACTACTGCTGCTAACGGTGCGCCGAACTGCTGCTAATTACGATTAACGGCAAATCAAATAAACAGAGAAAGCTTTAAACAATCACCGCATAGTTCATACGGAATTGTGTATTGCATATCTGCACTTATTAGATTGTATACCGTAACAACGACGATACACATCTGCAGTAAATCAGTAAGCATTTGCATTGTAACAGCGTACTGCCAAAACTTTACGGGAATTCACCGAATAGTTCCAAGTGAATATTTTCAGGATAATGAATTAACACAGCCAATTGGTACATTTTCAATAAAGAAACGCGTGATCAAAGTGAAACAATCTAAAACACACGCGACGCACGAACGGCACAATTAAGAACAGTGTTCCACTCTGCAGTACATACACCATCAGTTAAATTAACCGTTCAAATAAAACTAAGCATAAAATGTCCGTGAGATCCTTTGCTCAAATCATGGCGTGAAATTAGCCATAAAATTTGTCACAACCTGCTTAAGCTTGGCATCCGTTGCCTCCGTAAGTTTGCCTTCATCGCGAATATTCTTAAGTAGATCCTGCTGATCTTGTCTAATATGCTGTAAAAATGCTGCTTCGAATTGGGTGATTTTCGATGGCTCCAGTTTGTCCAGGAAACCACGGACACCGGCGTAGATAACCGCGACCTGCTCTTCGATGGTCATCGGAACCCACGCCGAAGCGTTCAACTGACTTGACCGCTCCTTAAAAATAGATGTACGACAACATACTTTCACTTTTCACTTCCAGTACACATTCAGCATTACATTCTTACCATGCCATCAACAGGATTTCCCAGGGCATTCACGACGCGGCCCAAAAATCCTTCTCGGACAGGGATATCCACGATGACACCAGTTCGCTTGACGATGCCGCCTTTGATCCGTTTGTCGTTACCGAAGACGACAACACCGACGTTGTCGGCCTCCAAGTTTAGAGGCATACTCGTAACCTACAAAATGCACGACACATTTACCGAGGGATTTGTTCTTATCATGCAGAAAAATTCATATTAACCTTTAACCCACTGGACAATTTCACCATTTCCTCAGCTTGGATGTTTTTCAGACCATACACACGGGTGATACCGTCACCACTGGACAGCACTGGGCCTGTTTCCTCGAAGTCGATCTTCGGAGCAGCACTCAGACTGCATTCGTCCCGAGTTGGAACTGCCTCAGTAGAAAACGCTATAAGTCATTTATTAAAAGACACACTCAAGAGTAAGTACACGCAATCACGCATATTGAATCTGAAACAAAAAACGAAGCGGTATAGGCTATTACAGAGAATAAGAATAACATCGACAATAGTGTAGCCTGCTGCCTAACAATAAGTGTGCCCGACTCACCGGAGATGTCTGGTGTCATCTTGGCATGAGTGCGATGGACATCCTGATTATCCACAAAACATTTTTCATCGGGGTTAGCAAAAAGGTGCTCCATTTCTCCTTTAAAATGATCCTCCACACCAGAATCCCGAATCAAGACAGCCCCATGGTAGATGTTGTACTTATAATTTCGATGACAGCAGAAAGCCTCAATCACACTGATCTTTTCCGGTGTCAGTCTCCTGGAGTCTATGTATATGATACCACCCACCAATCGCAGAACATGGATTCTTTCACTAGTATCGAAGTAAATCTCCGCGATTAAAGTATGCAGATTATGAAATGTTTGTTCTGAAATAAATTTGTTGCCATCGTCGTCGTAAATCGTAAGGAGCTCTTTGAGTTTGAAAGATTCGTCATCTTTCAGGTGCTTCCAGTATCGCGCTCGTCGTGTCTCGGCAGCAGCCTTTATGCGCACCGCAGGCGGCAGCAGTTCTAAGAAATAAAGCCAACAATAACAGTGACGAAACACACAACGCACTTCAACGACTTCATTTATATATTAAGGCTTAAATTGTTCTGGGAAAAACTGCCGCCCTCTTTTACGAACGAATTCGTTTGACAGACCTTTTGGGAACTCTTTCCCTGTGTCTTCATAAGCTTTGGTCATGAACGATTCAACTGCTTCAACTAGTCCACGAATTTGCAGATCATAGCTCATATCGAGAATCACCAAATGCTGTTTCCGTTGTTGTCGGTAACTCTCAAATGCCAACTCTCTGATTGTGTTCCGGTGAGATCTCGCCATAATTCTTATTTCCAGCTCTTTGTTGTGCAAGGCTCTTTTCGAATTATTTTTTGGGTGTTCAGTGCGTTGGGCAGGAAAATCAATTGAACTGGTATGGAAGTAGTGTTGGGTTTTACAAACCTGCAGACGACACCAGAGGGTGTAGAGGAATCAGTATTAGTAAGCATATCACGCAATTACATATAATCACATTTGTTTATCATCAAAAACTGCCGCGCGTGAACGCACTCGAAAAGACAACTAACGCACGTCGTCCAGAGTTTGCTATAATAAACTGGGAGCGATCCGAAAACGCTTCTGGATATTAGTCGCTCGGTTGCTGCTTACCTTTGAGACATGCTCACATTTTTTTTTCGAAAGGGGTATGAATTTATTGGTTTGCTTATCGTTCAGCAGTTTTAAACATCAACATCATAAAACAAAGTAAACAGCGTTAAAACCGTCAGAACGCGGTACAGTAGAAGTCACGGACAGCGCATTCCACCGCTGTATTTCAATGCTAATACGCTGTAGCAGAAACTCGTAAGAGCGTCGTTCTCCCGTAGCATCCTTTAACCGCCTGCCCAATTCTCGCAAAAACTTAAGACATGAAGGGCTAGCGACGCCAAAAGTTTCAAAAGCCAATGCAACAAAATAGTACTCAGGTGCTAAATATTCGTATTTCCGCCGCTTCTGGTCTTCTGCTTTTCGGGCCGCTTCTCCAGCCTTGACGCTGCTGCTAATAACGTTGGATAATGCGACGGTATCCACACACGTCACGTCCCAGGCTAGCCGTAAACCGTTCTTCCAAGGCAACTGCGACACACCGTCCGGACGGCGATCATCTTCGTCATTAGTTCCAAGCGGCTCCAGTACAGCCGGCGTTTTAGCGGTGACCAGACTTCTACGAATCAGTTCGTTCAAGGCGGTGTGGCGAAGAAAACGCCCAGCGCTCTTTTTGCAGGATAAGCCGTGGTGGCCGTATTCGTCCACGGGCAGACGGCAGTCCGTGCAAAGATGGGGACGGCATATAGCTGCGCCGATTCGGAGACCGACTGCTACGCGAAAGCTCTCGTCCGACATCAGGGTTCCGAGGGAAGGTACAGGCAGAGCGTTCAGCCATTTGCCAGATTCCGACTCTGCAACAGCAAGCAAACGCGCACAGTGAGTGACATCACTAGACAACGCTTCTCTAATGATTCTACAAGTTTTTTGTACCAGAGCTACATCCCACACTTTTTGTACACGCCGAAGATTTTCCGGTGGTAGCTCGGTACCCGTAGCTGTTTGCCACAACTGATGCACCAAGTCAAGGCTCTCCGTACCAGAGGCAATGATCGAGACCAGAGGCGCTGTGGCATGCTCACATAACCGCCTAACAAAAATATCGACAATACGTTCACAAATCACTGCCATTCTAGAATTCGCTCAGCGTGACGCCTCAAGCTTTGAACAACGTTTTATCATAATTTTGATCGCTTCAAGGTGTATCCTGAAATGAAGGTGTATCCTGAAACAATCCGAACAAATTGACTGCCGGATGGCGAAACTTGCCAGTACTAGTACAGCAAACGAATCCCCGCGCAAATTATGGGTTCAATCCGTCACACTGTGCGGTTAGCATTCTACTGCCGTAGTTTACGCGTACACCGCCCTTGACCGCCGTACAGTGGCGTAGAGGCTAGTAACAAAACTCACAAGTCACAACCACTTTTGTATTAAAATTACAATAACAATAATAAATTATTAACTGCAATTATTATTATTATTTAATTACAATTATAATCACAACAGGCATTACAATAATTATTGCTATGAAGTTAATATCTAATCAAGAGCAGACACCTACATATTGTTTGAAGAAAATTCGACATGCAATAATTCCAATACAGCACACATGCACAATATTAAAACATCCATTTTTGATTTTGGGGCACACCTCAACATAATTATATTGTCCATCAGCTGCCAAACGAAAATGCATGATTCATGGCTTTGTTGACTCAGACGCAATTAGGTGCAGCTGTTGGAACTTTTTGAGTTTGCCATTTGTCAGAGATTATTGTGACTTGTTACAACAGTTGCCCTTTGTATTCAAGAGTAGCCTTTTAACAGAGTAGCAGCCTCTACAGGAAAACTACAGTCGTGTTATCAGTGTCAGGAAACAAATACCAAAACATTTTCAGGGTAATGATTCGCTTACACGGTCCGTGACATTGATGTGACGATTCTCAAAGCAATATCGTCGCAGCTGGAAGCAGCGCAGAACCGTTTCACCAGCGGAAGGCCGAAGCTTGACCATTTGCTTCGCGGTGGCTTACCGCATGAACACATCCTAGAAGTGTGGACCGGCCGGAGCTGGAAAAACTCACAATCAGTTACGTTTGCAGTTATTCTTGGTGCTCCAGTTGGCCAAAGTTTCGGGGGGATTGGAAGGGGGTTAGTAATTAGTACGTCAATTGAATAAATTGATGGTTTTACGAAACGAATTTTTGGTTTTACGAAACGAAATTTTTGGTTTTACGATAAATTACGTAGCATACAGATGATAAGCTGCTAACAGAGCATTCCTTTTTTATCACACCAAATAATTACTCCTGAAAATGTCATTGTACGAAATTTTGTTTTTTTCAACTTATTAAGTCTCGCTATAATATTGTTATTTTTTGTTAATTCTGTAGCATTATTTTTAAAATAAAACCAACAAAAGAGATAATTTGTTTGATTTCCATTTGCTTTAGACATTGAATATTTTTGTCAATATTTTGTATTTTTTGGTTGTGCTACATTGCATTGCTTTGCGACTTTTACCTGTTTAAAGGTTACTTGATTAATTAAAAAATTAAAACTGTATTTCTGTCAGATTTTTCGGTTTTGTTTATCGAATTTTAAAAAGTTTTTGTTACTTGCAGTACTCTGCTTTCCAGACTGCTGTATATACAGTTGTATTTACCGAGAATGGCTTTCCCAGCAGGCATTTGAAGCCGTTATCCAATTATTACGCAAAACATGCTGGAATTGACGCAAGTTATTCTGCGATTTCCCTGGATCATGTTTTTGTCGAGACACGCAACAGTTTTGTATGCCTTTTTTAGCGTTTTCTCGTAAAAGCACTTTAAACAGCTTTCGGTTATGTATTTTCTTTCCAGGATAAGCTGGAGGCGTTCTTGACAATCCGAATTCACAGCCTACTCGTATCACCAACACATTTCGTTATATTGACACAGAGGACGTCCAGATCTGAGATCCCGCAGCGGGCTAGAGCGTTAGTACAGACTACAGAGCATTGGAACGCTACTGATTGGTCTGCAAAATACCTATGGAGTCAGCATAGTTTGCGCAAACCAGGTAAGTACGTCCGTGTTATCTTCATCCGCTATGTGATGCTTTAAATTAAAACTTTTTTTGAGATAAAATATTTTCAAAGCATAAAATTAATTACACCTAATATAGAGATTCACATATTTGTCTGCTACGAAAACTGCGCGAATTTGTGACGGCTGATTGGGTGCCTTGTAAATGTCGTCTGCGGTCAGTGCGGTGTAGAGTGTGCGGTGAATTCATTGTTTTGTGTGTCCTCGGAGCAAATGGTATGTTTTTCTCACAGTAATGCATTCATTCGCTTGACTTGGAATATGGTATTAAGGTTTTGATTGTTATACATGTGTCGAGTAAAATTGATAATAGGAGCAAACTGATCATCATATTGGAGTACATTACAACAATCCTTCGTACTTAAAATGGCGAATCATATTAGCTATGGTTTTTTTAGTTTGTACTTTTATGAATGAGATCAGTTCAACAAGAAATAACATATATCGTATACACCATGCTGCAGCCAGACTTCACCATATTGTGAATTCAACATCTGACCCCATCAGTTGCATGCAGTTCATAATGCGATTAGCTGCTTTTTTCATGCATAAAAAGGTGCAGCGTGCAGTATACGAAACTATAGGTTAATCAATATTTCAAATACATATTGTATTACACGAGGGAGGACCTGCGCACAGCGTGGTAAGAAATTATAGCATTCGGCGAATCGTTTCGCATGCATTAGAGCATTAATAAATTTAGTGGAATACTACTCTAGTAAGTGCAGTAATGTGTTCAATAAAACATCAATATTTTTAAGTTGAGCACGGAATATTTTGTAGATTTCGGATGCTGTGCAGAGCAGCGATCTCCATGGGCCACCGGGGAATAGTGTCGTACCGGCACTGGGAATCGCCTGGGCTAATTTTGTCTCCACGCGGATTATGCTTCGTAAGACGTATAACTCAGAATCCCGCGCATCGCCCTCCTTTTCGCCACACCGCGAAATGTGCGTTCTGTTTTCACCGTGTCTGCCGTCGACCTCCATGACCTTCAAGATCACAGCGGAAGGGATTTTCGCGAGTGGATAATGAGAGAGCGCAATCTTTCTCATCGGAAATGGATGTCTAATCATGATCAATTGAGGATTGTTATCGTTTGAAATGAAAGCTAATTCCTCTTGTGGATAATAGTGGGATGTTTGTGAGTACGTGTCGGCTGACGCATCGCCTACGAGTAGGACACTACCGACTCCATTTTGCCGTCAGCTTCCGAGGAAATTTGGGTTTTGTGGGCGTATTCTTTGAGAACAATAGGTTCAACCCGGGTGTTTTCCAGGGGAATGTCTTCCAGTGCATCGTTATCTGCAAGAATGCGATGTTTTTTGTTAATGGTGTTAGGCATCGAGATATCTTAGTTTTACCTTTTTAACTTTTTCAGTTTTTCATATGTTCGAGTGTTTTTACGGGAGTTGAAGGGTTTTATAGGAGAAATGACTGTTTTAGTGGACGCTCGTGTAACTTACAGTTGAGTGATCGGCAGCATAAAGTATTCGCCATTGCACGCCGAAATCGCCGGCTCATTGCACTGTAAAGGAATGGATTCATTGCCGAATTCAGGTAGATCAGCGTCTTGGCAAACAGCAGATACCACAGATTTAACCATGGCTCTTCTAGAAACGTGTTGTAAATAAGTAGTCCGCGATACGGAAGCCATGAAACAGCAAACAGGACCACAATGACTATAAGCATCCATAGTATCTGAAACATATAAAAAAATAGTTTGCGCTGTTATGACCGTTCAAAGTTTTTATTGCAGATTTGATTGATAATAATTACGTACATGTGCACGAGCCCGAACGCGCGGTTGCTCCAGCCGCTGGAAATTGTACGAATCGTCATGTCCGTTAAGGGTAACCGGCGTGGTTTCAGAAAGGTCATTGCCGGCATTATCTTCGGCTTCCGCATTATCTGTAATATCTCCTTCGGCACCGCGTGGCTGTTGCCCTAATCCGGAAAGTCTCCGCTGCTCGGCACTCTGATGCAGAACATGGATGATTTTGCAGTAAATAATTAAGGAAGTCAGCAATGGCAGCACATAGAACAAAATCAGGTCAATGGTAAAATAGTAGACATATTGTTCTTTGGATAAGCGGAAATCGCAGATCTTTTGGTCAGCCTGGAATGGATGCGGCTTCACTTCTGTCAGCGCCAGCCATGGTGCACAGTAAAAGACAGCAGTAATCCACAGGACGAGGATGATTTTCTTTGTGGCTTCCAGCGTACAGAACCGGCTGGCAATCAGCGGTCGGCACACCGCAATATATGTCTCCATTGTAAAAGCGAAAATGCTGCAACAACCAGAGTAATATAAAAACACTGCACTTTATCGTGCGGCGTATATACACACAGACAGCAACGCAATTAATCCTGACAATTAGAGTACAGTGGCCGTAAGGGAAGCTGGAAAAGGGAGCACCGCGCGCGGATTTGACATGGGAATGCCATCCTGTTATTAGCCCCATCCTAATTTAATCACGGATAACTGTAAAACGATCCCGGGCTGTCATCTAATCAGGGACTATGTCGGCGTTTCGTAATCATGCACCGTTAGCCATATATAATATCCGGTCGTTGGGACTGTTTTCACGCAGACTACGACGGGTTATTGACGGTCATGAGACATACGCAATGTAGTAGCAAAATCTCATAGCACTATTAATCATGTTTCCATACTTCTGTAGATGCACCAGATGATAAGTGCACATTGAAGGAATTAACAAAAGAATATAATGCGTGAGGAATAAATTAACAAAATAATATCATCTGCCATCCATTCGAGCCGGTTAGACACTTGTTTAAACTGTATGAAATGCTAATTCACGGAAGTCATAATACTAATTTTATTTTCAGTTGTCAGTTTTTAAATGTTTGAACACCTCAACGGCTCAACGGCCTCAACCACTATTTTTTATCTGTGTTAAACCCACTTTTGCATATTATTACAACAATATTAACAGTATTATGCAATCCACAGTACAGTACTATGTAACGTTATTCCGTATTCGTTTTACCAAATTTCCTTTCTTTTACTGTGTACGGCGTTTTAACAGAATTACACTTGAAAACTGAAAAGGAAAAAAGTAAAATATGTTTCGCAAACTCCCATAGCGTTAGGTAAAAACTGGGCCACCGGAATTTTCGAACGAGCATCGATGTACACGCGAATTATCAATAATACAGTAATGATACTTCTATTGATATCACATACAGTAATTCCATGCCTGAATTATTTTCGGCTACTGTGTTTGACGTGTGTGCATGGGAGCGTATAACTGACATTTACTAATAACACCCAAAATGGTCCCAAATAATTCTCGGTAACATTTCGGGGCATGAAGCCTGTGTCTCTTCCCCTCTGCAAAATCCGATATGAAAATTGCCTGTAATTGACCTGATACTGCCGGCGTTGATCCCGAGAAAATTTGTGTAAACAAGCAGAGAACATGCCAACTGCCCCGCCATCCAGTGCCTGCCGAAATTGTGGAAAACGATGGCTTCCGGGACTGCAGATATCAAGACGAGCAGATCGGCAAATGCCAGCGATACCTGTCGAAACATCATTCACTGAAATTACCGAACACCCACCGCAGTTAGGAACATGTCAAACAATAGATAACATAAATTTCGCAACGTGAAAACGGTCTTGTCTGTTCAACCGAATCACCAGTGTTAGAATTATTGTACGCGAAGAGAATGTGTGAATTAAGGTACGGTATATAAAAGGTGCATATTTAATAGGGTTCAGGAAACAGCAGAATTAATGATTTCTTGTAACTTGCACACATTTTATGCCCCAACCTTAAATAATTCAATGTGGCTATAAGACGAGTGTCGTGGATTCTTGTTATTGTTACTTGTATAATACGCAATACGGTTGAAATTAAATTATATTGTACTAAAAAAAAAGACGAGATCAAATTAAGCTCATACTGCATACATATTCTCATATACTGAATACGTCATCCTGGATGAAATTGCGTTGTGCGCATAAGAGTCGATATTATTTTAAAAGTTAACATTCACTTTGCAAAAATGTTTTCGGCTTCAGTCAGTTGTATCGCAGTGAAGCGGTATAGTTGTCCCTGTACTTCTGTATTAGGCTATTAGCGAAACCGAAATACGTAATTCTGTAGTTAACTTACAAAATAGCGGTATGGGGGTGATTGTAGACTCTTCGTGCGTAATGACACAATAATTGTCGCAACGTTGCCGCATAGACCCAAAACGAAAATAAAAGTGTGGAGCACGGTGGCCATTATCCGGTATTCCAAGGAGAATCCATGGCCGCCCGTAAATCGCGTTTGGCCCGGATCAACGATGGTGGATTCATTGGCCGGAAATAAGCCACCAACGTATTCCATGGTCGGTATGGCCGGTGCACTTTGGAACGTTTTAGCATTAACGGCAGAAATATATATAACAACGGTTTTGACAATTAAAGTCATTATTAACATCTGAAGAGGGAATTTTAGTGCATACGTTATCAGTTATTATAGAATTATGTACGTAGATCTACAGCAAACAGTTCTTGCTAGCAATTAATCATAACAGAAAACTAGCAACACTTGGCACAAAATACTGTTACTGGTACTACACGAGAATATTTAAGATATAGAGACTATTCTCTTTAGAACTATACTGGTTCTTACGGAGTAACCTTGCGAAAAACAGTCTCAAGGTGGCACGCGAGGTGGATACACGTACAGGATTAGAAAACTGGTTCTGAAAGGCATTTTACTAAGTATTACATTCACGATTACAAATACATTTATAAGGCACGCATTAAGTATGGTATTGTTTATATGTCAGCAAAGCTAACTTGCAAGTGCGACGAAATACCTTCCAATCTACCGCATTCGCCTAGAACGGTACAAAAGCGATACGCAATCCGATGTCTATGGAATTAGTCAAACATTCCTAGAAAATATTAAAGTAATATTTTTAGAGATACATAGATGGAAATCATGGAATGGATTGCAGGTATACAATAGATGTTTCATGTAGTGCGATAGGTCAGTTGCATTACTTGGGATCGTAATTATTAACAAATAAGTACAAGATGTACTTTCAGCTGTGCATGGTGGTACCTTATAATTATCTGACGGAAGCGACCGCGAGAATCGCATCCCACAGGAATCAATTTTATTTGGCTTTCTATTCGCCCAATTTGGAGTCCCTGTGTAGTACTTTAATACTTGCAATCGGCGTTTAATATAGTGCTGCACTGTCCAATTGTCATGCACGGCGCCTGGCGCACACAAGACTCCAATGTTATACGAGTTTAGAACTACCTACAAGAAGAAGTACCGGCTTCGACGACTACACAGTATATATCAGGATTCAGGACGGTCACGTTTACCATCAAATCATTTTCTCCACAACAGTAATCATTCATTCTTGCCTTGGGTGCGCTGATATCTATAATTACTAACAGGCGCGCATTACACCCATGCACAAAACAAATTAATTAATAAAGGCTGGGTTATCACATGGATTTGACTCCTTTCAGCGGCTTACTATCAAAATTAAAACCATGCAGCGCACTCTACTTTGAAACGTAACAGTAAGCGCAGTGATCTTCCATTGCAAAAAATGATGTGTCAGTAGCACTTTCGGCCTATTCTGCTATGCTACATTTATTTGTTATGCTATTCCACGTCGGTGTTGGACTTTACAGTTCAAATAACTTTAAAAATAAGGAACAGTAAGAAAAACTGGATAAGAAAAACATGCAGTTTTTAAGTACTTACTTGGTTTCTAATTGAACTAACAAACAAATTAATAAAGCCCGGCATTATCGTGCAGTGTATTCGAATTTACGTCTGGATCGGAATTAATGGCATCAGCCCCTGCAGCGCATTACGCACACTGTACGAGTACGGAATAAAACAATGGAAGATAACCAGAAGGATGCTGACTGGTGATGTTTGTCCGCGATCAAAACATCTGCTTTATGCATTACGTGGCAGATGACATTTTATTTACCCGAGAGTAGGTATTTCCGGTTGCCATCTCTACTCTAGGCCTCGATCCCTTGATCGATACTAAGATGTTCTAATGATGACTCTAGTTCATAAGACGTATCGTGTCTATTTAAGATCTGGATCGTCTTGGTTAGTTAATAGAACAGATTTTAAATAATACAGGCTTTTTCGGTGCTGTAACGTGCTGCGTAATTCGAATTATTTGTAGCTACATACAAGTACAGAGTAAATAAACTACGAAGTATTGTAGCTTCTGCTACCGGTATGTTTACCGAATTAATGTTCATAGTGTTAACATAAAAAATAAGCGCTTCGAAGTACTTAATTCCGTGATCATCAATAATAAACGTTATCAAAAACTCCAACGGCTGTGTACTGTGAGAACATAAACGCACTGGTCTGTAGACCATAAAAAATCGAGACGCCTGGAATAACCGACATATTGGATGCGAAAATGTAAATTTGAAATGCCATCCAGGTGTCGATGGCGTGAGTGCGCAACCTTATGGCTTATGCCGTGTCTTACTTTGTTCGAGATAAATGGCAGACAAGTACGTACTGTCATGAGTACAATTAAAAATTAAAACAGCAGAGAGTTCACTTTACTAGTCAGAATAACTAACAATAAGCTGCTCACGGCTGGCTGTAACAATAAGCGGATAATACATGTTTCAAAGAAGTAAAATTCATGTAAGAAATAAAACTGCGCAAACACCAGATAACACCTTCACGAGACTACGTCACTACCACAGTCAATCCAGTTACAACTAAACTGCAAATCCCACAGTGCATACACATGATCTGTCCCAGATTTCTTGAACCGTAGAAAAACCAAACCACAAAACTCTCGGTTCAATTTCAATCGTAATTCGTAAACATGATTATCACAGTTTTAATTGATTCACGGAGTTCTAACGGTGATGAGAAATCATCTGTCTTTTCCGGAAGTGCTTTCGAATCCATTTCGCAGCATATTAAAGCTACTGCAAAAACACTTAGTATGAGCGACAAGCGAAGAACTTAAACAAGAATGGAGAATACTGGAACTAACAATAAGAAAACGTATGTACGTATCGTCATCCGGGCACGTTCGTGATACAAGAGAATAAGAGATGCCAGCATAGCACTGCATGAACGCAACCTTTCTCAACTGTTTCATTTATGACTCAGATTTTAAAACGGCAAACGATTGGTTACGGAGTACTTAATTTACGAAGAAATCGCAGACAAGTGGCGAGCTTTTATTCAGCAAGGTAAAAAAATGTTTCCGTCGCAAAACAAAAAGTAACTTGTATTTTTGAGATTTGCGTGCAGTGCGGCATTATACATCATCACCAGCGTAATTTGCGCAAAAGTAAACAGAAACTCATGCGCGTTTTAAGCATACTGTAAAGATTTTCAAGAAAAAACTCAATACCCATGATAACGAGCTGTCGATCTTGCATTTAAAATGTTTCCCCAAATTTGACATTCGAGCTCCATATTAATATCCAGCTGCCAGCCGGGTAACACTTAACATCGCTAGTGCTGCATTATGATAATAGTCACAGTACTTACAGGAACCGTCTTCAAAACAGATCTCCATTGGTGACATTCAGTACTAGTCATCACTGTCAGCTTCTTCCTCACTATCTTCGTCGGGACTGGCGTAATCATCCGAACTCGCACTGGAAGCTTTGGCGCGTGGGGAAACGGCAGAAGGATCAGCCATTTGTGGCACTGCATCCGTCACCGGTTTATCAGCGGAGAACGTCTGACAACATTTAGGACACGCACCAGTCGCCTCAGAACACTGCCTGCACCATGTATGATACGCTTCTTTCACGGTTTTCTGTAGACATCTTGCACTGCAACAGAAGTTCTCCGTTATGAAGGTCCGAGCTTCGAAGGACTGAACAAATGGTACGAGATTACGAGTATGCCTTCGACGACTAATCCTTACCATGTGGCAGGTGCCGTCAGTTTCTTATACTTGTTGAACTTCACTTTCCACTCAAGCACAGATTTGCAGTGCGGACAGAGGCCTTCGATCTTCAAGTTCTCCAAACTCTTGGTCTGTGGTGTGGTACCGTGTAGATCCTTCTTGTAGACCGTAGCGTTCTTATACTTTTGAGCCCGAGTACGGGAAACATTGCCACGCTGAGTACTCATGAATTCCGATTTACACTACACTACCGACGATCGAGGTTCGCAAGCAATCCGTGTGCGCGAAGTGTTTAGCACTTGAGTGAACTTCTTTAAAATTAATATCAGTGACGCACTCTCTGCACTGGGCACGGGAAAAAAGGATTTTGCGATTTACACTTACAGCCTTTACTTCATAGTTTTTAAAATTTGAAATACGGTATAAAACTATAAACCGCAGTGACTGATAATACTACCGCACCCGGAGGAGTAAGCCTTTGAGTCTCACACGCACACAGCGTCTATCTGCAGTCTTGCACAGCAACGCTGCAACGCATCCAGAAAACTGTTACGGTTCTCGCGCCAGTTGAATTTGATAATCATTTTCAGTAGTAGAAGTCGAAGTTCTGATGCATCGATGTTTCATGATTCACAGTGCCAGTAATCGGCGTTATTTCCCCTTTCTTGTAGAGAATTTTGTGGATTTTCTGCAGTTTCTGGAAGATGGCTTTGCTTTCCGCCCGTGTCACTGAAGTTATTGTGAGGCAGTTATCCAACAATCCCTCAAGCGTAAGCAGGTCTAGAAGTATGAGTACTCAGTAGTCAGTGCTGTAAACAAATATGTCTCTCTCGATTGCGACGATCGTCAGCGTTAGCGTTAGGAATGCGCGTGATAAAAAGTTACGGAAAGTTTCCCTTTGTAGATTACGCATGCTTACACAGCAGTATCGATCCTGTGTTGCCGCAGGATTTCCACTTCTCAGCTGCTTTATTCTAGCAAAGGTTTGGAGAACCTTGTTTTAGTTTTCAAATGTGTTATTATCATTGCAAGATTGTACCATATTAGGAGGTTCCCCTAAGACGTCCATACTAACTGTGCGGAGCCTGGGCGCTGCTTCCAAGATTGTTCCTCGCGCAATAAAAGTACACCTGGCAGAGGTAATACCCATAATACAAATATAGTAATATATCTGTGTAGTAGCAATATAGTACGAGCTACTAACTAAAGTGCATTCATTTTCATCATTACGTTTATTTACTGGAAGTGCGATTGAATGCGATAGTTTTTAGTGTACACTTAGTTTTGTGTATACTTAATAAAAGAAAATGGTTTGTTACTGCTTCTCGTCTATAATAACAGCCGATGTTCTGATTACGGGTTTGTATGGGTATAGCTTTGTACACCGAGACGTTTCTTATGCGCAACTGTCTCCACAATTCGTGCCAGAGAACCTTCCAGCAATTTGGAGAAAGAGTTGATGGAATTAAGGAAAGAAGTACGTGAGAATTTGAAGAATATGAACACGCTGATGGATGCAAGAGACACGGAGATCGAGGCAATGACTAGCTCCCATCGTATGCAGTTGGGCGAAAAGAACACTCAGATTCTGTTTGTATCGCGTGCTCTCCATATCCGAGGTGTTATCGATCATTTGGAAGACGACTGGATTGAAGAGTATCAATGGACAAATAAACTGCCCAAAGGTACAGTAACCTGTTCAGATGAATGGTAGCTGCGGTTTTTTCTTACCAGAAAAAAAACTTTTCACGTTTTTTTGCTGTTCGGTGTTTTGTTATATCTTTATATCTGTTTTTTAGGTTTACATCCCCATTTGCAATATAGAAAACACCTTGAACAGCAAAATTATGACAGCAAATTTCCGAGCTTTGGTGAGCAATGGTGATGGCAGAGTGGTTGTCGAATCAGTGCTTATGCAGTGTTGGATAATCTCATAAAACTAAACCAAAAAAGGTATAAAATTTTCTGAATTAATCAAAAAAAAATTTCCAATTGTCCGGTATTAAAATATCTCCGTTGATGGACTTTGACTGCTGTAGGGCGATAACAATAAAACAAAACTTACAGTTAAAAAAATGTTTTGTGTGTTTTACAATAGATCGCCGAACTTACGATAATTCCGCCGGAGCAAATTTAACAAAATAATTAGGCTTTGCTAACAATTTTTTAGATAAACGCGCGCAGCTCTGGAAAATCTTGAAAGAACATGGTGATTTTAAAGATCAGCTGATGAATGTTGCTAATGAAGACGGGCAGAAATTGATTTCGATGGACATATTTAATCGTCTGGAGAATTTGGTGGAGGATATATATCGGAAAACCGTCGACGAGGCTCATAATTTTCTTTTGAATGGAGATAGAGTGTGCATCGATTCCCGCTTGTTGTCTGCGGATCAAGTTGTTGTGGCGGAAGCGCTGTGTCGGCTCTTTAAAGTTCGGTTCCGGATAATTAAAGGGCCGTCGGAGCCAGTGTGGTCGAGTTTGAATGAGCGAACGAAAACCGCAGCCAAAGTAGTGCCGTGGATTTAGCCGTAAGCTGTTTAATGGTTTTCTGCTCCGTCAATACGTTAACGGTGTTAGCTAATTTAATAGGAAATAATAATACAGTATGCTGCCAGTGACTGGTTTTTATCCTAACTGGGGGATTAAGACTATGCTCAGAACTTCAGATGGTTGTTTTTTAGATCATACTGGTCCAGAGCGGCAGAATTTGGTGAGGAATATCGAGGACGAAGGTAGACTTCCGAGCTACTAATGTCAAGTTAAAGCAGGTTGTGACTAATTTCATGTTGTTTTGATTTGCGTCAAGTATTTTGCGCTTATAATTGTTAGTTTCTTTTTTAAAAGGTTGGTAAAGAGGGTATGCAATGCAAAGTGGAGCAGCGATATTCTCATTTGTTCCTTTCACTTGTCGCGGTGTGTCTGTAGATTGTTTGGTCACGCGTTTCGTTATTGGAAATAAACTATGTAATTGGATGTGTTAGCTCATTATATTATCTTGAAAAAATTGATGCTCAACTGTCCTGTGAATTCCCGTCAAAATATCGCAGCACGCTGCTTTAACAATGACTGAATTAAAGCATGCTGATGTATCAAGTATAGTAACGCAAATGCGTTTTGTCTTGTTTACGGGACTCGTATTGTATGCACGCAAATAATGCTAGATATATTGTGTTTTAAGTACAAAGTAGTGTAATAATATCTATAGTAGTACCTCATACGGTATCTTTAGACCATGCGATTAAATTGATTTAGCTTTCTTTTGATTATTGGCTTGCCTTTAATCAAAATCAGCAGTTCGGCGGGTCGTACTGATATTACCGATAATGCGACTACAAAATTGATATTAAAAGCGTTCACCAATCAAAACAACATTTGATGACAAATTGCACAAATACGAGGATGCCGGTTCGCCGTCATTGCGTAAAATTATAATAAACAAATAAACAAGTCTTTTCGTACAAATTGCCAAAAGTTTTCAGCGGTCAGTGGCTAGTAAAACTCAGGTACGAGTATTATCACAGTAATGAACTGAATCGAGGCTGAGTACAATAGTAGAGTACGTAAATGGAGTTCCGACATTGTTCCAACTTTCGTGGGTTGTCTTGGCTTTGGTCTGCCATCCATTTACCACCCACAATGTATGCGACCAGCTTATTTCGGTTGCACTTTTACATATGGCACATGATTCTTCAAAGAATATGCACGATTAATAAATTCAAACTTCCTACAGTCAAACTACCGACGAAATTTATGGTTTCGGTCTTTCGGACTACTACAAATAAATTTTACGAATTTTTTTGCTTCAGATTAGTTTTGACATATTTAAGAGTGTTTACTGAAAACAGAAAGATCACATGGCAAAACAACCAGATTGCCGATAAAACAACAGTTACTTACGGTACTTACTTGAAGCGTTCACTTTGAACTTTAATGTGGTGTATTATCTTTCTTTAGCAGTGGCTAAAGAACTTCCTCACCTAACAAGCTAAATATTTCCATTGAGTTATTCGCCCAAATACCAGACGCATATTGTTTTATAGAGAAAAATCAGCTCTGTTAAGTAGTATTTTTTATAGCGGGGTGGTTTTTATACTTATCGTTTAAAAAACATCTGAAGTTAGTATTGCAAATCGTGCAGTGACGTGTCTGTGCACACTTCAAAGATGCCGCCCATCCCGCATCCGAGATACCGATCTTCTGCAGCGCTGATCGCGGATATGCTAGGCTCAGTAGGCTGCATCGCGTGGTTATCAGCTCGGCTGATCATATCCGGATTCAGTGGGAGCTGGTATACGGTACGCTGTATATTCTGAGCACTGAACACCTGAACGCGGTGTAATTTTTGTTTGTGTTCTAAAAATTAGCAGATCTATATTTTGAGGATTTTGAACCTTAAATGCACGTGAAAATATCAACAATCTATTTTGTGAACCCTTTGTAAACTCAAAACTAAAGCAAATAAAAAATTCTTTAATGCTAACGTAGATGTCGTGCAGGCGGGCCAGCGCTCAGTCCGCTGCAGAAGATCGGTATCTCGGATGCGTGATGGGCGGCATCTTTGAAGTGCGCACCGACACGTCACTGCACGATTTGCAATACTAACTTTAGATGTTTTTTACGATAAATATAAAAACCACCCCGCTATAAAAAATACTACTTAATAGAGCTGATTTTTCTTTTTAAAACGATATGCGTCTGGTATGTGGGCGTCACTGGGCGAATAACTCAATGGAAATATTTAGCTTGTAAGTAGAGTAGGAGCGATCCTGATCGATGTACTGTAGACATTAAACAGAATAAACAAAACACACTGTAGAAGTGCAAGGCACAGAAGAACAAGCTACTTCCCTCTGTAGGTCAAACTTACAAGGAATTTTCAAGTTTTGCTCCAGAATTTTAATGTTACTACACGAAGTACACAAGAGTGTAAAACAAATACTTACAAACGAAACCGTTTAGTGAATTTCTAACCATTCTGCATTAATCACATTATCGGGCTAATCTCGCAAATTCCTATCACCAGAAAAAATCAGAAAGGCAGTGAAAAATTTAACTGAAAAAATTTAACTGAAAAAATTAGGCAGTGAAAGCAAGCGACCTGCTCATGCCACAGCCAGAATAGGTACGTCATCTCAGAATGTTAGTAAACAATAACTCCCAGATCGAACTGCTTCTTAGTAGCGCCCATACTGATTGCCACAGCGAAACCCTGCATCGTTTCATCGCTACCAATTCCCACGAGGTGAAGCCCAACAATCTATAAAAACAAACTCATCACAAATTAACCCAGGTTTTTTCGCCTAGATTATTTCAAAAGCAATAAAATGGACAAATACCATGGAAGTAAAGCGGCACCATCTTAGCAGGTACAAGGAAGCCAGTTAGTGATAGTTAATTATTACAGTTGCTGGTTCCGGTTCTTACCTTCTCATCTGCACCGGTACAAATCATTTTGACGATACATTTAGTTTTACATTCCGTTAATGCGTGATACATGGGCGTATATGATGTCTCATAGATTTTGATATGATCGTTTCCGTATTTCTTCTGAGCCTCCTCTGTAAGAACACACAACAAAACGTACAATCAATCAATCTTCAAAATTCTATATTACGCAAAGTGCGTTGTCGTCATCGTTTGAACCAGTTTTATTATCTTAACGCTGGAAAGCGATACGCCAGCAAATTCTACAATCAAACAATACGTCTGCTTCGGCAAATGTGCATACAGACAGAAACCTTCTGACAATCCCACCGATCCACATGGAGGATGGGAGAATACCACACTTGGAATGTTTTCGCATGATAAATGTGCCGAAGTGTCCTTTCCAAATAGCTTTTCCGCCAAACGACGCCCAGCTGCGATAGCTACCGGCGTTAATTCTTTCTGTCCGGTAATATCTGCATAAGTAAATTCAAATAATACAGGTGTCTGTTTGCATGAATACAAACTGTTTTTCAAGACGCACCGCCAATAGCGTAAACATTGTCCACAGTCGTCTTCTGATATTTATCCACTTGAATACGGCCACGTTCATTCATCTTTATACCCTGAAACCATTCAGCACTTCGCTAATCGTAATCAAAATGTGGTAACCAAAAAAATAATTTGCTTATCAACTATCAAATAACTGATTCGATAAAATATTAAACGCAAGCACTGGATGAAGTACTCCAAAAAGCAACTACCGCCAGAAAACAAATTAAAGAGAAAAATTCATACAAAATGCTAAGACGTTCCTACCAGTTTTTCCAGTCCGATAGTATCGCTGTTGGCAGTCCGCCCGATTGCCCATAATACACAATCAAAGCCTTTATAATAGTGTTCACCCGATATCAGTGTCAAACTTCCGTCGGATTCGCGCTTCAGAGCGCCAGCCTGAAACTTTTTATGAATCTTGATTCCCTGGTGGCTGAATTCTTCTTCAATAGCACTGCCAATCATCTTTTCAAAATGATATAGCAGTCGTTCTTCTTTGATGAACATCTGAGCCTGACATCCAAAAGACCGAAACATGCCGCAAATTTCCACCCCTAAATCCAAGCACTTGCAGATTGAAGCGAAAAAAAATTCGGACCAGATAAAAAATTCCAACTACACCTACCAACACCTACCAATATATCCTCCTCCAACAACGGCGACTTTTTTTGGCAATGCTTCCAGCTCGAAGAATCCATCACTGTCAATCCCAAGTTCCGCTCCTGTGTAAACAAAATTCATTAACACGGAAATTTCAATGTCCTTAGCATATTTCCTTGTCTTTGTTTACAACTACATATCTTTAACTGAAGCAACTACCAAAACTTAACGTTATCGGAATCAATAACGAACATTTCAAATTTTTCAATAACGAATAATATTTCAATAACGAATAATAATTTCAATAACGAATCAATAACGAACATTTCAAATTCTTAGCCTATTTTTAATACCCGACTAGACTAACTGCAAATTATTAAACAAAAAATTCCCACCTGGAATTTCAGGCCATTTTGGGCGCCCACCGGCAGCAATCAGATAGTGTTTGGCCAACAATTTCCGCTCAGCAACTTGTAAGACACCGTTATCATCGAATCGCCCCACTCCGTTCACTAGTTCAATTCCATCCTGAAAAACGCTCATTGCAGCACCGACCGGAAACAGCACGGAGTGCCCGCATTTTAACCTTTTTCAGATTTGCTTCGTATATCCCGTTCAGTCGTTTCACGTAAGCGTCCCGTTTGGATTTAAATTTCTTCCAGTCAAAACCCTTGTACTCAATGTCAAAACCATAATCCTTCAAATCATGCTCAATATTGGCTGCCAAACTAGAAGCGTTCCACGTGATTTTCTTCGGTACACATCCCACATTCACCTGCAATTCGCAACATTATAAAAATATGCTACAACATGACGCTGCGGTTTGTTCGTATTAGCGCCTGTTAAGTATCAACCATTTTTCGCAAAACTTAAACCAGAATAATTTCTAACAAATATGTACTTTAACATTTTCCCTCCAACAACCAGCAGATGCGTCAAACCATTTGAATACACGCTCTGAATAAAATATTTAATACGGAATATTTTTATGTCTTACACAAGTTCCTCCTAGGCGTCCTTCCTTCGACTCAACGAGGGCGACTTTAGCTCCCAAGCTAGCTGCTTTTCGGGCAGCAGCAATACCACCTATTAGGGCCACAGTGAAAGTCAATTAGATTTTTATCAACAATTCAAGGAGAATGGTCACAGTACCTGATCCGCTGCCCACGACAACCAGATCGTATTGACACTGGGCTTCACCAGAGCTTCCCTCTCGGAGAGGAACAGCCAACAACGCTGGTGGTGAAAAATAACGGGGAATCTCAAGAGGAAGGTCTTCAGCACTTTTTGCCGCTTTGCCCCTGAACGTATTATCAGCGACGCACGGTTGTAGACACTCAAAATTCTCCACTTCACCTCTCCAGTGATCCGGTATACCAGAGTCACGTAACAAATGCAGGCCATCGTAGATGTTAAAATTTACGCCGCGGATACGACAGAAAGCCTCGACAACAGCCAATTGCTGCGGATTTAATAGACGTGCATTCACGTACACGATATCTCCAACTTCTTGGAATTTGTGAATGTTCCCGCTGGTACTGTCATAAATGTGGAAGATTAAACTTTCCATTACTTCGTAAACATCTGGCGTAATTAGTATTTCGCCTTTATCGTTTTTGGTTTGCAGAAGCCTTTTTTTCAAGGACCCTTGCTTTTTCAGAAGTTCCCACAGGCAGACTCTTCGTCTCCGATCTAAAATTTTTCCTTGATTAGTGACAGACTTGTTTCAGAAATTTTTTTAAGCAAAAACAGTCTTTATGCCGTAAGTACAGTACGTATATCTATATTTGCATTTTAACTCGACATGATCACGTCAGCTTACCATTAGCTTATTAAAATATTTACCTAACGGCGTTGAGCTGCCTTCTTGTTTCTTGTTCCGCATCCTCAATGCCGTTGGATAAAGTTCTGAAATAGGGTAAAAAGTAAAAACTACAACAGAAGCCACGCTTACTGACAGTTGCTGACCCTTGCACACACATTTAACACACTACCACTGTCCACTACTACACAAACATTACTATGGTTTACTGTCCACCCCATTTAATTTATCTTTGGAATTCACTATCCAATATCGATTGAGTTTAATCATCTCACTAGACCTTTTGTTCTCTAGAACAAGACTGCCTATAAAATGTGCGTTGCTGAAATACTCGTACCTTTTGGTATTTTCTTTTGTTCCTCATATTCATATATGCCAATGAAATCCATTTCAACCGACTCGACCAAGGAACGTATCTGTACGTCATACGATATTTGGAGCATTTGAAAATGTTTTTCTCGCAGTTCATCTTTATGATTCTGACGTAAGGAGCCTAATTTTTGGTTTGCTGACAATGCAACGAATTCCGCATGGCGCCTCTCTGCACTCAATCTTTCCTTGGCAAGTTCCGACTCGCTCTTCACGCGCTCCAATTCTTTAGCCAAGTTTTCACATTTCTGTGCCGAACAATTGTCGGACCCTCCCGGAAAAAGTGAGATCGTAGCGTGTTGCGTTGATATGACTCCACATATCAACGGAGCACGTTAGTATGTCCGCTCTCGCATTGGCCTGTCGAGCATTTATCCGCTCTGTGAGTGGCCAGGTTTCACCCAACCGTATTTGCGCAAAACCACTAGGCGGGATTTAAACACTAACGCTAACTGGCACAATATTATCCAATTGGGAAATAAATAGCCAAACAGCACAGCATTTTAAAAGCAGCAAATGCCAAACAGTTCTTGCAAAATTGTTTAATAGTAAAAACAATTAAAATTTGTTGGAGTTTTTGTTGCGACCTAGTTTTCTTTTATAACTTAATTGTCCATTTGGTGTTGGTGGTTTATTTAGACTGTTTTTTTCATTTTTTTATCCGTAAAGGAATACGGTGCAGATGGGACAAGTTAGTGCGGAGCTCCGCTGACGGAATAGCACCTAAAACCAGCATCGACTCATAAACAGTCTACACTGTGGTTGTCTCTAAAAGAAAAAATGCAAAATTGCAGCGATAAACGCAGTAAACGTACCTTTGTGAATCGCTGTTTGAAGAAAGGCAGCAACAAGGAGCTCCTGTATGTTGAGTCGTTGTGGTCCCAGTTATCTGTCCATTCAGACATTTAGAAGACGCTATCGCACAGTTCTTACTATGTAAAGCTTGAAATCTACCTTTCATAATAATGGAAATCATCATGAATAAAAGGAGCTCCTACGTTGAATTCCAGGCGAAGGTTCTTCACTTGTGGAATGTTTGCATGAGATGAGTAAGTTTTATCGCTCCTACTCTGAACATCAGCTGTACTGGTGCAGACGTTGGAACTGCGACGTGCCTTTACGTGTTATACTCATTACTCCGTGTGAGCTCAGCGCTGCGCTGCACGTCACTTAGTTCGAGTGAGTGCAGTGGCCCGAACTTGTACGAGCAGGCGCTGTACGAATTATTCCCTTAGTGTGACCCTAACGAACCGTGCATAACGATGTTCTTGTAACTCACTAGCGGAACTTCTTCGTTTTGACGGAAGATTTTATTTCCAGCCTCCGGAGGCTGGAAAGTTGCGGAAACGCCTTGTGTTACAGCCCTAAAGCACCACAGTCCACAAAACCGTTTGTTACTCACAGAATCAAATTAACGAACAGCAGACACCCAAACGTTATTGCACAATGCACAGTAAAAGTTATCACCCATAAACGTTTTGATACAAATTGCCAACGTACTGATACAGGTTAAATCAAGACGGAAATGAAATCAACAGTTATTATCATCAAACGAAAACTCAACGAAATACATAGTACCTCTATTGTCTGTCCCAGGTCTGATCCCAAGAGGCGAGAAACAACATCGGATGCAGCGCCCAGGATGCGCCCATTACGGACTAAAGGCGCAGCCATTATGATAGCATTGTAGATAATCAGTGAAAATTATAAAATAATGGGAAGAAGCGCAAAAGAACGTGGATAACAAATTATGAGCAATTTGACTCAAAATCGCAGAGCTTGAAAATTACGCCTAGTCTCCTGCTATACGATTGTATTTCTTATGTCTTTGCTGTCGTTCGATTAACTTGGATAGTTGGATACATGTTTTCTACTTAAGCCCTGTGTTCACGGAAGTACGTGGTACCTCTGCTGAAATCAGGAACCTATGATCGTCTTTGTGCAACCGCCAATTAATGGCAGTCGGTTGCCTAGACCGAATATGCCATCCTGGGCGGCTGGCAAAACATCTCTCTGCCTATATGGTTCTAAGTTCTGACTTCTAATGCAAAAATTACAGCAATATGCTCTGACAACAGTCAAGTAGGAATACTGCGATGCCGTGGATTTTAAGTAAACTGTTCGGAAATCAAAGAAGTCACGAACTATCAAGATAGAAGAAACTTGAAGAAAGTTTCGAAGTATGTTAATAATTCACATCTTCCTAAAGCTGTGGCTATTTCTACCCAGTCGCTTCGAATGCACAACAGTTTATTGCAAAATGGTTTGTGACAATAAAAAACAACTTTTAAAGAAGCAATAGATTTATCTTTTGGAATGTATATTCCAGCCAAAGAAACATCACTGGTATTTTTGTATGTACTAATCAGTATTCGGTACTTCACACCACCGAAGACGATTATCTAACCACAGCATGCACTTGCACAGAAATTTTCCACTACCGTACAAAACCGAAGGAAGAACCTACAACAATTGAGTCCCAAAACCTCTCTTAACCCTTGAACCCGCCCAATTCCCACATCAGAAAGGGATCGGAGACATTGCAGTCCTGTAACCGCAGAGTATCAGGATTCATGGGATCCACTGAGGCACTTAAACAGCCCTGTGTAGGCACATGCTGCAGCCATTTCGAACTGCTAATATACCGCCATTCCTGATTTCCCTTTTTCCGATGACAGGTTGTCATCTTGATAATACCACCCAGTGTCGTGGCATCCAAACACAATTCGTCGTTCTGGATTTCACCCCTTCCAGTATGACTCCATGCCTGGTTACCACCAAAACCGTGGCACGCACTTGACGAGACCGGTTCGCCTAAAATCAGCATTACAACTGCAATAATCTCATATCTTATGAAGAAGTAATTCAAAACAGAGATTTATCCATGCTCGAATAAAACTAAGAAACACAATAAGATGATAAATTACAGAAATTTCCTCTATATTCAAAATAAATTAAGATGCAGACTAAGATTATCAATTACACATTGCGAGCGCTTAAGTATACAGATATAAGGTGATCGTTTGACCGTCAATGAGTACAACATTTCAAATTGCACGTACCGGTCTTTTTGGAAAATGTGTCCAGACAGCGATTGCTTTTAGGATTTCTTACTTCACCAATACTGTGATAATCCAGAGGCACAATAGCTTCTGGATAAATATTTTCTAAGTACCATCGGAAGCTTTTACAGTTCAGCTTTTTTCTCAGCGCCAGACGCTCCGAGATATCACCCAAGGCTACACTTTTAGAATTCTGGTTCATGCTGTAGTAGAAGTCCTTGTACTCATCCATCCAGACCTCCGCCACGCGGCGACTATTATGATTAATTACCGTCGCAGTGCCACCGGGGAATTTGTATGGAGTGGATTTACGGAAGACATGTCCGACATGGGAGCAGGTTGCGATCTCCAGGATGCCACCGCACATCCATGCGCGAAAACTGAACTCCAAATTTTCTCCACCCCACACATCCATACCCTCATCATACGATCCCAGCTCGTAAAAGAAGTCCCGATTAATAGCAAACAATCCACCGGCTATTGTCGGCGTCTGCAGTGGCAGTGTGCGGTCATGACCGCGTCGCACCAATTCACGATTGGGTGCCGTATACCAGCGGAAATTGAGTTTCCAGTTGAACCCACCCCATGTCATATCGGAGGCTGTAATATACTCGAAAGTGTCGTCCGAGATTACGTCAATAATTGGGCAAACGATGCGTTTTTTATCCTCTGCAATCCGTGCTAGTAAAGGCTCCAACCAGCCTTCAGTTGTTTCGATGTGGGCATCAAGGAATAGAAGCACTTCTCCTGCAAAGAAAGGAAGTTTGAAGATTACCTTTAATAAGCAGCAAAAAAAGCGCTAAAGATTCGCTACAAATGTGGATAAATAGTTCACATGCCTTTTGTAAAAAATATCCGAAAATAGCACAAATTAGTGTATAAGTATTAATGTAAACCGTGAACAGATTAATATGTATTGTAAATGTAGGCAGGTATCCCATTAAATACTAGGATCAAAATCTACTCTAGCATGAGAATCTAAACCTGGCTAAAAACAGTGACAAAAATCAGGTACAGAAGTTACAGCAAAAGTCACTCAAAAGAAAGTAAACTGAAATGTATACTGTACGTGCACAGATTTGCAAAATTAAAACAGCCGTCTGCAAGCGGTACTTCAAATTTTCTGCCGAACAAATCGCGACAGTTATTAAAAAAGTTAAAAGACAATTCAACCACACGTCAGGTAATAGTTAGTTATATTTTTATATTTGGGGTGTTATCCAGACTGTCAATCGTGTTCTTTACCAGAAGTATTCAAGAAACGCAATCCATGAGTTTGTTTCAGGTGATTACATCCCTAATGATGCAGCATGAACTGCCACATTTAAAAATGCGTGCACGCACTCTTGAATAAGCTATTTACGGGAAACAATCACTACGCTTCAAAGATTTCAAAACCAACGAATTACGCAACCTCGAAATCCAATCATCCTTGCATGCCTGATGAAGGTTCACACGAGCGTCAAAATAAAAAAAACAATTATCAAACCAATAAAATCATAATACAATTACAGAGTTTTTCTGTGATAAATTCACAATCAAATATAATTCGCCAATTTTTTAATCCTAGAGTACTGATAGTACTTACCTTTCGCCTCCGCAGCCCCTTTTAGTCTTGCGCGTATCAGTCCTGTCCGTGAAGGCATTCTAAATAGTTTAACAGGCACTTCAAAATTCGGCAGCTCCTTCTCTAGACGTTCCTTTAAATGCTCAAATTTCTCCTCGCTTTTGTCATCCACCATGATAATCTCCTCGATAAGCTCAATGGGCGACCGGTTAATAATGCTGTGCAGTGTGCGCAGCAGCGTTGACCAAGCCTCATTGTGAAACACAATAACGACGGAGACTTTTGGTAGGGATTCCAAGGCGGGATAGACAATAGTGCGACATTGTGTCATGCGCACATCCGGCAAGGTACGGTTTAACGCCACACGATCGCTCACTAACAAGTTGAACTGGTTGATGTTAAACATGTCCTTGGCGCGCTGCTCATCTGCACCGGACAGGACGACTGCGCGACCCATTTCACCGGGTCCATCAGGATTTGAGGGGATCACTGCAAAAACAACATCGACCATAAATCAGTGGGAATAACGGATAAAAACCCATTAAAACGTCCCGAAACGGGCTATTAATGCTTTCTCACAGCGTGACACTGATCTTCTGATCGATAAAGAAAAACTGCTGTGAGTTGTAAAAACAACACAAGCAATGAACCTAAATGGTACAGAAGTGGAATTTAACACGGTGTAATATTCCTAAAAAAATTTAAATTCAAATCTAACGGCAAACCGATACCCGTAATAATTAACTATAATTAGTTATCTAGTCAGCCAGTTTATTGACTAGTACTACTAGTGCAACATACGTGATATGCCAAAACTTTTGAGTTATGGGAAATTTACAGTCGATAAACTGTGGGACAAAATAAGTCAATTCGACAACAAACAAATCGCTCGTTTTGGTTCTTTTACGGATGCTGACTTCGCATGGTATCCTATAATTACCCGGCTGAACGGTGCAGAGAGTTATATCAACGGAACAGCCCCTTCACACACAGCCTGCGGCGGAAGACGTTCACCTGCCGCTGCCACACAATTTCCTGCTGACTTACCATTATTCAAGATCCTACGAACGATTCCAGGCTTCTTGGTGGCCTGCCGCCTACCCTTTTTCGGCTTCACATCAAGAGATTCCTTTTTTCCCGAAATTAAATTATCTCCTATTGATCTTTTTTGAAGGGTATCTGGAAAGAGTCATTTAAACTGGCCAAAGCACTTACAGCGGACTTAATGAACAATTTATTAGGAAATGGTACCTCCGACTGCTGTTTCCAGCGCGGAGTCAGATCCGCTTTCACACAGATCAGAAAAATATACGAATATGGCCGAACCGAACAGGCACCATACTACCGACGTAATAATCACAATTTTAATGGTATGAACACGTAATTTCGTGTTGAGCATTTTCTGGAAGCGGATCACGCACGCACGCAGGAAGAATAAAAGATAATACCAGCGAACTAGCCTGGAGCAATCACAGGTGGCAAAAACATTATCGTGATATTACAAACAATATCCAGAACAACCCATTAACAATGAAAATCCTCCCAGTCGTAAATCAATCCATGATTATAAAAACTTTACTCATATGAACAAAAATTGAAAATGGCACAATGACGTAGTCAGGTCGGTGGCTTTCCGGAGGTTCGTCGTTCAAGCACGAACGGAATCCATCAGGTAATAATTATTAATAAACACTTTTCAGGAACGGGAATGGTACAGTTTAAAAGAACCGATCAAAAAGCCAAAACGATCTTTAGACTTTAAAGTGTGAAAAGAAACAGTCTATCCATCCTGCCACATTTTCCGCTCGCCGACTCATGCCACATCAAAAAGCCAACACAGCGTAAATGCAGACAGCCGAACTGGATAAGATTTGAGGCATTGAGCTGGCAGCTGCGTCAGATTATGTAAACTCACACTATGCACAAAGAGTGAGTTTATTGTTAAGTGTTACTGTTGACCCGGAAATTGCAAAATAGGAGAGCATTGGATGAAACGGGGATCACTTGTTGAAGCTTACTGCATTGTTTAAATCTTTGTTATCATTTTATATACACTTTATAACAAAATCTTTTTACAATCCATCCAGCATTAGCTCCGCACACGTTGTTGAAACTCAGACTTCATTTCGGTCTATCATTGTGGTATTTATCGCAATCAGCAGCAATGTATAACTAAGTATTATTAACATTCATATGTGATTTTTGAAGATAACAGTATAACACAAATGCAGCCATTTTATGAGGTTGATATTCATAAACATTAAGTCATCTGTGCAGATTTTAAGATCTGAAGAAAAAAGACAAAAATTAGGATTTGTATTGTACCTTTTGTATGTATAAATAAATACAGATGGCACAACTTAAACTTCGTGGTGTTACGTGTGTATTAATTCTTGCTCGTAGAAAGGGAAGACTATGAGCGCGCTCGTAAAAAGGGAGGACGATAACATTTTAGAAGAGGACTATGAGCGCCTTCGTATTTTCATGCCTAATACAGTAACTTATTGGTATATTCGTTTCCTATGGGTTTAATGCAACCAATGGAAAGCACAATTACCGCTGCAGCCGCTGTTATTACATCTTCTCCATTCAGACAAGTCATCAGTGGAGGAATTCCTACTGTCGCATTCGTCATAGTCGGCAGAAGGCCGACTAGAGCACTTGAACTTGTTGTCTTGTTGCCGGGATCTGTACGCTTCACTCTCGTGGTCTTCCTTATGATTACGCCAGTGTTCATCATCAAGAGCGGTAGTGACCATGTCGAAGCCGTCTTCGTATTCCGGTAAACATCCAAAAACACAGAAAGTAATGTAATCCACTAAACTACAGACGATATCTGATGCCACCCCGACAAACGAATTCGTGGCGTAAAAGACTACAATGAAAAAACCCAGTACCGGTCTTGCGACAAATCCCTCGTAATCCTGTGCGAATGTTCTGCCAAAAGCAAACATCGGATCCAGTTGCGTTATTTTGTACAGTTTATTCCCAAACGGGACTAGTATGTCGCGCGAACTTTCCACGACCTTTCCCAAGTACCGCGGAGCCTCCATCAGCTGCGTTAAACAACGCATAAGACGCACCAGCTCCGCTTTGCTAGCTTTGAGATTTCTACTGATGGCCACTGCGCGCAAAGTATTACGATTGAGCAACGCGTACTCGGACACGTGGCCAGCGTTTAACCGGATCATCTCGAAAATCTCCGGCATCTGAATCTCCCAAGCCCGCTGCTCCATAGCCTCTTCACCGCGAACAGTGACCTTTTCCGAGCAGCATGATAATGTGTCGGCTTCGGATTCATAGTACGCTACGCAGTCTAATTGCCGTGTGGGATTATCGCGCAATAGCGGCAGAAACACTTCATGCAGTTCATCGATGGTATCCGGATTGACACCCTGCAGGATATTTTCCATCTTCTCAATCCGTTCGGATCTAGACTGTTGTGTAGAGATATTTGCGAGAGTCGTAACTGGTTCCTCCAAATTCGCTTTTGCTTTCTGTACTTTAGTGGTGTTCTGGCTGTTATCTATATCATTGCGATCAACAGAATTTTGATAAATTTGCCTGGCATCCGTTACTCGACCTGATGGTGTTTGGTACATTATTTCTTCGCGCGAGTTGTTTGAATTGATGGGAAAATTCTTATTAGCGCCTGCGTTGTTGATATCCTCTTCGAATCGTCCGCTGCCCACAGACGACAACGACGAGACCGTTGTCCAACTGGTGATGGTGTCTGCGCTCGGATTGGCTAATACTTTCTCTAAACTGCCAGATGCCGCCGAGATCTGAACATCAAGATGGGATTTTTCTGCAGTTTGATTTTGCGGTGCGGTGACAACCGGCAGTGCGTCATTCCTTCCAATTTTTACTAATATTTCGGTCCCATTTTTATCTGACAGGACAGCATTTTGCTCCGTTTCGTTCGCGTATTTGTTATCTACCGGATCGGATGAGGGAATATCGTTCCCTGCAGTTACCATTTCCGCCCACTCTTCAGCGTTTACATCAAACAGATCGTCTGATCGCACATTTTTTATCCATTCCGATGGAAGTTCCCGAAAATCGGTTCGTGAGTCGCGCAATTGACGCAATAATTTATCCGCTTGAATTTGGCTGAAGGAATATTTCTCGTTTTGTTTACTATCAGATGTCCGTTTTGTTTGCATTTTTTCGGTTTGCCTAATTTCGATAGCATGGCCTTTCGCGACTGCTTCTGGTGAATTAGCACCAACAGTTTCACTAAGCTTGCGATTAGTAAACTCTGCCATAAGACGGAACTGCTTTGTTAACTTTGGTAAGGTCAGAGAACTGCTTTTTTTTCTGCCGAGTCCTGCAGTTGTGATAGATTCTTTAGAATCCCGTCTACTTAACGAGATCTTCCGGTGTTTTGCTTCCCTCTGGATCCCATTTTCAAGATCAGCCACCGCTTCATTTCCTTTCGATATATCCTCGGCATTTGCCTGTCGTGTGGTTCGACGCCGCTGTTGTTGCTGGACAATCGGCTCAACGATGGTGACCTTTTTGACATTATCTGTTTTAGTAGGTGTCTCTGCAATATCCTTCTCCGCAACACTTTGACGTCTTACGGAAGATTTTCGTTTCTCTCTGCACTTAATAATAATAAAACACCTAATTAGCATTATGATTTGGGTATCATTTGGTGTCATACGCAAAACACATCGACTGTCTAAATCTATATATAAAACGACGCTTGTAAATATGTATATGAATAATATGATCAAATTGTTGCAAGTACTGTATTGTACAGGGTTTGTTACAAACACCTGGTCCGCTGTGAATTGTGATCTGTATTTATTTTATTGCTCACACCTTTTCTTCACATTGAAAACTTCGAAAACCAACTCTTCAATTGTTTTACGTCCATTTGCTTTTCTGAAACAACAATCATAGTTCGTGCGAGGGCTGTTTATCTACTGCCAAACCTACACATGTACAGTACACTTACGGAGTGTCAACCGCGTTGAGATCGTCAGAGCTTTCTGGAGTCAACAGAATATCTTCCATTCTGCTTGCAACCGGGTGCAGACTGGTATGATTATTTTTTTTAATCCGGATTCTGATAAATGGTTCACTCGTACCCTGCACTTAGATTTCCTGCTGTTTTCCAGGTTTACCCAGACTAATTCAGGTTTAATAACACCCAGTATAACTTTCAGTACTGTATTAAAACAGGGAACCTGCAGAAAATATATTGAATGATTAAAAGTATATTCGTGGTGTCAACGCATTGTTAAGACTACAACCTTACTCACGGGGTTTTACATACAAAGAGGCATACATACACGTCTATATTTTTGTATGTGATACATAATGCCCCCTTGAGTAAGGCTTTGTTTAAACAAATAAGCCCCCAAAATGCTATGAGCATCAAAAATTGACACAAATTGAGCACAAAGAAGCACCAAAAATACTATGAGCACCAAGCACTATGTATGAGCACCAAAAATTTCCAAATTAAAGAGGTACGTTTTGTTTTGTAACTTCCTGCATACATCGGCATGTTATTAGACGTTTGTATATATCTAGCTAGCTCATACAGTAAAAAAAGGTAAAACTGATTTTTCTGAGCGCGATATTATTAATGCCATACTTACTGGAAATACAATTATAAAAACCAGCATCAAGCATTCATTAACGTTATGGTTGCTACTCTACAGAGACACGTTTAAGTTTTGACTGGATTGCCTGTTTTGGATGGATTTAAATCACAGCGAAACGCCCGCTGTCATTGTGGGCGGATAAACTGTGAGGCTCGACCATCAAACTGACCGATTGGCGGCATTAACAGAAATTCATTTCGCAGAGAAAAAAACTTCACAATATGGAACATAACGAAAAATGACCGTACACAATAGGGATGACCAGCATCACAAATCGCGGTACAGAGAATAACCAAACGCCAAAATAAAACAAATCATTATACAGTAACAGTGCCAACAGCCATCTCACCCAGATTCCTGTTATTTGACAACGACACAGAGAGGAACCAGGGCAAAATTTTACACAAATTAATGAACCAAAAAAACCATATCAAGAACAACAATCCCAATCGTGGCCAAAGGTCATTATCCAAAATCAATCCAGTGCAGATTTACCGGTCGGAGGAAGGAAATAATTTACATGAAGAGCGGTTTCTGATTGCGATACCGCACGCACAGACACACCGATAAGATGGAGGTCACAATGATGGCTGTCAGCAGTATGCCCAGACCCACACCGAATCCGCCGCGGGACATACAGAACTGATCCGTGTTCTGCTTAATTCCTGCGTACACTATGGTGCCATTCTGAAAGGGGACATTGATGTCGATGTTGAAGGATAAGTCGGCGGGCGAAACGGCTTCGTAATGATTGCGGACGGAGAGTGTGTCTTTGTCGGTTTTCACGCTGCGACGCTGGCGTTGTTTAGCTCCGGAGATGGCTGATGAAGAAACGGCGCTCTGGAAACAAAAGTTCAGTTATTTCTGCGCTGTTCGAAAACGCAATATGATTGTGAGTTCGCATTTGGCGACACGTACCTGTGAATTAGTTGCACCGGAAGCGGAACTACCTCCAGATCCAATTGATATGCGGCGGCTCTGCAGACAGATTTTATTGCACTCTACTTGCAGTTAACAACACTGAACGTTACAGACTTAAAAGGAAGCGAAATATCACACTAACGGCTATCTGACTAAAGTATGTAAAAATGTTTTGAATTCAATATATTTAGATAGTTTCGTAACAAATGGTTCAAGGGTGTGTTTGATTTACCAAAACATTATGCGCATTAAATTTATCGCGCGCATAAGCGTGACCTTTATTTTAATTGTAAGCCTCAGTGAACGCTCAGGAATTCGGTTTGATTTCAAACAAATTAGAAACCTTAATATGCTATAAATACAGTTATCTCGTCAGTTTATCATCGTCGGTAACATACATCGTTAATTTTCACATTTTGTGATACAGTATATATAGCAAGATAAGTGAACTGGTGCTGTACATGCATTTGGGAAATTACAACTCGTGTTCTTGTTGATAATAATTTATGCGTACCTCAGAGCTTTTGCCGGTTGCGGCTTTTGTTGAGCACATTTCCGTGCATCCCCGTTTGCACACTTCCACATCGCATTCAATAAACACCTTGGTGGTCTCGGGGAATTTAAAGGCACTAAAATGGGCAAAGGCAATGGTGGCGTGCTCGGCACCCCAGTCTTTGGCCTTGTCAAATTTGCTCATAATGCGGTCACGCAGTACGCAGCCGTTGTCGTCCGTAAGATCAATCTGACTTTTACCGCCATCGTGCGCCAAACACCGACCAATCCGCAGATCAAACTCATGCTTAGGATCATTGGCACCAATTAATAACGTCATGGTGTGGCCTGCAGGCAGAAACAGCACACAATATGGTTATGATGACATTGTACAAGCTGTTAAAGCGTAACCTCACAGAACGGGGTAACTTATACGAAAAACGGCACAGACAGTTAACACCGTCTACGCACCAATTGGCACAATGTTGCTAACAGGATCCGCCCAGGGACCTTTGCCGGCCTGAATCTCCATCCAGACTTCAATGTCGTCACCGGCAAACCGCATCGTTTGCACTTCGGTCAGGGCAATGCGTTCCTTCGTGAAGACGGTCTTCTTGTAGTTAGACCGCCACTCACAGCGGATAGCGCGGGCGGCGTCCCACACTTCCTGTACCAGTGGGTCATTCTGGATGATGATAATATTCTCGATGTAGGCGCCGTCTGATGTGTCCAGGGCATCGTTATTATCATCAGCCTTCTGAGCGGTACCGCTGGATTTAGGTTTCTGCACTTCGGAGATAACCGGAGCTGGTAAATTCTGTGGCCATACAAAAACGTTACCAACTATTACAAATTGCATTCGTATTAAATACGTTTTGAATTAACATTGGGTAATTACAAATAATTTCTTTGCTTAACAGATTTCAATAAAAAAAGATCAAAACTGGTACAAACAACGACGTAGAATAATTTTCTTACGTTGTTTCCTTCGTCCCCATCATCGAATTTGCGTTTCTGCTGATCTCGCTGACCGGAAGTCGCTCCTGATTGACCTTTCGCGGCGCCACCAGCCGCACTGTCTGTCGATGATCCACCCGCTGCTTGGTCTGATTTTTTGCCCTGTCCATCACGCGATCCCTGGTTGCTTCCCGTAGATGGTAGGCTGGATGCTACGCGTCCTCCGGTCTGCCCACCAGTCTGCGTTTGACCGGAAGGTGCATTCGCTTTCTTGGTGGTTCTTACGGTTGTAGTGTCATCGTCAGATCCCTCATCAATATCGCTGTTATTATCGTCGCTCGTCTGCGATGTCTTGGATGCTGCTTTATTGTTATTTTGGTTCGAGCCTTTGGATTTTCTTGATGTATCAGCGGCGCCAGACTGCAATGCACCACCAGACGCCATGGCACCATTATTAGCGTTGCCAGTGTTTTTGGTAGACATGCTTGATGTGCCTCCATTGCCGCTACCGCTACCACTAGCGCTCCCGGCTGTAGCTGACCCACCGGCTTTAACCCCATTACCACTCTTTCCAGGAATACTCGCCGCATTGCCATTACTGCCGGTACTGACAGCACCTTGAATCTGACCATTTCCAGCTGCATTCGATGTTGATTTAGCTGCGTTATTTCCACCACTATTCGACTTCCCAGGGATACTGGCGGCATTGGCATTTCCCACAATCTTGCCCTGACCACCTCCTGCATTAGTTGCAACATTGCCACCGGAAAACTGACCATTTGCCTGCGCATTCGCTACAACTGCATTCGGACCGTTGACAACTTGTCCTCCTTGCTGAGCCACGCCTCTGTTCACACCAGCTCCTTGTTGCGCACCGGCCTGACCATTTCCGTTAGGATAACCCCGCCCATTTGGTCCTCCACTCATATCCTGGTTAAACGCTCCACTTTCTGGCATCAGGCCACCCTGTGGTTCCTGGTATCCAAACTTGGGCTCATTGTAACCAAAATTCGGTTCACGATAGCCAAAAGCCGGCTCGGATCCACCAGCCGATGCATCCTGATTGTATCGATCGCCCGGTTCATGGTAGCCGAACGCCGGTTCCCGGTTGAACTGACCAGCCGGTTCGTTGTACTGGAAGCGTGGTTCACTGGGGCCTGATGGCTCGCGGTAACCAAATGCCGGTTCTTGGTTAAACTGTCCTACCGGCTCACGATAACCGAATCCCGGTTCGCGGTACTGGTCAGAAGGTTCATTATACTGGAAGCGCGGTTCACTCGGTCCAGACGGTTCCTTATAACCAAAGGTCGGCTCGCGTCCACCGGCTGATTGGTCCACGCCGTTGCTCTCGTACCGGGCATCGTACTGGTTATTAGGTTCATGGTAGCCGAATGCCGGTTCCTGACCCATCTGATCGTACCGCGTATCGTAACCGTCACCACTACCTCGGTTAGCGGTGCCGCTGTTACCGCTGCTTCCATAGCCGGTATTAGCGGGAGTGCCGCCGCTGTATGCGCCACTGCCGTAACCTGAGCTTTCTTTTTTCGCTGCCGTACCAGAATCAGTTTCCTCCTTCTTTCCTCCGGTACCCGCCACCTGCGTACCACTGGAACTTACTGCAGCTTTATTACTGGATGAACTGCCCGATTCACTAGCGGAATTGGCCGACTCTGTCTCACTTTCCGATGTGCCGAAGCGTGATCCTCCTTGAACCTCCTTCAGGACGGCGCGCAATACCGGTAAGGAGTTCTTAGCCGCTTTCCGCACACCCGTATCCGCCGTCTCGCTGGCTGTGGGCTTCTTACGCGCCAGATATTCTTCCTCTTCCGGTTCCGTTGTCGTGCGCAACCGAGCCGCAGTGGTAGCCGGTCGGGTGGTGCGTATGGTGGATTTGGTCACAACCGCATCGGTATCTTCTTCGTCGGCTTCCGTCGTGGTTGTTGTTCGCGTCGTAGTAGCACGGGTGGTGGTGCGCGTGGTTGCTTTCGTGGCTTCAGTCGTGTCCTCGGCATCGTCGTCGGCGGCAGTCGTGGTGCGAAGTCTCGCTGCCGTTGTGCGGGTGGTGGCCGCCCGGGTGGTGATGTACCCAGTGTCTTCCTCCTCCGTGGTGGTTGCCCTCGTGGTCGTTGTAGTTTTCCTGGCGGTGACTCCCTCATCGATTGCTTTACTGGAAGTTCGCCTCCTGGGCTGGGTAGTGGGCGTCGTCGAAGGGGTGCGCCTGGCGGTCACCTCTGAGTTGATGGTCTGACCGCCGTTGTAGCTGTTAGACGGTGGTGTAGCGTAGCTACCACCGCTGTATGCATTGTTCCCATAATTGCCCTGCATGCCACCATCATAACCCTGCATCGGAGGCGGTTCCGGTACAGACGGAGCCGTCGGCATACCGCCCATGTATCCCTGATTACCACCGCCATAATCCGGCACCTGAGGTTGGGGCATCTGCGGCATGGGGGGCTGTTGCGGCATCCCGCCACCGTACGGCTGCTGTGGCATTCCACCGCCGTAGCTGTCTGGAAACTGGGGTTGGGGAATCTGCGGCATCTGCGGTTGTTGAGGCATCTGCGGCATACCACTGCCATAACTCTGATCGGGGATGGGAATTTGTGGCATCGATGGCGGGCTCAGCATCGAGCCGCCGGAGTAAGCCGGCATATCGGGCGCGGGCGGCATCTCCATGGCACCGGGGACGGAGGGATAGCCCGGCATCTGCTGACCACCGGGATAGTTGGGCACTTGCGGCATCATGGGAGGGTTCATGCCCTGGGGAGCGTTTGGATAGTTCGGCATCGGGGGGACGGTCGGAGGGTTGTACTGGTCACCGTCGTATTGGCGACCGCTGGGTCCGAGGTACTGCGCATTGGGGACAGCGCTGCCATAGGGCGCACTGCTGTAACCGGCAAATCCCTGCACATTGCTCACTTGACCCGGAGTGTTGTAATTGTCGGATCGCATATACTGCTGCTCCGCGTCGCTGGCCGCAGTGGAGGAATATTCCGGGAAAGCGTAGGCATCCTCCACGCTCGCCCTGGTGGTGTTGGTGTCGTCTCCGTACGGTGCATCGGCATCCGATGTCTCATACGCTCCGGCCGGTGTGCCGGCATTATTGGCATACTGCTGAGACAACGGGATCTGAGCATACTGACTAGGTTGATAGTTATTTTGAATCTGGTTGGTCTGCTGATACTGATTATAATAATCTCCATTACTGTTTTGCGCTCCGGGTGGAAGCTGCACCGACAGTCCTTGAGGGAGATTATACGATCCCATGGGGTTAGGCGGAACCGGTGGTTGCGGTGCCGAGTTAAAGTTCATCACTTTGGTGTGAGTGTTGGGATTATACCCGGCGGAAGGATAGAGGCCGTTGACATTCCCGAACGCTGTGAGAGGAGTCTGCGCCCGGTTAGCCTGTGAGTTGAGATATTGCTGAATACGATCGCCTTCTGCTGCCGACATGTGACCGGCTTGAGGGGCTACCGGGATGTTAATAGAGGGATTTGGAGCTTGGAAATTACTGACGGGCAGTTGACCTTGGAATTGCGGCTGTGGAAGGGTATTCATCGAGGCCACCTGACTGCCGGCATACTGAGCCGACTGATCCGGTCCGTTGGCCTGCACCGCCTGAACCTGTTGTTGTACCGGTGAGTTCTGCTGTTGAGGCTGTTGTTGCATAAATTCCATAGCTTCCGGTGGTGGCATATCTTCCCGGGAATTCTCATACATGGAGCCGCCGTTGCTACCCGGCATGCCGAACGACAACATCCGGTCGATCTTGCCGAAATCAAAACCGAACATATCGGAGCGTCCCTGACGGAGTTCTGATCCGTTCTTCGGAGCGTGCGTGGTCGTAGTGTCCAGCAGGGTGCTGTTGGCTTCCCGGCGTTGTCGTTTGCCGGTGACCGCATTGGAGGCGGCCTGTTGTATGACCGTTCCACATTGACCGGCTTTAATAGTGAAGTGGACTTTATCTCGGCCGGGGTTGTTGATGTAGTTGCAACCTGGTGTGCTGAAGAAATTCTTGGAGAAAATTACGCCGTGGAAGGCCTGATCGAACTGAATGTCAACGCCCATTCCATCCTCCTCGCAGTTGACGTTGATAGACTGGATCTTGGCTTGGGTTGCCGATAAAACGTTCTGCGAGAAAAACACCGGATCGCAATTAAAATGTCAGTAAGCAGTGATTACAGGATTTGTACATATATGAAAACAGCCGAATTAAGAATCATTAAATAATCAGTTAATCAATTTATCCTACAAAAAATGTTGTTATTCCCAATTATCGTATATTTCTGGGTCATATTTGTGTGTACTTTTTTCTTGTTACTGCGCTCCTTGATGGGCTTTACATGTTTACGGATTCGCAATTAATTTCGAGTTTGCCAATGCTAAGAAGAGATGGATAAAAGCATTCGACTGTGCAATGGGAAATTTTAAATTTGCAAAATGTTAAACTATAATGACAATTCTTTTTGTTGTGAACAGACTGCGCAGTTATTTACCAAACAAAACACCCACACATTGGCAACTTTTAAATATTTTGCGAAAAGAATCGTGTTCGTCTAGAAGCGGAGCATCTATATCCACACGTCGTCGGATGTGCGGCGATGCGATTAATCAAACTTGACCTACGTTATGTAATTAGACCACCGGCATCATAAAGCATGCACCAAAGAACTGACCCAGCTAATAAAGTCACGCACATTTGCTGTCGACGGAGTTTATTACTGGAGCCGAAATTAAAAATTTAAAAATTCGCCAAAATAATATAATATTACCTAAAGAATGACTTTTGTAACAATACGCTGAACACAGAATACTTAAGTGAAGAAAAAATTAAGCGGCCCGCTTTATTAACCACGAGACAATCCATATTTAGAAATACTAAGTAAGGACTAAAAAATTTTCTCTAAGATAGTTCTGCCGTGGTCGCAAACATGTTTTAATCTTAACATGTCGGCAGAAAGTCATCACTGTCAGCTTCACAAATCGCAGGTGCAATATTCAACAATGGCTTAGCGATTCGTGAAATCGATTAGGTCAAACGTTTGTAAGGCGTTCCTGTAGCGCTCCAAAGTTTCATGTTCACCTCGTAATGACAGGCTGCAATTTTGCCAGTTAATTGGTTTACGTAAGGCACAGGAGAGAATGTTGTTTTTTATGGTGCCGTAAACAAAAATTACGAACACTCTGTAGGATGCTCGGATCTATGCGCCGACGACGTCTGCGCGTAGCCGGTGGCCATCGTTCGACCTACAAAACGCTACACCGCCGCTACCTGATCATCATCTCATACACATGCACACACACACACAATTCCGTTCGACGTCTGCCACTTGTACACGCTGTGCTGGCTCACAGCTTCCGGAAGTAAATAAAACCAACTGTTTTTGCTACCGTCGCAGATCGGCGAGAGGCCGGATCCTTCTATGCGCAAAATGACCATAAAGCCCCAATAATTCATACCATTAACGGTCTGAGAAATGGCCAAAGCGCTATGTACACTCATTCTCACTGTACGGCTACGTGCCTACCGATGGGCCAGCTAGACGTCGCATTCGGCTTAACGGCCGAAACACTTTTCTGCTTCAGAAAAACTGACCTACACTTTCTCTTATACACAGAAACAGTTTTGTTTTAAGATCGTTTTCTTCAGACGTTTTTCCGCTATTTTACATGAACCACTAATAAATGCCATTATATGCACCCACAGTCGGTAATCTGGATGAAATTCCTTTATGTTAGTAACAAATTAAAACAACCGGATGGCGATTAACAGTCGAGAGAGTGTGCGTAATCGTAATACAGATCAACAAACCCAAGAGCACGATATTTTTAATGAACCGTAATATTAGAACACTTATCGCAGTATCGAATACATTGGAGTCTTATTCCACATAATTTTGTCCAGCATAATTTCTTCAGATTACTTAATAAACGATCAAATTAAAACGTATACAGCAAATCTATACTAGATACATCAGCATAATCATGCACAAGCAGCAAAGTTACACTTGTTAAAAACCATCAAATTTCACAAATGACAATTTTCCCTGAGGATGCTGAAAAGTATTTGGGGTCTCATGAATGTTATCTTGCTCACGTAGCTTTTCTTACGCTGGTAACATTTCACAAAATTTTAACAAAAAGACCGGCTGGAGTGGTATTTTAAAACAGAACCGGCAAAATTACGCTGCGAAAGAAATAATGTTCAAAAATTAACCTTTGGAATTCATAATGACGACATCTCGATGATCAGCCGCACTTAAAATGCATAAAAAAGAATAAGCGCACGCGGGTAAAAAGAAAACGGCAAGGCCGATGAACGCTACTGTATGCCGCTCGCGCACACCGTTCCAAAGCAGACGCAACATGCGGTTTTTATCGTATGGATGCGCATCGACATTAACATTCAGGTTTTTGACTGAAAAAGCAATGGAAGCATACGGCGCCGTTTCAGAACAAATGTCAATCATGTACTGCTTCCGTGATTATTGTCCAGTTTACTGCGCTTTCTTCCGGAGATTTATGCAGAAGTCTTGCGGCTTCCTAAATCGCTAGTTTCGAGTCAAAAGCAAAAGCTGTGGCCATGTATTAAGTAAACTGAATATTTAATTGCAGATTGTGGTTACACGCTTTTATAGTAAGGTAATTAAATCAATCAAAACGTATCCTTAAAAAATAGAGGTATGTTCACTTATTTAATTCCCTATCTAACTTTAAATTTCAATATAAAAGTCGTCCCAAAGGAAATTTAAAATTCCAAAGCAGCAAAAATCTGCATCAAATTATGTTTTTCACAGACGGCAGAAGCGACTGCAGGAGTTATATAAAAAAAGCATAATCACTGACGCGATAAATCACCGCAACACAGCCGACTAATCGCACTTTTCGCTATGCGCAAAAACATATACTTTTATCAACAAAAACTTGGAATAACGGTCAACGTGCTACGCTCGACCGACTCCTCATTTACACTTTACGTTGCGGATACTGAGCTACCAAGTGGCTGTAACTACGTCAGATTTGGTTACAAAAGTCATTAGGAACACGGAATGACTCCGCTGCTTCACATTCGGGTTAGGAAGCCGGTAAAACAAAAAAAATTCAGTTGACAAATCTAAGAAACCGCATATAAGGATGAAATGTAGCACTATTTGTATCTCCACGTGAAACCCGCTACATTTCCAAAAACGCCATTTTAAATTGGATAAATCTGTAAAACATCGCTATAGACGTAAACTCTACACCAGCACCGTTGCAGCTACCTGTATGAGAAGAGGAAAGGTCAAAAGGAACCTTAATATCATTTTTGAGCCAGAAGGAAGAACGGGACAGTCCACCTGCACAGAAAAGCAAGAGCGCATATTACATTAAAACTATAATACAACACACAAATACGGATGTCCATAAGGAATACTGACTAGATAAGGCTTTGATGCGCTTACCTAAATGGCGTCAAGGGACTTCCGGAGTGATACCGTTCACTTTATGCAAAATTATTCGGCATAAACAAATAAGTAATCCACAGACAACATTCACCGTATCGTTTCCATATTATTCAACGGTCAACCCAGCCGGTCAAATGAAAAAGACGCGCCTCGGTAGGCGCAGTGTCCAGTGGGCGGCCAGTGATGGTAGATCGACCTGCAGGACTTCGGTACTCTTAACAAGTGTATGCCGCCACAATTAGATAATATCACTGCAGAGGTACCGAAACTTCCGGAAGGTATTCAGTCTACTAATAAGACGAACTCAAATTATGAGACACTCGCACCGCCGAGAACGGCTCTCTCATACTGTGCACTTTTCCGTAATTCTAAGTGTTATACACGCTATACTACCTTTGGTGGCAGCTTTAACGAATCCGTTGACAAATGAAAAATGACCATGAAAAATTCTTCACCGGATGTAGAATCAGTTTCATGGTCAAGCCCCTGGTGGCTTCCGGTTCGTACCGATCCGCGAGCCGACCCGCAAAAATGTGAGCAAAGATGCAGAGAGTACGATAATACAGCGCTACCGCGCCATACTAAAGGAATATGATAGTTTATGTTTATGACGATCTGTAAGCGGTTCGGTTTATTTGACGGCGAGCTTTACAAGCAGATTCGTCGAGCAGTTTTGCAACGGCCACGATCTTCTTGACAAGGTGGCCACTATAATACATATTGGGGTCACGGTACAAAATTAATAGCCTTGCGGCAAAGAAGGCGAAGAATGGCACGCCAAGTTCAAGCGCGCAGAGATTTGAACCAATCGTATAGAAAACTGGTGTTAATGCTGATACCATCCCAGTGTTTTAAGAAACAACACGAAATTATTAAAAACGAGAAAATTTGATATGGTACCGATCGAGCATCTGTAGACGTATAGACGTATTATATGTAAGTGGTATATGGGCGCAAACGAAGAAAGTTTCCCACATTCTGAGTAGATTTCGGCATTATAACCATGCATTTTGGCACATGGCGAAAAATCACAACAGAGTTTCTCGCCGATTTGTTTTAAGTACTACACGTTATACATAATTTACTGATTCTAACAAATTAAACTAAAGGTAACAAGTGCGACCTTGAAAACTGTTTTGTGATACACTCAGAAATACAATGCAGATAATTTTTCCATGTTATTCTACATTCCTTAACAAGAAAGGTTAATCAACAAAAGGGACAGTACAAAACAATATCAAGATAATCAACTAATATAAAGAGCAAAGCGTATTTACTTTCTGTACAAGCATTTAATGTTTGCACAAATACCCACAAATACAATAGACTAGCCATTTCTTTTGCAAAACGAACAGGTTAAAGTGAGAACTATTAATCGCAGAAGTAGGTTCGCAGTTCGTAATCTAAATGACGCATACGAACTTCCGGACAGCTCATGACTAGCCACCGTAATATCTATGTTACACTTAGACGCAACGGCGACATGCGAATATTCATTCGGCTTTTTTCTAACCCATAATTAAATCGAAAGTACTTACTGTATTTATATTTACAGAATATGCACAGTATCGGCATTACTCATTACTAAGAAAAGCAAAAAAACTAATCTAAAAGAAAATCTTGTAAAACTAGTAAGAAACTAGTCTTGCTAGTAAGAAAATCTTGTAAAACAGAAGGTTTTGGTTTTGCTTCTTAATCCAATTTTTAAGCAGTAGCGTTTGACTGAAGCCGTGATAATTATTCATGAAATATTTATGATATTTACCAGTATACTTCTAAATTCTAATCCAAAAGTTCTGGACGTATTGCCTGACGGTAAGCGAGGGATACCAGTCCAGATACCGGCCTTCTGTCCTGCATCAAAATTTGGTGACTTTTTAAATTCTGCACGCTCGACTCTCAGAGCCAGTCTCTTTTAAACACCTACTTATGCTCATCGTTTTCGACATTTTAATTGCTGTTTATCCGCTCACAGTGTCAAGCTTTAAACGTATCGAAGGAAGTTGTTATTAATATTATTAATTAGGTTCTGGTTCGACGCCTCGAGAAATAAACACAATCAGTCGCATGTATTTAGCACCGTAGCTTGCGATCATAATTACAAAAATAAACAAGCAGCCGCGGAAAAAGTAACCAACACGACACACGTTCTCACCAACAGATCGGTTACTCAAGTTCATAAAGAAGAGTTTTATGGCTGAAAAATGAGCCTGCCTAATTCGATTGCGTGAAGTTATGACAATCGGAAGCGAAAATTAAGTATACGGATGCTGCAGCAGTCGCCGCTATGAAAAAAATGTATGTCAGCCAAATACATCATTTCATCAAAGCTTTATAACTTTCCTAGCGTGTCAGACTGTCCCCATCGTGAAAACAGTAACTGTCCATATCAAAGATCATCATGAACAAGTAGTAAAAATCGCTACAGCAAGCAGGAAGTTACAAAGATAGGAAAAGACACTGACTATCCATGTGTTTCTGGTATTTACATCTATGCATTTCAAAAGGTAAACGTTACTCTAGTCTCTAGCAAGAGAAGGTAAGCTACTGTCAATTTCGAACAAAAACGTTTTTATTGCGCCGGAATGGTGTGAACATTGTTAAAGCAATGGAAATAGCTCAAATAGCACAAGAGGGGATAAATGTCTCATTACAATTTAATCAACGTCAAAGCCATCACCGATAAAAATGGTAAATCTGAGCTTTCACAGACCACTTAGCAATTTCTGCCAAAAAATGGCAACCGCAACAACCGCTATGATTCAAAATTTCCCTTTATTTCACACACATCGGAACTATCCGTCTTTTTTATTGCCGATCCACGTGAACCGAAAATTTTTTGATTACCAGTAGTCAGGATGCTGCTTAAAAAATTGCCCTTAAATATAATAATATTGTGCTGCTCGAATACAACCGTACTTATTCTCCACTTAATTCAAGCAACTGTTAGTTCCAGCACGTTAGTCCGCAACGAACGATAATATGTTTAACGATAACCGGAACCACATAGTATGTTTTCTTTCAGATACGCAAAAACATAAATGCATATGGTCAAAATTTAGCGCACAGAATGTATACCTAGAGAGCATCAATGAAAGCGATTAAATAACTGATACACCAAAAATACATATAAAATTAAATAATTCGTAATCACTGGCGCAATAATTTAAGATTCAACAGCGCCTAATGCAAAAAATAAAGCCTCGACTCTTTACTACTCCGCGCAATTTGACCATGGCAGTATAGCGCACTAACCACGAAGCTTTCCAATCATCGCATTTCAAGAACGGTGTAGAAGACTTCAACAAGTCAGAAACCCCACTGCAGTCCATCATTACTACAATACAAAAAGTTACATCAATCTGCGATTGCGAATGCCTTTGTTTACTCTAGAAAACATAGATTATCATTTTTAAATTGTTCGCTGAGACTATCACAGCGTACTCTGCACAAACACATGCTAACCTCTAGGATCATTGTGAGTCAACAACTGAATCTGGTGTTTTTTGGCAAACTCCGACAGCTCCGGTGGAATTACACAACAGGATTCCAAATTGACTTGGTTAACAGAGGGCTTGACCTATTACAAAATTAATATTACGTACAATTAATATATGCCTGTTGATGATTAGACTATCAACGTGAATATGAACACTTCCCAACAGCAGCAAAATCAACGCACAACGGTGTTAATTTTTTTACATCCACTCACGCTGGCTTCGCCATAGAGTTTCTCCAATTCCGCCAGGCTGAAGTCACTAACACCGATGCTTTCGGCGGCACCGGATTTCACTACTTCCTCCAAGGCCAACCATGCTTCACGGAAATCAGTGTAGTTATTAGACGGAACGGACACCAGCAACAGATCCACACTTTCCACTTGCAAATATTTCAAGCTGCTGCTGACCGCATTCTTGACGGCTTCCCGCGTGACTTCAATTAGGAAGATTTTCACTGAGAAAGAAAATACATTAAAAACTGAGGATTCGCTAATAAGAACATCCAATTTACCGGTGATCTTCAAATCTTCTCGCTTTTCATCAATGAAAAGCTCCGCACTACCATCTCCACAATGCAGTGCACGCCCCTAAAGTCACACATTCACAAATAATGCAAAATTCGCAAACTGCAGTTCGTATTTAAATTAAAAGTATAACTGCTTCTTTCAGCTTAACCACTATGGAAATGTAAAATACGGAAAAATCATGCAGATTATAAGATATCGCTCAACGGACACCGCTTCCCAGGTAATCAATTTCACAACTTTTTACGCCATTTCCCGGCCGAAATGCTGAGCTCCGAAGCTCCCATCAGTATCGTACCAAACAAAGCAACGAACCTCGGCAGAAGATCCTTGAAGGACAGGAGCAGACGATTTCAGCGCTTCCAGTAAGCAGTCGATCAGCTGCAGATATGCAAGCTCCGTTATCAATGTTTTATCGCAATCGATAGTTGATACACAGCTGTAACAGTGCGGTATACACGTGCCTCTACGCAAAACTACTCTAATACGCAACTACGATATACCGTATACGAAGGGATGATTCAGCAATAACCAGTATTCACCACCACGTCCAATAATATTAAGACTAAAATTTGTATAAAAATGTTCCGCGAAGAGATCCCAGCAGAAAAGATACGAATAGAAACATCGCTCATCAACAAAACAGACTGTTACTGATGGGAAACCAAAGAAAACAGAAACCATCTAAATTATTCGAGCGCATTCAGTAGACAGACTAACATCCTTAGGCTAATATCAGAATCTCTTAACAACAAAGTGTTTCGGAAACTAGCACCAGGCTGTGGAAAATTCTATGGAATAAAATAAGTAGCTCTTTCAAACCAACATTAATGTAATTGTAAGAAAACACAAAAAAATTAATATCACATAAACGATTTTTTGTTTTTTAAAGTTCGGCTCATTTTCCTCACTGCGTGCCTGAAGCTTTCTTTCGATATCATTAACGTTATAAGACATTTTAAAAGGAATTATTAATACACCCGCTTCCTAAGTTTTACGAAAAGATCTGAATTTACTGACTACACATGAACGCGTCATACCTCATATATTTATGAATATACGGATATACAATTATACATACCTCTTCCTGTGGACCAAGGTTCACGCGTTTCTTCAAATGCTCGGAATGGAGCACATTTCCAGTATGAACAACGATTTCTTCGTGATTCATCGTCGGGCCGTCCATCAGAACTACAACAAAATATTTATTTACGATTTTTAGTAACACATACTTATTGCGAGTTTCCCTTAACAAATCCATGGGGGACAACTGGGTGAAAAAAATTTGATCAAGATTCATTAAAACGGACACTCTTATCGCTACGGTCTCGATTTTGAATCGAGAAAAACAGAAAACAAATGTAAAAAGGGAGAAAACCAAAAAAATCGGTAAAGTGTAAAACATATCAGTTTTACTTGAAATTTGTAAGCAGAAGGCTGCAAAGTACATAACCTCATTAACCTGCAAGTAAAAAGCACCATAACCGCATAACGATGGGCAGAACTATAAATATTAAACAAATTAAAGTATGCAGAAAGCAACAGCAAGACGAACCTAGTCAAGCTTCCGAATTCCCGTTTCAAACCAGCCTAATGGAAGCAAAAGGCAAGGTCCCGCAAGGACGAAAACAATATTTTTCTTTGAGAAGTTTCCCGATGAAGGAATATGGCGAGCTGGCAAGTCCTGTGCAGAATATCGATTATCGATCATCAACAACTGCCACAATTGAGTCAAGATCAGTCAGGAACTCTGGAACTGGTATGTTATCACGGAATCGACGCGAACCTACCGTACCGTGTCTTCACAACTTCGAATCTCTGGATGGCGCGCTACAGCTGTCAACAAAACAGGGTTTCCAAATAAATTCGACTCAGGAAAACTGAAAACAAAACCACAAAACAAAATGAACCGGTAACTGATGTAGTGATGTATACAGAATTGTTATGACAGAATTTACAAAACCAAAATTCCTCCCGGCCAATCGATTAAAACCGTGATGGCAGTTTTTGTTGTCGGGCTCGAACGCGCAAGATGTGGTGAGTAGTCGAGTACGAGTACGTATAGTACTATTGCGTACAAAGGTGCCGTACGTCGGGAACAGGCGTGACAAAGTGCGGTATATTGCAACCGGAAGTGACGAACCTACGCGTACGAGTGCATCCACACAAAACAAACAACAGATATCGTAGTCGATTTCGCATTCAAAAAGGTTTGTGAACTGAGCCTTGCAGAAGGCTGTTCATTTCATTTTTGGAATTTGCAAATTGCAAAAATTATACTTGTATAATACCGTTTAACAGACAAACAAAAATTAATTAATACCATTTCCGTACTCCGATTGCGTTGGGAGGTGTTATGGTTAGTCGCACAACCGTATACTTGGTATTTTAAACTTGTTGTTACTGTTAATTTGTTATTAAGGATTTTAATTTTTACGGTTTAAACTAGCAAGAAATGTTGCTTGAACAGAGATGCGTATTCTTGAACCTGCTTCGTTATTTAATGCATTTCGCTGTTGCATTCAGTGCCATTCACATACTGACGTACAGCACTTCAACTGCTTTGAAATGTGTCCATTGATGTGCTCATGCCAGATTGTTGCTGCTAGGTGCATTTTGCGCTGCACCTGAGACTCCCTTCCACTTTTCTCTCAGTTTGTCCGAGAAATTTTCGACCCCTAACATCCCGTTTTTTCCATTCGTCAACGATGCCGACAATTCCAGGGCGCAAAGGGAGCTCCGATCAGGCCCAGTGCCAATACGATCTGGTTGTTCTAGGCGGCGGATCAGGTGCGGTTATCGTTCCGGTAGAAGTCGGTAATAAGAATCTGAATGAGGTTTGAATCCTCGTGTGTTCCGACTAGGTGGCATTGCTACGGCTCGAAAGGCAGCTAGCTTGGGAGCTAAAGTCGCCCTCGTGGAGTCGAAGGAAGGACGCCTAGGAGGAACTTGTGTAAGACATGAAAATATTCCGTACTAAAATTTTTTATTCACAAATTCACAGCGCGTAACCAATTAATGGTTTGGCGCATCTGCTAGTTGTTCGAGGGAAAATGTTGAAGTACGTATGTGTAGAAATTATTCTGGTTTAAGTTTTGCGAAAAATGGTTAATACTTAATAAGCGCTAATAGTAATATACCGCAGCGTCATGTTGTAGCATATTTTTATTATGTTGTGAATTGCAGGTGAATGTGGGATGTGTACCGAAGAAAATCACGTGGAACGCTTCTAGTTTGGCAGCCAATATTGAGCATGATTTGAAGGATTATGGTTTTGACATTGAGTACAAGGGTTTTGACTGGAAGAAATTTAAATCCAAACGGGACGCTTACGTGAAACGACTGAACGGGATATACGAAGCAAATCTGAAAAAGGTTAAAATGCGGGCACTCCGTGCTGTTTCCGGTCGGTGCTGCAATGAGCGTTTTTCAGGATGGAATTGAACTAGTGAACGGAGTGGGGCGATTCGATGATAATGGGGTCTTGCAAGTTGCTGAGCGGAAATTGTTGGCCAAACACTATCTGATTGCTGCCGGTGGGCGCCCAAAATGGCCTGAAATTCCAGGTGGGAATTTTTTGTTTAATAATTTGCAGTTAGTCTAGTCGGGTATTAAAAATAGGAAATCAAATTTGAAAATAATAAAAGCGAAGATTAGAAATCAGAAAGCTTGGATGTTTGCTGAGAAAAATTTGAAATGTTCGTTATTGATTCCGATAACGTTAAGTTTTGGTAGTTGCTTCAGTTAAAGATATGTAGTTGTAAACAAAGACAAGGAAATATGCTAAGGACATTGAAATTTCCGTGTTAATGAATTTTGTTTACACAGGAGCGGAACTTGGGATTGACAGTGATGGATTCTTCGAGCTGGAAGCATTGCCAAAAAAAGTCGCCGTTGTTGGAGGAGGATATATTGGTAGGTGTTGGTAGGAGTAGTTGGAATTTTTTATCTGGTCCGAATTTTTTTTCGCTTCAATCTGCAAGTGCTTGGGTTTAGGGGTGGAAATTTGCGGCATGTTTCGGTCTTTTGGATGTCAGGCTCAGATGTTCATCAAAGAAGAACGACTGCTATATCATTTTGAAAGGATGATTGGCAGTGCTATTGAAGAAGAATTCAGCCACCAGGGAATCAAAATTCATAAAAAATTTCAGGCTAGCGCTCTGAAGCGCGAATCCGACGGAAGTTTGACATTGACATCGGGTGAAAAACATTATAAAGGCTTTGACTGTGTATTATGGGCGATTGGGCGGACTGCCAACAGCGATACCATCGGACTGGAAAAACTGGTAGGAACATCTTAGCATTTGGTATAAATTTTTCTCCTTATTTTATGCTGTCTGTCGGTAGTTGTTTTTTTTGGAGTATTTCATCCGGTGCACGCGTTTGGTTTTCTGTCAGATCAATTATTTGATAGTTGATGAGCAAATTATTTTTTTGGGTTACCGCATTTTGATTACGATTAGCGAAGTGCTTAATGGTTTCAGGGTATAAAGATGAATGAACGTGGCCGCATTCAAGTGGATAAATATCAGAAGACGACTATGGATAACGTTTACGCTATTGGCGGTACGTCGCGAAAAACGTGGTTGTGTTCAGATCTACAGTGTCAACAGATTTGCGAGCTTAAAATTCGCGCAATACAGCTTAGGACAATAAAGCTTAGGACAATACAGCTTAGAACAATACATTCGCGCAATACAGCTTAGGACAATACAGCTTATGACAATACAATACATACAAAAAAAACAAAAAAAGACACACTGTGTTATTTGAATTTTACTTATGCAGATATTACCGGACAGAAAGAATTAACGCCGGTAGCTATCGCAGCTGGGCGTCGTTTGGCGGAAAAGCTATTTGGAAAGGACACTTCGGCACATTTATCGTACGAAAACATTCCTAGTGTGATATTCTCCCATCCTCCATGTGGATCGGTGGGGTTGTCAGAAGGTATCTGTCTGTATGCACATTTGCCGAAGCAGACGTAGTGTTTGATTGTAAAATTTGCTGGCGTATCGCTTTCCAGCGTTAAGATAATAAAACTTGTTCAGAAGATGATGACAACGCATTTTGCGTAATATAGAATTTTAAAGATTGATTGATTGTACGTTTTGTTGTGTGTTCTTACAGAGGAGGCTCAGAAGAAATACGGAAACGATCATATCAAAATCTATGAGACATCCTATACGCCCATGTATCACGCATTAACGGAATATAAAAATAAATGTATCGTCAAAATGATTTGTACCGGTGCAGATGAGAAGGTAAGCCCCGTAACCAGCAACTGTAATAATTAACTATCAAAACGTGTATCAAAGACTAACTGGCTTCATTGTACCTGCTAAGATGGTGCCTGAGATGGTGCCGCTTTACTTTCATGGTATTTGTCCATTTTATTGCTTTTGAAATAATCTAGGCGGAAAAACCTGGGTTAATTTGTGATTAGTTTTGTGTTTTATAGATTGTTGGGCTTCACCTCGTGGGAATTGGAAGCGATGAAATGATGCAGGGTTTCGCTGTGGCAATCAATATGGGCGTTACTAAGAAGCAATTTGGTCTGACAGTTCCTATCCACCCGACATCGTCTGAGGAGGTGGTTATTTTGGCTGCGAAATGATCCCGTTCCACCCACTGTTATTTGTTGTTAGATTAATATATTGAAACGCTTTTTTAGCACTTATTCTTCTTTCTTTCAACAAAAATTTATGCGAAAAAAAACAATGTTCAGGCTGTAAGGGGTGGTACAGTACTTACATTCTGATAAGAATTTGCGAAACGCGGTCCCATTATATTGTATTCGCTTCGTGAGCGGTCTTACTGGCAAAGTTAAATATCAAGACCGGGTAGTCTTGACACGCACACTGCACGACTTCGGAATAATCATGTGGGGCTAAGAAGTATTTTTATAATGATAATGCTTCGCATTTTAAGAAGTAAGCAAAATATGAAAATTTTTGTGACGAAATATTATTCAGTGCATTTGGTTTTCTTGCACTTTGTTATAAACGTTCCTGCGGAATTCTGGGAAAATGTGTACAAAAAAAATCGGCGTTGCCTTCAGCAACGAACTGTATTACTACACATGTTTTTTTCAGCAACCTTGTCATGTGATTTTTTTCATTTGCCGCTCCTTAATCATCATCCAGCTACTTAATTAACGTTGAACAGTCACCTTTGCGGCTTTTGCCTCATGCAAAGTACATGATTTTCCCTTCACCTACAAACATCGTCTTGTTTTTGAAATAACAATTCGAAATGAATTCCCATGCGCTATGACATAGTAATTTTTGTAGTAGTATCTAGTCACTATCTATCGTCGGAGTGCCAGGGTTATTAATTCTCTTTAAGACTGGATTCGAATAGATAGTTTATTACGCGTACGCATGTTTTATCTTACAGATCACGATCAAAATTAATACACGCTTTCTTGATTTACTTACTGGACATAACAGTCACATCTACAGGAATACCTCTCTAGTTGACCTGCTGCAAACATATGCTTCTTGTAAAAACCGTGGATTGTTAAACTTATTAAGCATGCAATTAAAAAGACTTTTCAATGACCATTAAGCTTAAATTTTGCTGAAAATACATACGCTGATTCCGTAAAATGGCAGCTTTGTCCGGTGGCGAACTGCAGTTGCAAATGTGCTATTGATTTGTGCGCCGTACAGAGTGCATATGATTGTAGAAGTTTGGTAGAACCTGATAACCTTTACCGCTCTATGAACGATGCACAAGCCATTCATAAATTAGAGTACATTAACCGGTTTCTGACCTGACCAGCCAATTTACTTGCAAAACAGGGAAAATAGATCGATAAACAGTAGCAGGTTAAAACCGTCGCGGTAAAAGGCATTTCGTGACTTGAATCTGGTCCAAAAGGATGCTGTACATATACCGTACCTTTGTGCGGTAATATTACACCAGTTTGAAGGGGTTGTTTGGTGCTGTGAGCAGAGAATTATTGGTAATGCCCAACCACAAGAGGTCCCCAAGTACGAGGCGATGGACGTCATATGTATCTTTTAGCCACGAATTTTCAGAGAAATACTGCGAATTTTGATTATGCGTTCCAGCGAGTTAATGAGGTATAAGTTTAGCCACTTAGTAAATTTACAGTTTATTTTTTGGCTGTTTAAAAAGTGTTTTCGGTAACAAATTCGTGTCGCAAATTTCCAGTTACATTCAGATTTTTCCAATTTTCGAATGCTGTTCGGAGCCCTTGGGCTTTGTGATATTATTTTGTAGCAGCACGAATTGCACTAGACGATGTCACAACGCTTGCACCGGTGCGTACGTACATGTACACAGAACGCCGTAATCGCAACATGACTTTATAAAAGGACAATTTTTTAAGGCGGAAACCCCGGAGAGCAATTAATTTTACTCGCGTGCTATTGTTTATCAGTTCGCAGTGGATGTTCCGTAGCTGACTTTATTGCAGTGATCATGGCCAGTTCCCCGTTGACTCATGAGAGAATGCGGCGCTGGGAACTGATCTTAAAAAGTTACTTTGAATCGAAGCAGGTATTTTGTGAGAAGAATCACACATTTTCTGTGCTAGGTTCTTTAAGTTTAATTAAGAGTATTTCCAAGTTGCCGTCATTTCAGAATCGTGAAAAGCGTCTTCCTGCGGTTGATGTGGCAGCTGAATCACACATTGCTGGTAGTGGTCAAAAGGTTAGACCGACGGAAGAACGACGACAATGGAGCAGCCGTTGGGAATATTACTTATCCTGCTTGGCTTATGCTACCGGTTTGGGCGATGTAAGAAATTCGTTAATGGATTATTTTATGTATGTGATTTCGAAGCTGTAACTCCATGTTTGCGCCTTCGATTCTGGAATAACGCGGAAACCTTTACAGTTATGGCGATTTCCTTATCTGGCATACTTATTCGGAGGTGGATCGTTTCTGGTAAAACCCATATAAACAAGCGTCGCATATTATCGATCGTTGTACTGAAATTTTTTCTGTAAAACAATAATCCATTCTATATAATCCGTAAAATTTACAGGCGATAATAAGAGACAAATAGCTCTACTCTGCTTACTGAATGCACCAGCATAATTCTTTTGCACAGCATAAAGAAATGCGCAAGCGTTTAGCGAACTTACCGTTACTCACGGAATGCAAAATTATCACTGTTTTCTGGTATCCCATTTATGTATTCATATTTATGCGCAATCAGTTTTTTATTTTAAAACCTGCTTACTGTTTAAATAGCATCGTTAAAGTTTTTTAGCTTTGTGCGCAAGTTGATGCAAGCACTATAACAGATAGTCTGTGAACAGAATTCAGATCTTTTTGTATACTTTTATCTGTTCGGCTTAGTGGTCATGAGTATTGTATGACCTGCATGAGCAGTATTGTACACTACCGAACTGGTTACAGCTGGCGTATTTTATAATCCTGGTGCTAATGGGGATCCCGATGATCTTGTTGGAAATAGCATTGGGCCAATATACCGGAACGGGGCCTGTCAAGATATTTCAGCGGCTGTCGCCATTTTTTGGAGGTAAAAACATATGTCAAGCAAAGCCTTAAGAGAAGTTATGAGCTGGAAAGCAGGAAGCTTATTAGATTCTTCTTTAATTGTAAATTAGTTGTTCCTTTGTTCTCCGCTAAATGTTTCCCGTCTCAGTTTCTTTCTCTTAAAGTTTTGTTAATGATACTATGGGTTCTTCATGCCTTCATCTGTACATCTTATTAGGCTGGTGTGCGAGGAAGAATCGCGCTTATGTCTTGACTCTCAAGTAAACTCGTCACCTTCGTTGTTGATGCTCTCTACAGTATGAGCTTTTTGTAAGGCAGGTTTGGAAAAATTAGAATATTAATAATTATGATCTGACCAAGGTCCCGACCTTTTTTTAATTTGTTGCAGGATTGGGATATGCCATCATCGCCAATCAGTTTCTGATCTGCACCTACTACGCAATGGTATACTGTACATGTGTCTGTATATTGCAACGAACGGTGTGTAATATGTGCCGTAGCATAGTACTAAGGCCATAATAACAGCTGAAATAAAAAGTTGTTTTGTTCTTCCCATTCCCTCTTTTTGCCGGTAAGAGACTTCAGATTTCTTATGCGTATATAATTGCAGATTTTGGCTTGGGCCTTCTTTTACCTTTTTGCCAGTTTTACAAGTAAGGAAGATTCGAGTGTATATATGAAAAGCACCTCAGAAATATGATTATCGCAACTGTAACATTTGTCAACAAACTATCTTGGAATTACCTTTAGATGATCTCCCTTGGACACACTGTGGCTCAACGTACTCTGGTCCCTTTTGCCATTCTACAAATGACGCCATAAACTGTTGGAAGTTGGGAGGAGTGTACCAAGCCCGATGTTACAGTCCCATGCTTGCTCAACAAATGAACCTTTCGCCTATTCCTCCAAGCCTAAAAACTACATCTTCGGAAGAATATTTTAATCGGTATGTTCTTTTGCTCTTCGTTATTTTTTACCTTCTTCAAAATCAGAACGTTAAGTACGCCCTACCTTTCCGGAACAACATGTCAGTATAATTATTAGAATTATTTTATCACCTGAAGATGCAAAAAAACAGCATACACCCTGTACTTCAGTCAGCAAAACAGCATACACCCTGTACTTCAGCATACACCCTTGCAGTTGGTTAAGAGTAAATGCAGCTCAATAAAAGCACCTATATGCAATTATTATGCAATTATTATACTATATGCAATTATTTATTATTATTTATTATTATTATTTTGTGACCTTCTACATTTTACTTCTACGATTTGGTGCAGCTACGTTTTGCGCATATCGGAGTCGATTTCCAATCCAGAGAGTCCCGACTGGAGACTTGCCCTTTGTTTACTACTTGCTTGGATTGTTGCATTCCTTTGCATAAGCAAAGGCGTACACAGCATTGGAAAAGGTCTGCATTTCCTAAAGGTTGATATTTCTGAGTGAAATTTTTATATGTATTTTTTTATTATAGCCGTATGGGTTACAACCATTTTTCCTTTTGTGATTCTGATAATTCTAACGATTCACGGAGGAACCCTGGATAATGCCGTTAGCGGTATCTGGCATTTTATCACTCCGAACTGGAAACGCTTATTATCAGTAAAACTGTGGGTGCAAGCAGCGTCCCAAGTGTTCTTCAGCTTAAGCGTGGGTGGAGGTGGTCTTATTACGTAAGTCATGCACATACTTTTGTTAATTACTCGTGTTTAACTCGCCTGTCAATTCAGCTGACACATATTTCGGCGTCTTGCAGGTATTCGTCTTATAACACCTTCCGGTAACTATTAAATGATACAGTAAGATCTTATTATCTTGCGACTGTATTATGCATTTGCGGTTCTAGGCACAATTTCTACTTTGACGGAATTATCATATCTCTTTTCAACGGCATTACTTCTCTTCTTGCCGGGTTTGCAGTATTCTCGGTAAAAGCTGCAAATTTCAAGTTTCCAGAACTTGCCTTAACAAACTGTAACTGACAGATGCCGAGTGCTAGATTATCATGTTTACGTTTCTGCGATACTTATTTTTGAGGGTAGGTACAAAGTGGGCCAAGTTTTAAAACTTTTAAAACTGTTAAAACTTTTAAAAATAAAATTAATAATATATGGTTTTGACAGTGATTTCTCAAAAAGCGGTTTTAAGGTTTTAGCAGTTTTTAAAAATAAAATTAATGATATATAGTTTTGACAGTGATTTTTCGAAAAGCGGTTTTAAGGTTTTAGAAGTTTTTGAAAATAAAATTATTAATATATAGTTTTGACAGTGATTTTTCGAAAAGTGGTTTTAAGGTTTTAGAAGTTTTTAAAAATAAAATTATTACTATATAGTTTTTACAGTGATTTTTCGAAAAGTGGTTTTAAGGTTTTAGAAGTTTTTAATAATAAAATTATTACTATATAGTTTTGACAGTGATTTTTCGAAAAGCGGTTTTAAGGTTTTAGAAGTTTTTAATAATAAAATTATTACTATATAGTTTTGACAGTGATTTTTAAAAAAGCGGTTTTAAGGTTTTAGCAGTTTTTAAAAATAAAATTAATAATATACAGTTTTGACAGTGATTTTTCGAAAAGTGGTTTTAAGGTTTTCGAAGTTTTTAAAAATAAAATTATTACTACATAGTTTTGACAGTGATTTTTCGAAAAGTGGTTTTAAGGTTTTAGAAGTTTTTAATAATAAAATTATTACTATATAGTTTTGACAGTGATTTTTCGAAAAGCGGTTTTAAGGTTTTAGAAGTTTTTAATAATAAAATTATTACTATATAGTTTTGACAGTGATTTTTCCAAAAGCGGTTTTAAGGTTTTAGCAGTTTTTAAAAATAAAATTAATAATATATAGTTTTGACAGTGATTTTTCGAAAAGTGGTTTTAGGGTTTTAGAAGTTTTTAAAAATAAAATTATTACTATATAGTTTTGACAGTGATTTTTCGAAAAGTGGTTTTAAGGTTTTAGGAGTTTTTAAAAGTAAAATTATTACTATATAGTTTTGACAGTGACAGTGAGTTCTCAGAAAGCGGTTTTAAGGTTTTAGAAGTTTTTAATAATAAAATTATTACTATATAGTTTTGACAGTGATTTCACAAAAAGCGGTTTTAAGGTTTTAGCAGTTTAAAAATAAAACTAGTAATATCTAGTTTTGACAGTGATTTTTCGGAAAGTGGTTTTAAGGTTTTAGAAGTTTTTAAAAATAAAATTATTAATATATAGTTTTGACAGTGATTTCTCAAAAAGCGGTTTTAAGGTTTTAGCAGTTTAAAAATAAAACTAGTAACATCTAGTTTTGACAGTGATTTTTCGAAATGTGGTTTTAAGGTTTTAGAAGTTTTTGCAAATAAAATTATTGATATATAGTTCTGACAGTGATTTCTCAAAAAGCAGTTTTAAGGTTTTAGCAGTTTTTAAAAATAAAATTAACAATCTATAGTTTTGACAGTGATTTTTCGAAAATTTTGTTTTAAGGTTTTAGCAGTATTTAAAAATAAAATTAATAATATATAGTTTTAACAGTGATTTTTCAGAAAGCGGTTTTAAGGTTCTAGCAGTTTATAAAAATAAAATTAGCAACATACAGTTTTGACAGTGATTTTCAGAAAGTGGTTTTCGGTCTTAATAGGTTTTAATTATAAAATTATTAATATTCAGTTTTGTGGTCGTTTTTCAAAAAGTGGTTTTAAGGTTCTAGCAGTTTTTATTAATACATAGTTTGAGAGTGATCTTTGAGAAAGCGGTTTTAAGGTTTCAACAATTTGTTATAATATATGGTTTTGAGACTGGTTTTTTTGAAAAGAGGATTTAAGGTTTTAACAGTTTTTAATAACAAAAATAAATAACACAGAATTTTATCAGGGATTTTTCAGAGATGGTTTTGAGATTTTAACAGTTTTTAATGGAAAATTAATGATATTCGGTTTTGACAGATATTTTTTAGACATTGGGTCAAAGGTCTAAACAGTTTCTAATAATAAATGCATAACTTGAGCGTGATTTTTCGAGAAGAGGTTTTGAGGTTCTAACAGTTTTTTTTAATGAGGTATTACATGGTATTACAATGACATACTGTATTTTCGATCCAACTTAGCAGCTTTTTTACAATGAGTCCTATCCGCTTAACGTATAGTAAGTACATGTAGGTACCAGAGCTGGTCCGATATGGATTTTTGGTCACCGCTACGATACCGCTCCGATATTGCAACTGTCCGATACGATTCCGATACCGCTACGATTTTGCCCAAAATTTCCGATACGATAAATCCGATGTTCCGATAAAAAAAAGAAAATTTTTAAGTAAAAATTCGCACTGGACGGCATCCACCGGCGCATCCCGAAAAGCCGAATTTACGATTTTTTTAAACTTACCGGTAGTCTATTGGCTGAAATTGCGTTTCAACGATTTTTTGGCGCTTTTTTAGCAAGGCATCAGCCTAGAAATTTACGTTCCGACTCACGTTTTATTTGAAAATTAAGTCGAAAATTGTTAAAATAATCGTTTTTTCGTGTTTATCGGGTGAAACTTCCGCTACGCTAAAGATTTTGCTGCTCCGTCCGATAAACAGATTTTCCGATCCGCTACGATACGATACAGAATTTTTCCGATACCGCTTTTTCCGATGAAAACATCGGAATTATCGGAGTTATCGGACATATCGGTGGCCTCCGATGACTTATCGGACCAGCTCTGGTAGGTACAGTATAACTCACTGTATTAAAAGCTGCCAAGTGCCAAGTAGACTCGACAACACAATGCTATCCTAAAGGCTAAAGCAAAGCAAGTACTGCGTACATCTTGATCTGTTGACTAAAGTCATCCAGTATACGATTTTGCAGTTTGCTCACTGGACAGTGTTGATAGCGCATGGTTAGTTAGTGATTTTGTGGAAAGAAACAACAACAGCCCAATTTCGAGCAGTTGCTCATGAAATTTAAAATCAACTGCTATTGCAGTTAACTGTATTTTATTTCTTCAAAAAATTAATTTACCGGTGCCACCGAGCCGGTTCCGGCAAGGCTAGCTCCGGTACAGCATTCATACTATACACTGCAACCTAGAAAATACTAGCAATTTCTGCGATCTGAAACGTTAAATAATAATCGTAAGCACTGTAAGGAAGTAAGTACTAAAATATCGTTGTAATTATTAGTGTTTGCATATTGAATTTCAATGGCCGACTTAATTTAAATCAAATTAATATGCTCGAATATGAGTACGAAAAATTTTGTTTAAGTACAACTGCCTACTCCGTAAAAAATTAAAATTTAAGTAATCTAGAAAAACTCTAGATGCGGTTTTATTTTCATGATGCAGCAGGCTGCAGCTAACTGTAAGTTTAACTGGTGAGCGTAGCTAAGTAGTTGCCACTTCAATTCCAGGTTTGAATTACTTAAGGTTTCGAGGGAATGATTTGCAATCGATATCAAAATATCTGCTATCGAATTTCCCGCGAATCAGATGTGCGGAGTAAGCTTTTTCGCTTCTTGGCCAGACACGGCCACTACATAGAATGTAGGGACTTCTTTACAATATTAGTAAATATTGCTAGAACGGTAAAACCGTAAAACCTATACGTAGTTAAAAATCACTTTCAAAACTATATACAGTATTAATTAAAATCTACTAAAGTCTTAAAACCGCTTTTGAAAAATCATTGTACATCATCAAACCTACACTGTACTAGTACATGTTTATATTAATAAGGGTGAGACTATAGGCACCCTTTCACCCCGTTTGCTACGGCACCCCGTTTTGCACCCTGTTTTACTATAGGCACCCTTTTCTGTTAGATAATTCTCTCACCTCGTTTTTTTTCCGCGGACTATAGGCACCAATTTTTAGTTTTTTTCCACAGCGCTGACTATGATTTTTCTGAAAGTATTTTTGGTTCACAAAAATGTTTTGACGACCTGATACGATTTGTTCAGGTATTTACATAAAAACACTAGCGTGGCGACCCTGGTAAACGTCGGCACACTTTCGGAAGCGTGAGTGTTTTTTCCAAATTTTTAACTCTTTTTACAAATCTCAACTTATTTTTTGCCACAGTTTTAGCAAGGCAGCCATGTCCAATTGCCCATTGCCCTGCCTTCTTCCGCATAATTAACATGCATCTCCCTTGCTTTAGCGTTTCTGTCTCCTCAGTTACAGAACACAGAATTTCATTTCTGTCTGTCCAGTGTTAACTTTAATCCAGCTACGTTTTTGTCTGTCTTGTGTTACAGAATTACAAGTTTACCCTTTCTTAGGGCTACTTTCAAATTCCAACTAGATCTGGTTACGGTGCAACAGCTCCACCTCATGAGGTTGTTTGGCGAACCGTATTTGTCGGCGTAGACACTGCATGTAGCTACCTCGTGCGGTGGAGCAGCTGCATCATACTCAGCTGCGGTTAGAATCTGAGCCGGCCTTAACGGTTCCCAAGATAGGAAACAACCTGAATCCATGCCTAAAGGCAATATATATGGGCAATATATATAGGCAAAGGACTGCTCTTACATATATATATATATATATATATATATATATATATATATATATATATATATATATATATATATATATATATATATATATATATATATATATAATATATATATATATATATATATATATATATATATAAAATATATAATATATATATATATATATATATATACGTATATATACGGTCATTTTGTTACGTTACATATATACGTTATATACGTTACATATATCTATATTTATATGTATATATACGAGCGCTTCTCTTTGACTGTTTGACACTGCTTTAAGGCAGATTCGATGCGGAAAAGGTCGAGTAAATTTCCTTAAAGTCGCTTTCTTGGACAGCGTCTGGGTAGACCCGGTCACTGTCAGATCGTAGATTATCTTAAGATGGGCTACTTATTTCAGAGCTGCCAGATTCAGAGCAGTTTTTGTTGCAGAACTCACATAATTGTGCTACCAGAGAAAAAAGTCTGGAGTTGGGAGTGCAACTTTCTGCATCCTAAGGTCAAGAAAATTCGAACATAAAACATAGCATTAACGGACAATATAGGGGTGTGTGTCTAGTCACTGTCTACAGCTTTCTCACGCAACGGGGTACAGAGATAGATTAATCAAAAAGAAGTGCCTATAGTGTGCTGGGTGCAAAAGGGGGTGCAATAGATAACGGGGGTGAAAGGGGGTGCCTATAGCCATTTCGTATTAATTTTATTTTATATTAAACTGCTAAAACCTTAAAACCGCTTTTGAAAAATCACTGTCAAAACCATATATTAATCGTATTAATTTTATTTTAAAACTGTTAAAACCTGAAAACCACTTTTCGAAAAATCACTGTCAAAACTATATATTGTTAATTTTATTTTTAAAAACTGCTAAAACCTTAAAAACGCTTTTTGAAAAATCACTGTCAAAACTATATATTATTAATTTTATTTTTAAAAGTTTTAAAAGTTTTAAAAAGTTTTAAAAGTTTTAAAAGTTTTAAGACTTGGCCCATTTTGTACCTACAGTGTTATTTTTACTGAAATGAGTAAGGAGACGGGTGCATCAGTTGACAAAAACTAGGAATTTTGAAATTTTAACTGGCATTTTAAATACCGCTTTCTTAATACAGGCCTTAGGATTCATGGCTGGACAGATGGGCGTTTCGGTAAGAAGTAGAGCATTAATTTACTGTCATGTTTTCCACTTAATAAAATGAATTTAAATGGACGCTAATTTCTTAATTGCCTTACAATCGTTTCTAACATTTTAGGTGGGAAGTATAGTTAAAGAAGGTAAGTAAGCGGAAGTTAATATCTTGACAGTATTGTGAATAATTTGTGATGTATGTAATATCTCGTATGTATGTAATAAATTTGTGAGCGTTGATGTATGTAATATATGTAATAAATTTGTGAGCGATGTATGTAATAAATTTGTGAGCGTTGATCTCTTGTGTAGGTCCGGGACTGACCTTTATCGCCTACCCAGGTACGCTTCGCAAAAGATATGTTGAACTCTTTCTTAAGATTTCTATGAAATATATCTGACATCTTTATCGGTAAACCGAAATATTTGCTACTTCAATATTTCTGCACACGCTTAGGAAGTTAAGGGATCAATAATCGGACTCTTTTTCAGATGCGATATCCAGAATGCCAGTGCCGGTAGGTGTCATCCTGTGCCGTTCTTATCAAATCCACTTACAAAGCACGCCCGGATTTTATTTTATTGGTTGGTTTTACAGACCCTTTGGGCTATTCTGTTCAATTTTATGGTAAGCACAAACTTGAAAGCATCCTCTAGTTGCAGCATTAATGTAAATACATTTGGAAAACAAATGCTAAATTTCGGTTTATGGCTTTCGAGTTTCGAGTAAATCGCCAATGCGTTTTAGATTTTATGCTTGGGACTGGATACCCTGTTTGCCATAATTGAAACAAGTATGGTAATTCTGACTACAAAAGACCCTAGCTTGTTAATTTTTCGATTGTTATTTTTGTGTTTCGAAATCTGTAGTCGCAACCGGTATTTGCGATCACTGGCCGAAATTCACCAAACGACGAGTATGGGTTATAATGGCCATTTGCTGTGCTGGTTTTGCAGTGGGTTTGTTGTATACAACCAGGGTACGCATTATGATTAACTTTATACAAATAATACATTATTGTTCATGAACTACTGGAATTCGAAAAACTGTTTATTGCTGATTTTCAGGAGCATAAATATTTATAAGTAAAGTTTTCTTTGCTTATTGCAGGCTGGCATATACTGGGTTCAACTAGTCGACGATTTTGTAGGTAAGTTACAACCGGCGATATCGAGGCACCGCGATTAAACAGAGCTAGGCCTGAAAAGCTTTGATAGTAGCACGGCTTAATATTGTTACTGGTTAGTTGATAAAAGCCCCGAAATTTGATTAATCAAGGCAATCGTATGTAGCTGGATGGCCGCTCATCTTTTTTGGATTCTGTGAAATCGTGATCATACTGCTGTATGGTGTTAACAAATTTTCGGATCTGATTTACTCCATGACCGGACATCACGTGAACTGGATTTACAAGACTGCGTGGTGGAGTGTGATTCCCTTGTGCACACTGGTACGCGGGATTTCACGAATGCACGTTTACGCATCTCGTGGTATTCCCAGAAAGACGCTCAAGAATTTTAATTTGTCCTGTTTAGGGCCTGATCGTTGCTGACTGGATTTACTACGAACCAACAAAGTACAACGGTGTCAGACTTCCGTTGTGGACTCAAGGTTAGCAGTAGGACAAAATTTATACCATACAGTCTATGCTTACGCTGATGTAATTATGATCGTTGTCCGTTGGTTCGAGCTGGATGCAGCGGGAAAGAATAAACAAAGTTATATTATCGCATACATTGGTATTGTAACAGTGTATTTATTTTATTTGACAGAAAAGATGAAAGTTAATCTGATTCTTTCGTAATATATAATTTCTTAATTGGCGTTCTGTTGAACTATCTGTTACCGCATGTAATCGCTAATTGCAGTCATTGGCTGGATGCTGGCGCTGGGTCCAGTTATGCTAATACCGCTGCACGCAGCCTATGAAATCTACAATAACAGGAAGCTGTCCTTTTGTGCGGTGAGGAACAATTTAAACATTTTCAATTTGTTTCGCAATAGGTGCTGTGTTTTTTGCAGATATTAAAGACGCTTTTCACTCCAACATCGCGCTTTCAACCCCAAAGTGCTTCCGTGGAGGTGCTGTATTCCCAGATTCTGGTTTCGCCGGAAAGTATTAATCCGCTTCTACCAAGAATATATCCGGCTGATGTACATGCAGAATCTCGTGTATAATAATTATTGATTGTACAGATGTATGGGGCTTACACCTATGCGGTGTTCCTCTTTACTGTAACAGTTGATAGTGAAGTGGCTTTGCCAGTCACGAAGGTCAACAATAAAACCTCTGCCTGTCTTAATTTTATTACCGTCGCTCCAAATCCTCCATAGCACACTTATAGGCTGGAATACACAACAGAATATTATTGATTGTTTTTTGTTTCAAAGTCAAAAGTCATTATTACGTTACACTTTTGCTGTTGATATTTCGCTTACTGATCAAAATGGATCAAGACTGGAAAAATAGGGCATTTGCCGGCAATTAGGGCAGTTTTAACGTATATAGATTGGAAACCACAATTGTTTAGAGAAAATTGATATTTTTGCACAGATCGATGGAGCACGTACTTGGCATTTGTTATTTTTTCCGTTGGGCTTGTGCCCTAGTTTAACGGGAACTGGATAGTCTATATTATTAAAGACCTTCTAAAAACGCGTAGGCGATGGATTATTTGATTAGAGTCAGTAATGCAGGTATCGAAAGCGGAACCTAATAAACAGGTCTCTTGTCGGGGACTTGACACGGTTACAAAGTTTAATACGAAATGCTTGTTCTTGTTTTGTTAGTGTACAGAACCTGCATAATAATTATTATGACTGTATGTTTTGTATCTATACTTCAGCATAAGTAAAAACAAATAGACTGACTTGGATTATCAAGAAAATCAAGACTTTTTCCATTGTTTAAATCGAGACTTTTTCCATTGTTTAAATCGACTTGGATTATTGTGACCTTTAACTTAAGCTTGTGTAATTGCAAAAATTCGTCGAATCGCTTCACCAGCTTAAATAAGAACGATGAGAGAAACAGAATAATTTTGTTATCGAAACCTTGAATACAATTATAACACGATCGATGTAGCCGAAAGCAAGAGAAAGTGAATCTATTAAAATACAACAACGAGACGGAAACTAACAGGAACACATAAATGAGTATCACAACATCCAAACATTGAGCAATCAGATACGGCTTCGTCTCAACGATGTACAATACGGTCAATACCATAATTATTAGTAAGTAACAATATAATTCGGTAGCACACATATTGCTGTGTTGCAGAATACAAGGACTGCGTCACAATACTGGACGGAAGATTAAGAAGGTCGCACCGGAGAATCTGACGACGTATGAAGTGTCGGTCCACAGCTTAGATTGATGCTGGTGGACGGGCAGGAGATGTGGCTAGTAGGAATGGTAAAAACGGATGACTTGGCGGCAGCTGCTTTGTCCGCCCATAAAACTTGATGCAGTATACGACCCAGTGTAATGCGTCGCCGGCATAAAGGGCAAGCCAGTTTGCCACTGCGCAGCCAGTGGTCGATACAGTGTTGATGGAAAACTGTAGCAAAGCACACAATTAAATAATTCCTAGAAAGAATTTACAGTATCTGATTGTGTCTTCAGGTAAACTGGTTTAAATATATTGTATTATAATTTCATTTCTAATCGGCCGGTCGACCGGTACGCAGCGAAAATCCTCTAACCGAAGAAAAGGCACAACTGATGTCTGTCTGTTACGCCGAGTAACAAAGCTTGTTCCAGAAGTAAGTACAATACGAGTACGTATATATAACTGGAAGTGATTTTGCTGCAAAGTTATTAACTGGATACGAGTACTATAATTATACGAGCACCCAAACACAGGACTGCGTCACTGTAACTACCGTTTGCATTTGCAACCGCACATTTAATCACCGCACCGCGGCCTATAGCTTACCATGTTGGCAGGGCAGAATCGTGTGAATATGCTCGGTCCGGCGGAAGTTCTCCAGGCAAATAGGACAACGGGAAGCCGTTTCAGGGCTGCCGGTGCTACTATTCTCCAGTGCCCTTGCTTGACATTGTGGCACTACTTTCCGATTGTGAGTGGCCATTTTGTAGCACATAAACACGGAGCAGTGAAGAAATCTCTGTCAGAACAAAACCAAAATTTTTCCACATTTCACCACGTATATATCGCGTATTTCATGGTTAAGTGGAACTGTGCCGGCGCCTTTTGAAACAGGATGAAAGGATGGGAGAAACATGAGTAGATTGTATACGGCTTGAATACCGTAGCATGCCCTCATTTGCACGGGGCAGGGTCAGTTGCGTGACTGCCTTTGAGGCGGTCCACTACATCATATTGTGGAATGGGCTCATAACATGAAATGGTGCGAAAAGAAATTTGTATAATTGTGGATGTTTGTTATACACTTAAGGTTGGGACAGCAACTTCGGGGACGTAGGGGTTTAATTAGGACTTTGTGTATCCGGTAAACACCCGAAGCGCACGATCACGGCGAACCAATTACATGCTCACGTGCACTGCTTTGTTCAAGGTCCCGGTAAGTCATTTGCAAGAGATCGCAACGGATGCTTGGGATACTGCTGCTGTTGGAAAAAGAAAAACAGCTATATGGTCTACAGCGGAAGCTGCCTGTGTGGCCCGTGCTGTTATTGTCAGAACTGTATATTAAATATAATCACGTAAATCCAAGAATCGAAAATATTGTGAACAGAAATAATGGTCGATGCCATGCACAATGTCGGTTTTATTTGGATCACGTGAGCCGGTAATTACACGGTGTCGTCATAGTGCTTTCCTAGATTTGACTGCAAGTTATTTTGATTATCGTTTCACAAGACAAATGATAGTGTGCTTTTGGACCACGTACGATCTGTGGTATAGTTGGGGAAAATGGACAATGCATGTAACTGATAAATAATGCGCAACGCATAGAAGTACTCATAAAGTTATGAGTACTCCTACAATATTAATGCAGTGAATCTTACTGCTTATGTACAATACAATATACTAACTAACTAAAAAAAATTGTGAATTAAGGGTTCAACTTTTTTCGACTCAAGCCTAAATATGTACCTGTTCAGTATGCCTTAAGGAGTTTTCGAAGCGTATTATGTATTGTACTTACGAGTTAATTTCCGAAGCGTATTAGGGCCAGATGTAGTGTGTCAATTTGGATTTAAAAGTTTATATGAGTATGCTTCTTCAGTGTCTGTACCGTGAACGTACCCGTGTCACGATAATCAAGAGCAGGAAGACGATGATGCAGACATAGCTGACGGTTGGGATAAACCCCAACAATACGTTCGCAATATCTGAGCCGCGATCGACCGTCACGGTAACGGAAGAGAATGCTGTAGTGCTGTTAATGCGCGAGGCAATAACAATTTGCGATCCCGTCGAGTATTGAAAAGTGCGCCATAGTAAGCTCCCATCCGCAAAATCCACGAACACAACCGGTATGGAATATGCGTTTGTGTAATTGAATATAAAAGCGCTGCTGTTCTTGTACGTTGTGGACGACTGCTTCACAATTCCTACACGGCGTCCTAATGGTTTTTCGTTGAATATTATCAGGGCAATGTAACCGGCGTCGGCAGCATTCAACACCTGAAATAATTTAATAATTTCACAGTTATGTGAACTTTGGTTTCTACGAGTATCACATTACCATATCACACAATGAATGCGTGGACTAAATTTTGCATACTTAGAATTACAAAATAATGATTATTAACGTTTGATTAATTATTTGTACTTTATATTGTATTTACAATAACCTTTTTTACATTTTCTAGCTGTATGAATGAATGTGTTTAAAATTTTTCCATTTTTTAATCTTCAAGATGTTAAACGAGGTATTTGCAAAATTACAATCCAGCGTGACAAATTTGAATTGGGAAAAAGGAATTTAAACAACATCTGCATGTACAGCAATACAGTACAAAGTAATTTAGTAGAATTAATATCCTCAAATGACCAGTAGTCTAATTTTGATAAGGTATTACGCGCTGGTCAGTCCACATATTCATTCGATTATTGTAATACGATGAACAAGCAATCTACGGCATGTATAAAAAACTCATTATTTATTGCTGCATACTTTCTCACTGATGTTACATCCACCTCGCTGAACCAGCAAGATCTCCGCTCTCCTTAGAATAAGCGCATCGGAAGAAGGCGACAACATATGCTGGCAACCGTTAATCGGTCGAGCGGCTATCAAATATCCTGAAATCCCCTCATCCGGAATTACCGAATTCACAAGGAGCGCCGAATCGGGAGCAATAGTATAGTTGGCTGTCCCATCTGCTCCAATCTGTCCGATCATATCTGGTTACTTATAATTATGCTAATAGTGGTGTCGTCATCTTCACATTTATATTTAGACAATACTTACATGCGGCCTCATGTATTACTGATAAATTCAAATTTTATTAATGCTATAAGTTTTTCGTGCACAATAAAATATCCTGATAAAAGAATACGTAGTAGCATAAATTAAACAAAACTGACTGCACTTACCACAGTTAAACTGGCTGGAAAATTTGGCATGGATACATCGGAGGGCATAACATGTACAAATAGAAAACAAAGAAAGATGTCAAAGAGTGCTAAATTTTGAGCATACATGATAGCGCAGAGTTTTTCCCCAGCATTCATATCAAAACAGTATAAAAACTCTGCTGACGCAAGTATACACCGAAGTCGGGTAAATCCTGGCGATTCATTATGGACGTCAGTGGATGAGACCTTTTAGAAATCGGGATTCCAGCGCACAGCAGTATACCTGCTGCTCCACATGCAGGTACCGTACTGCCGCCGCTATATATACGGCACCGCAATCCAGTACAGTGCTAATCAATACTGCTGGAGCGGAAAGCGAAGGATTGGTTAATTCTCCGGACTGATTGTGGGATCGTAATACTGCGCATACACTCTCTGCCGACAACGTTGGGAGAAAAATAATTTTGTTTACTAAGGAAGCAGGTGGGATGGTGCCGGTAGCAAGGGCCACCGGAATGTTCATAACTTCGCATGCCGTACATCCGTACACAAGCGGTAGAGCTTTTGTTGCAAAACTGAGCGCGCCAACTACCCACGTCTTTAATGGACCGTGGCATGACCGCGCACTGCGCAGTCGCCGAAGTGCACCATCATAGGCTATATGCTGAGTAACAAGAAATTCAAAATTTGATGAAGTACCGGTGACATTTTGTTTGAGCGGTATAATTATGCCAAGATTTTTGGCAGAGAAAAAATTGCAACGCAGTAGCTTGCCTGTCTACGGTTAAATAATACATACCGTTTTACCTAATTTTATATCGGTAATACCATCACTGTGATATGAATACCAACGCGCTGGACAGCATCGACATGTACGCTTTCATTGAACATTGGCTTTTTCGGCGCCCAAAACACCATGTTTATATGAAAAATTATAATTTCGAATGTACGAGTAATGTAAAATTATGTAATAAGGAATGAATGTAATAATTGTAATTACTATGTAATAAACATTATAATCTCGTATTTATTATACTTTCACAGTTCTATCCATAGTTACTTCAGTTACCAAAACACATTTGATGTGCATACAAACATTAGTTTGGTAGTCGCAGGCTAAACACAGACGAAGTTACTTACTGTGCGACATGGAGAACTCCACCGTAATACTGTACCGCTAAGTGCTGCTCGTAGCTATCGATTAAATTAAATCGTAAGTACAAAACCAAGAATACAAAATAAAAAATTTCCAAATCTCGGAGCAGCTGAAATACTACTCGAGTAAGCTCTTTTTCAGTGAAACTATTTCGCCGCCTTCCGACACTTTGCACTTTTTTACAACAGCTGGTGCTTATTGATGGTAATAGATTTGGTTTCCGGTGACACGTCGCATTCAAACTGCACCGCCGCCAGAGATTCGCCCCAGGAACTGTGGCTGGTTTCTTCGACAGGATAGAATTTGCATTGGATTATTCCTAATATCATGCCGAATTCTTTGAATTCTACGCATAATTTTAGTTGATGTCGTGTTTTGCGGGCACTCCTCTCAAAGGATCGTGGTGTCCATTCACCTTGGTACGTAATCTGACTATCTTCATCCTGGTATTTGCTGGCATTCTTTTGCGGTTCCAATTTAATCTTCTCTTCGTGCAGTAAGAACGCCCTTAAGTAATACATATAATTATTGCAATTATCAGAATGCTGAATCGATCAGGGAATTGACGTAATTTAGTTCGGGATTTTGGTCCTGTCAAGGTTGTATACGTACTCGACAGGAAATACCGGCTGCAGTACCAGTCTCATCTCGTATGTTTCATCTTGGTTGAGTTTAATGGTGAATGGCTGTGGAAATCGCTTGCCGTCTGACTAACAATAGAAATAAATTTCCACGGATTATTCAATACATATAAAAAATATATTCCCGGCTCATTCAGTACATATAAAAAGTTATTGTGAAAAAATGAAATATTTGTAGGTCTTTTGGTTCCGGATAAAGAACACGCGGGAATAGATTTTATCCAGACGCTCAATAAGGCTGCATGCCGAACTCTGAACATCAAGGACTACGTAATAGGCATACTGTCCAAATCGCGCTGCAATATCTCTTATCGATAATCGCTACCGATGAAAATGTCTGCATTAAGTACAGGAATCGATAACGTCTGGTTGCAATGCACCTATGCACGAAAAATTATGTACGCAATACATATAACTATATGCAATTACCACTGCATGCTCTGAGATATTCTCGTATGTTTTGATATGAATTTTCATTAAGTACTGTTTTAATAAACACTACTACTTACTTTGAACACCACCGGTCTTTCACTGGATTTTCGTTTGATGAAAATGTTTATTCGTAATTTGCCTTTCTGGATACCTTTAGACATTTCTGACTGGAGAAGAGTGATTGCTCTTGGGTGAGAAGCAGTCCAATAAGTCGCAAACACACAATAACTGGGACTGTACTATTTTATGAATATTTTAGCACTTACTGATCGTAAGTGCTAAAACTCTCGATTATTAGAGATAGCCTGCGCAGTAGTATCATTCCACGAATCGCAAAAATATTGAAATAGCGCACAGCGCTTTGATTTGAGGTACAAGTACAGCTACTGCTGATTCCAGTTTGACCTGGCTAGTTCTTGAGCTCCATTACCTTTACACCCGCCGAAACCAAACATGCAAACGTTTGTTTTACCGATAACCGGTCCGTAACAAATGCTCCGATCACGTGCTTTTATCAACATCGCCCACTTATACTTAATGTCTATGGAAAAGTTACGATACGACATTTCCTTTTCGGTACCCAATAAGTACACAAGGATAGTGCCGGTAGTTGGACAGCATAAATCAGCATTTTTATCAGACGTTTGCGGTATACTTGTAGGATGGCACACGTGGTTACTGTCATTGTACTTCTTTGTGAACACTAGCCGCTGCGAGCGGAAACAATTTCGGGCTGCAATATGCCAAACGTATTGTGGATGTCTGCGTCGTGAATTGAATACTAAAAAAATCTTCATGGCACCAACAATGGTGGCATTGGCATACGACTACTAAACTGTGGTTACAAGCAAACTTTGGCCACATGAGTTTTGCGCGCGGTGAAATCATGATGCTGCACAATTGATAATCTTCTTTAACAACCCCTCATCATCATAATATTCTTTCACAACAGTCATGTGCATCACAATTTAACACTTGACCACAAATATTAGCTGCCAGTGCCCAACACGTGCAGAGTGCAGACATGTAAAAGAACAGAATTAACTGATTTCTGTGTATAACTGGCAGTAACTGCTGTATTCCGAGCAGCAACAAATTGGTAACATTTATATGTCAGCAATTACTGACCTTTCCAAGTTAACAATCGTAACAAGCAAATTCATGGAGTGGCAAGAAAATTCTCTCTATCACACGGTGCTTTCTTGATGAGCATCGGGACGAGCAGCAGCACGTGGAAAGTGAAATCTCCTCGGTATCCATTGCCGGATATTCACGGTGAATATCGGTGCTCGATCGGGACGTGGCACCGGACTGACTACCGGTTGACCACCACTGCTCGTCGGCTTGTTGGCCTGATATATTTCGCGCCGACAAACAGGACAGACTAAGTGATCCCGCAAGAGCCAGGGATCGACACATGCGCTGTGAAACTCTAAGGATAAAAATTACCGGGAAGATAAATAAAATTTTGCTATATGTCGTTGATTATGTGAGTATGATAATAAATTTGGAAGAACTACGTACCGTGTCCACAGGGAATTATTGTGCGCACTTTCTCGCCGTGCCGATATGTTTCCAAGCATATATAGCACTGATTATTCTGCACGGGAAGATTTGATTTCTTCTCATCCAGTTTCCTTTCCGGAAGTTGAGTGACCATTCGCTTTCTGCGATATGTCTGCCGGACTACCGACCATATTAAAGGACACTTCCCAGAAATCTATACGATAAAGAAATTTATTTTCAAACAGCTTCATCATGTTGGGTAAATGCTGTTCCTTTCTTACAGTGGTCAAAATAACAGCAGCTAAGAAGGGAATAATCACAACCGACACCGGCAGAAGGATTAGCGTCATTTCCAGGGCGGTGCCCAGTCTGGGCTGATCGGGACTCATAAGAACGTAATAGCCACTACTGGAGGAGTATTTTTCCCATAATAATATTCCATCCATATGGCCAAGGAATACCGATGGAATGGTAATGTTGGTAGGAACTGTCTGAGATCGCATTACGATTAGCTCATCCGACGCGTTATTAAAAATTATCACGGCTTTGTATCCCGCAGTCTGCGCACGATATATCTGTAAAACACATTTCAACGTAGTATTTAGATTTTTATGTATAATAACTACTATTTCGTGTATAATGATGGTGGCGCAATTATATATATATTGGTTGCAAAAGTTGCTGTACAACAACATAAAGTGTTAATACTGACTGCGCCAGCTGATCCTAGACGACATGTAATTACTACAGTATGAATTAGTTTTACGTGCTGTGCTGCAAATTGCAAGTTAATTTTTATCTTGTTTTCTATATATAAATACAACAACGACTTGAGACAATTTCGCGAGAAAACTGAATTCTTTAAAAATTATTATCAGGTAAAATGGAAGTTGTAATACGTCTCGTACTTGATCACCGAAATCACAATCCGAGCTTTGTTGAGCCAGTAGAATCCGCGAACTCCACCAGTCCGTGAAATCTGACGTAGGCGTGGCGGTGTCCAGTGGCGAGCAGGCTGTTATAGGATTGGATCGTACAACGTAACCGATAACGCCGCTGTCCGGAAGTGCCATACCAAACTGGGCAGCCAAGGCATGTAATGTAATGCGCGGCTTTCCTTGCGGTGACATCTGCCCATTAATTATACACTGCTTAAAACTATCCCACCACAAAATAATTGCACAAACGAAACAGCTGTCGCGCACATTAAAAAACGATTTGACAGCTATATGCTTTCAGGAAATGCGCAAGGTCATAAATTGGTTAACCACTTACCACATTTATATCAGCACTCCTTGTTTGCTGGCAAAATTGCAAAAATAAAGCAGTAAAAAAATAAATCCATTGAAAATTATTCGCCATTGACGGACAGCAATAGAGCAGTGCTATCCGAGAAAAACTGACCGCGTCTAATGTGGATCGGCGCGGCTGAGAAATTCCCCACTGCCAACTGCAAGGTGCTTAAGTTAAGTCCTCGATACAGACACAGTGACATCACATATTCATCGTGGTCCAGTGTTATTTTATTAACTCAAGCCAAATTTGCTGAAATCGGCTGGTAAGCATTTCTTTGGGCACCGATATAGAACGTGTTTTGGAAGAGTCCTCCAGGGCAAATTTCCACCATACAGCGTTCGTTATCTTATTGTCCATTAACAACACACTACCCGGTGCTACGGTAGCTGAAAACTTTTTGCCCCGCTGACTCATTACTTTGATCATTGGACACATTACCGTCACATTATGGGTGGTTTTACTATGTTTTTCTATCTTGTCGAACCGGTTCGGCCTACTGCGGCAAAGCTGGATGGCTTTGAGATCGACTGGAAAACCATGTGTCCAAATCAATTCTTTTGTTCAAGTCGTAATGACAGATGTTTACGATACACGCTACAGTAACGCATGTAGTGGTAGCTAATCAGTTTACTGAACGAATTTCCGGCGGTTTTTGCACAATAAACACTTGGCTTAACACAATGAAAAAACAATCACAAAAAAACATCCAGCATAATCAGATCGAAACAAAGGTATAATCTATACAAAGTCACACACGTACCTAATAATACGATATAAAACTTCCAAAATTAAGACGCAATATCTTCTCTGAATCATCGGGTTCATTCCCTGAAAGCGAAAAACAAACCAAAACACTGCCATCCTAATACCATGCGAAACCGTTTCAAAACAAAAAAAAAGAATCAGCGTTATCACCCGTAGGATGCATACAAGCGTGCGAAATGTAGGTAATCCAACTGAAATGCCATGCCACCGCAATTAAACCCGTCTTATCAGCGAATCATTCGAATCCGTCAGCCGGATCAGCGGTACATCGTTATCATCATCGGTCTCATTGCCAGTCGGTGCCGACGGCGGGGATACTTCGGTGACAGTGGAGAAGTACGACGTCCCACTGGTCGAGGGCATCTCGTCGGTGTTATATGACGGCGACGAGGTGATGGTTACAGGGTGGGTGGTCCGCACTGTTCGGCTCTCGCTGCTCCCATCGTCTTCATCGTCACTAATGAATTCCACGTTAACCAGGTGTGCAGGATGCTGTACTGGCAAGTCATTCTCCAGAGGAGCGTTATGGGCTGGGGAAAGAAGCGGAGTAACTTCGCTGGGCTCGGCCGAGCTCCGTCCGCCGCCCGTGGTTGCCTCGTCATCCGAATCGTCCCCCGGAATTACTTTGCGCTTGCATACGGGGCAGACGCGTTTATTATTCAACAGCCACGGATCCACGCACTTGCAGTGGTATTCTGTAGAAAACATCACAATGAGCACAATCACGTTCAAATTGACTATAAAGTGTATTTAAATTTCTACTTCTTTTCGCCTAAATACCCCAAATATCAGGAAGACTAAAATAAATTTGGGGTGGCAAGATTTGCAAGAGATTGCGTACTGATATAATTTGGATTTCACCGCAAATCGTTGCATGATCGCCACAGATAAATCTTGTCCTTGATCTTAGTGTACTTACGATGGTGGCAAGGAAGGACACGCATCTTGTCTCCTTCCTCGAATTCATCCAAGCAGATGGCGCAGACGTCATTGCCTTCACCTTTCTTAAATTTCTTAATGGCAATCTTCTTGAGCTGGGATTTCGGTAATCGGTGACGCTGTCGCCGTCGACGATCTCTCACGTATTTGGCAACCTAAAGTAATACAATATATTACGATTTCCATTGGCTTTCATTAAAAAGGAGTATCTGGATTCCGTCGAAAACCCTCAACATTAATCACTAATTTGTTCCACTTTGTGTAATATAACGAATGCTATCCGCTGTTGTACAAGTTGACGTAAGTCGTTCTTATTAAACCCGCCGTTGCCTCATAAAGGATAATTACGATGTCTTTCTTAGAGACTGGCGATGATTTGCCCTGTTGAATAATTGCACGACATCCGCAGATTCGATGAAATTAGAATAAGGAAGCCACTTACCAGCACCATGGTTAGCACGAAGAAGCAGATGCCCACCACGATGGCAAAGGGCAGGAGGATGGCATTCAGACTGATCACCGGATAATCCGGCGTGATTACGATATGGTAACCCGATGTCCATGTGAAATCCGTAGCCAGCATAATGCCATCACGATAGCTGACAAACACGGAAGGAATCTGAATTTCATCGCCATGGGTGCCGCTCATCGGAATCAGATTCTGAGATCCGTTGTTGTATACAATGGCAGAGATATACCCGGCATTTTGAGCATTCAGCACCTAAGAGGCAGCAACTCTAAATGTAAAACAGTGCACAAACACCGAAAAAGGTGCCAAAACGTCAGCGTACTTTGGTGTCGAAATCGCAGCCACCCCGTTTAATAAGAATGATCCACGGCCGCAAAACTGACATGTTGGATCCCGGAGGCGGAGGTCTGATAGGCGTACACCCGTTAATGGGATCAGACAAGACCAAATAACCCTCCAGCCCGTCACTGGGAATACTTGGTCCGAAGTGGTCAGAAGCGGGCATGTCAGCAAACCGATACATCGTGTCATTTTTGGGACCGCCAATCTGAATTACGAAATTATATTAATTCTGAACAATTGATACATGATCAATACTAAAACCATACAGTTCAAATAAGCTCCAACTGTTTACAATACTTATCGTTAATACAATATATACTACTTAATATGACTAAAAGTCCAAAATTACCCAACCATACATGGTGTACACAACACAAAGGCAACAAAAAACAACAACGAGAAGAACAACTTCGTATTATTTTAGTTTTATTTTTGAGCCGCAACGTTATAACAAGCAGTGCTGATAACTTATACACATCATTTTTAAAATTTTACTTCGAAGTTCCAACTGCTTGGGTGCGAAGCTTCTCTCTCAAACAAAATTAATACGTAACTCATTACTCTGTATCATTTCCGTTTTTCACTGTATTCACGTGTATAATATTTCTATTTTCGGAAGTTCGGATTAGGAATTCTGATCACCATACAGTCCATACTGCATTATAACAGACCAGCAGTAAGTCGGTAAATACCACACCGCGTTTATCCAGCGCACCAGTCAAACAAGCTATTATTATTGATTGTTTTTTCGCAGCTTTCGGACGGACTCGTGCTGCACTAGCTCTGGACGCCGTATTACGTAAGAAATCAAAACTCACAAAAACAGTGCAAAATCAAAATCACTAAACAGCACGAGTAAATAACTAAACAATCTATCAGCTGTAATCAACTAAAAATTTTTGAAAATCATGAGAAAAAGGGAGCACTGAAGAAGAAAAGCTCGTACCACCATGTTACCAGTTACCGATAGCAAACTACATACAATTTTAATCAAATTCCCACAGGAAACCTGTTCACCAGAATTTTTCAAAACAACTCATTCCCTGAACCAGATCGTTCCTAGTTGCTAAAAAACAGCATAAGCAGTCGTTCTAACGTTAACCAGCAAGAAAAACAAAATCGTACACAATAATTCTGTTACAGGTTTAATCAACATTCACGGATTAGCGCCCCAATAGCTATCAGCGAGTGCATTTAAACTTACTACAAGGACATCCGCTTCCACAGACGATAGTAAATAAAACGACGCGATGATACTGCTGGCTGCCAAGGTTAACATTGTGAAATGAAAGGAACAAGCTTCACCAAAACGGTGATGGCGTAATGCCTATCCGAAAGCGAATACTGAAGAGTTTTGCCAAAAACAAAGGGATCTGATCCACTTAAAGCATTTTCGTCCCAAAGCAATCACATTGTGGTCTTTCTGTAGAGCAGCAAATTTTGTATTCTAAACATTGGCAGATATCACGATAAACTGAGATCGTTTTCGCTCAGTAGTCTCCAGCACTTCGCTATCGACGCGTTCTTATCATGGGTATCACGTGCAGTTGCCCAGATAAGGCAAATAACGATCGAACAGGAATTACCCCCTTTAATAATATTCAGAGATCCAAATTAATTCATCCAGCAAACACTTACAGAAGTAAACTATCACTTCACAAGATCACGAAAAACAAGAAACACATTCACAAAAATGACAAAATTAAGTAACAGTCAGCTGAGTCAAGTAATTAGTACAGCACCTTCGGATTAATTTTGTCGAAAACGAAATCCAAAATGCGAGCTGCAATTTTCCCTTTTTTATGCAAAATTGTGATCGTCAATGCTTCTTTGAAGTTTGACTATACAGAGAAAAGTCCAACGAGCATTTAATCCCTAGACTGTGTAAACACGTAGCTCCAGGGATTTTTACTTGTTGCATTACCTAAGTTCCCAGTGATAGCTTTTCCACTGCTACTGTCTCCGGGTGGCAGCCACGAGAACAAAGTACGAAGAGCCGGAAGGAGACACACCTGTCACGCGTATGTCCAACACCGCGCCAAAAGCCGAAGTTTTGAACTTTTGGCCATGGCGACCACAAAGCTCGACGATTACTTAACTGCTCTAGTAGGGAAGAAGAAGTTTTGAAGATGCATGCATCAGTTAGTGCCTTATTGGCTCAGGAAGAGTGAGCCATGCATTGTCTATCGACAACCATTCAGCTTTGCAGCAGCGAGAAAATAATGTAGCGTGCATATTGGGAAAAACGTTTCCTGGGGGCTGCGAAGTTAGCCGAGATTTGTGGTCATCCGGCCGTGGAATCAAATATTCCGTTTTTGCTCAGTATTTTGAACTACGAGCGCTTCTTAAGAGGTGCGCTGGACACGTCCTTTATCTCCTTAAAATAATATTACCAAGGGCGGACGTGTGCCTACTCAAACAGAAACCCTTCTGGCCGACACAGATTCAAAAACCCCCATAGTTTTATTCCATAGATTACAAACCGAAACCAGTGACAAAACATGACAAAACCCAACACATACAATAAATAAATCCTATAGCAGCAATATTACGAATAAAATCCAAAGAATAATATTGCAACATTTGAGCAGCAAAACACAAAGCCCGACGGCACGCATTATTCAACAAGAGAATGCTGCAAGACGCTACTCTATAAACACCGTAAGTCCGACACTATAAAACCAGCATTATTATGATACTAAACACTTGATAAGTGCTTTACGTTGCCCAAAACCCTTTTTCCATATTATACAGCAAGTCAAATTTTAACGGCTTAAGTCACGCAGCATGCATGCATTTCATTCACTAAGTTCTACTAACAAATCATCGGCTTCCACTTTCGTACCGGCCGCAACATGGACCTTCTTGACCGTAGCCGCATATGGCGCCTGAACCACCATCTCCATCTTCATGGCACTAAGAACAGCCACCGGTTGACCTTTCTCCACAACATCGCCTTCTTTGACCGGGATTTCCAGAATCGTGCCCAACATTGGACTGCCCACTTGTTCACGCTTGCCTTTCTGTGCTTTAGGGTGAATGTTGATGGTCTTACGTGCCTTCGTATCCGGAATGAATACTGACCGGAACTGAAAACACCAACGGTCAATACATATCGTAGACGATGCTGCAGGAAACTTTGAAAAACAGTAGCTTTGGCTTTGGATTAAGAGTATAATGATTCAATGACAGCTAGTGCATTATGGGCATACTTGGCCGTTCAGCTCAAAAAACACTTCTCGTTCTCCTTTCGCTGTCAAGTCACTGATCGCCAATACTTTGATCTGTAGAGTTTTGCCACGTTCAATCTCCACCTGGAACAAGAAAACACTTGTACGTCCGTTCCCACTAAAATTACAAAGTTCATACTTCAAATTCTTCGCCAACTTTTGGACCGATAAGGAAAATCTTAGTCGACAAGCAGTCCACGGGACCATATTCGTTGCGGAAGGCGAAGTATTCTTCCGCTACTTTTGGATACATTGCAGCGGACATCACATCCGTTTCCTCGTCAATTTGAGAACCGAATTTCTCAGATAAATCCTTGTACATTTTGCCGAAATCCAAAGGTTTCATGGATTCTCCCGGGCGACCTTTCACCTACCAAACCAGCATGAACATCAGGGTGAAGAATTTGCAATCGGTCGAAAACCGCCGCCTGTCTACCTTGGGCAAGTCTTTGACCACTTTGCTGCGCAGTGGTTCCGGAAATCCGCCAGGCGGTTCACCAAGGTATCCCTGGAAATACTCCACCACCGAGCTGGGGAAAGACAGATCACCAGCCCTTTCCATAACGGAATCGGTGTCCAGCTTATTCTGCACCATAAACTGCGCCAAATCTCCAACTGTCTTCGACGTTGGTGTGACTTTTATGATATCACCCAGTAATAAATTCGCCTCTCGATAGGCCTTCTTGACCTGCTCAAATTGGTCACCCAATCCCAAACTGAAGGCCTGGAACTGCAGATTGGTGTACTGTCCACCTGGTATCTCGTTGTCGTACACATCCGAGTTGCCGGTTTTCATGGTCACCGCGCATTCGAACGGAGCATACAGGGTACGGGTTTGTTCCCAGAAGGCAGAATATTCATGGACACGTTGCAGATCAATGCCGGTATCGCGCGGGCTGCTCTGCAGACAGGCAACAACGGCCCCCATACTGGCCTGCGATGTCATGCCGGACATGGAATCCACCGCCACATCCACGATATCCGCTCCGGCTTCAGAGCAAGCCAATAGAGTGGCAACTCCTGAAACAGCAATTCATTAGCAGATATAAAATTGTGCTCTATGGCGGCGACCGCCGTAACATTATTTCGACGCCCATAATATTATTTCGATGCTGGTGCCCTCGTAGGAAGACTAAATGAAAAACAAAATGAAACTCTTACAGTTAACAAAACGGCCCTCAGCCATTCACAGGATCAAACTTTTAAACATACAGTCGGATATCCTATCTTGTATAAGTTCTATTTACACCATACTACCACTTAAGTTTACCATTACAACATACTAGCATTCGCAATCGTTTAAAAAAAAAGTCATAAAAATTTGACATAATCTCTCACCAGCTCCAGCAGTGTCGTGAGTGTGAATGTGGATGGGAATTTCTGGATAACGATCCCGGAGCGCAGAAATAAGAGTTTTCGCGGCAGCGGGCTTCAGTAATCCCGCCATATCCTTGATACACAAAATATGGATGCCTGTTTTAACCAACTGATCTGCTAAATCCATATAGTAAGGCAGCGTATATTTCGTCTTGCTCGGATCGCTGATATCACCGCTGTACGCAATGGCTCCCTCCACCACGGCTCCACTAGCACCGGCAGCTTCGATACCCATGGCCAAATTCGGCATATAATTCAACGCATCAAACACGCGGAAGATATCCATGCCGTTTTTATGAGCAATTTCGCAAAATTTGAAAATAGCGTTATCCGGATAGGAAGTGTAGCCCACCCCGTTGGCTCCACGCACCAGACACTGAGTCAAAACATTTGGTGTGGCGGCACTGAGATTTCGGAGGCGTTCCCATGGGCATTCGTAAAGGAAGCGCATAGCCACATCGAAGGTAGCGCCGCCCCAGTTTTCCATACTGAAAAGCTGTGGCATATGATGGGAGACGAAGGGAGCGATTTTCTTCATGTCGTATGTCCGAACTCTTGTGGCCAGAAGACTCTAAATAAATTTTGCATATCACTCGAGATCTTTCAAAAGAGATACTCGTATTAAAAGACTTTAAGAATTACAAGTTGTGAAAACTTGCCTGATGAGCATCGCGCAACGTAGTGTCCGTAATTAGCAACGGCTTATGAGCGCGTATCTTTTTCGCTAGACCGCGAGGACCTTCCTTCTGCAAAACATTGCGCCATCCATTTGGAGGCTGTGCGGAGGGATCGTAAGCCGGAACAGTCGGGGTAATGGAGGCCGGGAGAAGGGTTTTGTTGCCGAAAGGTGTCATAGGTCCATTAACCATAACATTGGCAAGATAATGGACCAATTTGCTGGCACGATTTTGTCCCGTTTCTAACTGGAAAAGTTCCGGGTGTTCGTCAATAAAGGATGTGTCCAGAGAGCCGTTCAAGAAACGCTCGTGGTTCAAAACATTGAGCAAAAACGGAATGTTTGTTTTCACGCCTGAAAATTAGCATTCAAAACAAGACAATAAAAATAACTCCAATGGATCATGCGCAATGCTTTATGACTCACCTCGAACTCGGAACTCTCGCAGAGCACGAGACATTTTTGCTTCCGCAGATGGAAGATTGCTTGATTTTGCAATGACCTTAACCAAGAGGGAATCGTAGTAAGGCGATATAACAGCTCCTGCGAAAGCTGAAGCACCATCCAAACGAATTCCAAAACCTTCTCCACTTCGAAAAACTTCAATCTAAAAAGGCAAAAATACCGATGCTCGACTGTGGGCATGCAAATGCAGTAATTTGTGAATCTATGGTATATTTAATTGCAGAAATCGGCTGCAGGTACGATATACAGGTAAACACATTTTTTACGTCAAAGATTTAAATACTTAAGAAACAAAAACAGGACTAGTCGTTTTCTTAAAATTTGTTTCGCAACATTAGTACCTCCAGAACAAAACCTTGTAAAATAACTATAAAACCATCGATTTCGCAATTTGCACACTAATTTTGTACCAAGAACTTTACAAATTCCAGAGCATGTAAGCACTAAGCAGATCTCACCCTCCCAGTGTCTGGTTGAAAGCTTTTTGCGGGATCTTCGGCGGTAACACGGCATTGTATGGCAACGCCCGATGCTTTTATATTCTCCTGCTTCAGTCCCAACTCCGACAGTGTGTTCCCTTCAGCAACTTTAATCTGTGTTTGCACCAGATCCACACCGGTGACCTCTTCCGTGACTGTGTGTTCCACTTGCAGGCGAGCATTAACTTCGATAAAGTAGTACTTTCCATCGGGAGCCAATAAAAACTCCACTGTTCCAGCATTGCGGTATCCAACATGCCGGGCCAGAGTAACCGCGCTGTTGTGCATCTGATCGCGGATCTTCTTGTCCAGATAAACAGCCGGTGCCAATTCGATGATCTTCTGATGACGCCGCTGAACGGAGCCTAATTTTAATACTGTCAATAATGCAGAAGAGAATACAATGAGCAAAATTAATCAGTTAGAAATGTCCCGCACGTATGCACGCAATGCGGCAACATACAATCTCTTTCGTGAAGATGAACCACATCGCCGTAATTGTCTCCCATAATCTGCACTTCAATATGCCGAGGCTTTTCAATATACTTCTCAATGAATATGGCTCCATTGCCAAAAGCTGCCTTGGCTTCTGATTGAGCCCTTTCAAAATTTTCTTTGACATTCTACAATCATTCACGTTACGTAAAGGATGCATTAGCTGCTATGAGTGCTATCTGCTGATTTAATCAGAGTGTGCGATGGGATTACTTTCATATCCCGAACGACTCGCATCCCGCGACCACCGCCTCCGTATGCCGCTTTGAGGATAATCGGCAAACCATGCTGCTCCACGAACTGCACTGCAGCGTCGGCATTCTCGATCGGGGTTTCCGTACCCGGGATAACCTAACATATTTATTAATTAACCGTTAGGTTTCTAAATCTATCAAATACGAACAAAATAAGATAGTCTGCTCATAATTACAAAATAGAATAGCCATAATTTAATTACAATAAAAATTATTATTTAAATTATAACAAAAAGTTAAATGGGTATTACTACAACCAAGTGAACCAATAAATTAGCCACTGCTTATCTGTACTACGCCTTCGTTATCAATGTTTCGTATTAGCTATCTCGAGCGATACTGATAATCCTCAAAACAGTGTCTGTATTTAAAAAGTCACTCACATGCAATCCAGCGCTAATTGCCGATTTACGCGCCGCTACTTTGTCTCCCATGCGTTCCATAACATCCGGTGTGGGACCAATGAAAATGATTCCGTTTTCTTCGCAAGCTTTCGCAAACTCCGTTCGCTCGGACAAGAAACCGTAGCCAGGATGGATAGCGTCCACGTCATTTTCTTTGGCGATTCGCACTAATTCCGGAATGTTTAAGTATGCGGCCACAGGGGCCAGACCCTTTCCGATCAGGTAAGACTCATCGGCTTTTTGACGATGCATCTGCATTCTGTCTTGCTCGGAGTATACAGCCACAGAGCTGCGCAAAGAACATTTTCATAAGCGTTAAGGAATTCACATGGAAGATTCAACTGCTCGCAAGCTAAAATTCCTTATTACAGCGATAGCAAATGCAAACGTTGCGAAAAGAATTTTTTATGGTGCACACTTTTCGTTTCTTCAGCTAGCTTCCAAAATTTTATAATTAACATTATAAAAATTCCAGCTTAAATAACACTCACATAATGCATACACTATAATAAAGACGCACATAATTAATTTTTATGGTAGTAACATACTTATTATGTTTAAAAATGAAACACCGATATTTCGCAGCCACGGCTCTACCATACTGGGATAAGCTATTAATTAAACCAACTTAAATCAGTTAACTGTTTAAGCACATCGAGTAATGTTCTTTTCCAGCAATTTATATGGTGCGCGATGGCTTACCGTATGCCCAGTTCTGTGCATGCTCGAAAAATTCGGACGGCGATCTCCCCTCGATTGGCCACCAGAACGCTTTTAATGGACTGCTTACTGGGACTTCGACGTTCCGTCTGCTGCTCCTTGCCATCTTTGCAGGACGGATCAACGTTTTTGCTGGCAATGCAACGTCGGGACGCGCTAGGATTGATGCCACTGCGCTGCAGGAGCAGCAGTCGCGATGCAACCGTGGAATACGCTGTCAACCCCGTTCGAGACACCAGCTGGGTGACCATTTCCGCTGGAGATCAACTGCACGGCTGCCAAGGACGATCAGGGTCAAATAATCAATTCCAGGGTCCAGGGATCAACAATTTACCTCATTCCGGCTTTGCAAGCCAACACCTGGGAAGACGTTAAGAAAATCAACCATGTGGTGCACACAGGAGCAGTAAAAAGGAAAATTTGCTTAGCGATTTTTACGATCTTGATGATAATAAAGAGAAAGAACGCAGAAAATATCTATACAATAATTTTTAAGCTTTCAGTTTATTGCTGGTTGTGCAACTGCACGAAACGTCGCACAGCTGGAAGCGATTCTCGTCGCGGTAAAGTCCCGTCAATAAGAGCCTATCTAAACACTACGTAATGCAGACCGGTTTTGCGGCCCTCCCTTCGAACTGCAGTGCTCTCCAGTCTTCGACTCTCCGACAATCTGCCTCAGAGAGTGCCTCACTGCCTCTGGCCCTCATAATACCTGACTTTAATTACGTTGTCTTTTGGTTCGTCCCAACTAATATCGCTGTTTTGATCTGTCCAAACCGGAAGTAGATGTCTTTTTAATTTCTGTCGATAGTGATTAGCGACCTTGCGGGTTTAAGAAGCTGGTACAGTACACACAGTAAGTACATGTGTAAGTTGCACATACAGATAGTGTACTTCGGACTTGCACATTGCAGCAAGCATTAATGAAAATAGTACTCGTACCTGCACAAGTTTAATAAGTGATGTTCGTACTGGGTATTATAATTAGTTATGTATTGTTATGTATTTTTATAAAATTGTACTTAATAAAATTAATTAATAATGTATAAATAGATACGTTTCCGCATACATCTATAAAATTCTTTTTATTGACGTAGCATAATAGTCTATTAATATAGATAATAGATATTATGTAAAATAAAGTTGTTAGTGTCTGTGTGACAGATGCATTCTACATATAGATAATTATAGATATAAAGTACCAATATCTGTACATATTCGGTTTGTGTAAAAATCGGTAATTATTATGCTTATTATGCTCGAGAGAGTTTAACGATACCGTGTATTGCAACGATGGATCAGAATTATTAATTTTATTAGTGGATAACATAAAACGGTAAGCTATGTAGTATGCACCTACTTGTTGGCGTTATTGCAAGTACAAAGATTGTACTGTTTAATGTGTAGTGCCCCTGTAGATAATAATTTATTGTAAGTCAAACTCTACCCGAGACGAGTGGAAATTACCCGAGAATGCCGCAAGCACAGATCGGAAACTTTCATAAATTAGCGTAATGATCGGTATTGGTGCTTGCGCCATAATAGTATTTCGAAACAACTAGCCGCATAAAGCAATCGCATCCCTATCGTGACTATCTTCCACTAACTTGTAAGCGGCATGTGCCGGCCACATAGCAAGACGATCACCCGAATTTCAAAGGTGGTTAAACGCTTTAGTCGCTCCGGCACAGGACTCTCCGAGCACGACATACGGAGTTACGGACGACGGTAGGTTTCAAACTTTTCATAATCTTTTTTTGCAGATATATAAATATTGTCAAAATCACATGCGAAAAGATGGTCATACACGTAACATGCATGATGGTAATAATTAGTAAACCGTCAACAATGCGAGCGCTCGTGTTGAGAATTTCCGCCAATGCTCATTCTCCACCTATCGACCTAATGTCACCTAAATTGTACTCGTTACCATTTTCGCAAATAAATCTAGATCTGTATACCGATAAGTACAAGTAGTGAGTGGCACTGGTGAGTTGCTGTTGTGTACGTCTAAAGTTGCAAAAACAGTGACTTATAAAATAAAACTCAAGTGTCAGACTGACATTGTCAGTTACCAAATAAGGCTTTAATAAGCTAACGGTAAAGAACAACTGGATCGCCATTCGCCATTACCGCGATTAATAAAAACACGCTTTACAACAAGTCACCGACATTTGTCTAAAAAAGTACGCATATCAAACATCGTCTGTTTTAAGCCTTTTTGCTTCAGTTGAGTAACTCGGAGAATGTTCCCTCTGTTGTCCAGATCTGCAAATCGATAAAACAATATAATATAATATACTTTTGCATCCATACCGAGCCGATCGTAGAGGAGTTACTTACCCCTTGGGTTTAGCCATAGGACCTTTTTGGCTCAGTTCAGGAAAGCGTAACACCTTCTTGCGTCGCGATTCAAAATCGGCATCGGGACGAGGAGCGAAGTTGGCAGTTATGCTAAACAAAAATACAACGTAAAATTTGAATCTTGACCGCAACAAATAAAATATGCCCTACCTGGGTGTTTTACTAAGTATTCGACTGATTTTAGCGTCCTCCATTCGTTCAGCGGAAACTGGATGCTTTTGAACCTGAACATGCAATACCGCAATATCAAAACGAATGAGAAATCTTTGACACAAACAGTAGACGCCCAATTACCCAACAGCGAATAATATCCCACATCACTTGCTTCGGGGCGTTGGTTTTCAGTGATTCTCTTTCACAATGGGACAATGAAAAGGTGTATCCGGCATGTAAAATGGCAGATCTAGAACAAATAAAAGCAAAACAAACAATCCAGTTAACGTAGCGTACGTCAGAGGTAGCCAAAAGCAAGCACTTATGACTTACAATAGCTGTTTGCTTGGTATGGGATTGCAGTGTACGACTTTGAACATATCCTTTGCAACATAATACAAAGGGCGGTCTGGCATCTCCTGTGAGTAGAACAAAACGGTATCACGGGTGTTTTAAAGCTTGTTTCCTGCGCCATTGTGCTCAGAAACTGTGGGTGCAAGAACTTCCCGCGCCCATACTTTCACCGCACACTACGAGTCAACATTCAACAGCAATAATTATATTTTTCTACCTCCTGCACCATCGCCAATTTTCCAGCTAGTAATTTTTCTGTTCCAAACCTATCCGGATGCGACGTCAATTCAGAAATCAAGTCGGTGACAAAGGAGACATCATGAATGCGACCGCTCCATATTGGACCACCAATCTGTTAAACACCTCAATGTAAACTGTAAAACACATACTTAAAACTTGATAACGGTACGACTATAAAAATTAATTTCGAATCACGTCGCTAAAGGTTCACAACTTTTAAATTGTACGAAACTATGCGTATGTGACTATTAGCAGCAATCAAGTGCAATACGAGTTTGCTTGCATATTTTTTTGTAATACTGCGGTGACTTAGGTCAATCCATCATAACACAAAACGATTTCACTTCACGGTTACAGCGTAGTAGCGTACCTTCAAATTAGTTCCACAAATTTCGCATATATTACTCGAAAGAACGTGGGAATTTGCATATCCTCTGAAATTTTAAAGAATATTAGCATTCGCTTGGCCTCCCGAAATCAAACCGCACACGGCACATTCACAGAAACTTACTTCGGTTTTTCACAGAGCGGCTGTAACGTAAAATCATGGCAAACATTGCAGTTGTATATCAGCGCACTATTGCTGCAAAACTCTTCATTTCACTGGACAATAGCGTAAGTCAAAGGCAGTCAAATTCAAATAGGAGAATTTACCGGACCGTTTCCTTAGCTTCCAGTGCGCCACGGCTAACTTTTATAAACAGCCGAACATAATGTCCTTCCCGTAAAGATAGTAAAGGCTCAATGTATCTTTCATGCAGCATTGCTCTCGAAGCGATCGCATTTAACACAATCCTCAAGGACTAGAATAACAAAACAAACTGAACGTATTTCTATAATGTGTACAATATGTAAAATCTTTAAAATAAGTTAATCAAGTGCAGCAAAGATTTCTTTCGTAGCCTATTTTGATTTTTCGCTTCAAACGGCAGCAGTCATTTAAGAATGTGAATAAAATATGTCATTTTTGTTCTAGCCCACAGTTCCTATTTATTCCAATCCCAACGTACAATTTCATGATGTGCTGGATTGCGAACGGAAGTGGCACCGTATCTGGCGTAACAGGCTTCTGGATAATTTCCGCACAGAATGGCCGTATCGGTGCATGTAACCATCAGTAATCCCCCGTCGGCCACACACTGTAATGCTCCCTCAAAGAATGGCGCCGCTGTTCCAAAGGGGTCCAAATCGACGGCATGGAAATAGTTTCGCTGGAAACCGAACGTCAGCATCAGTTCGCTAGACAGAAAAATTCCGGATTTATTCGCTAACCCGTGCTGCCAGAAGGGAGAAAACCGTACCGAGCGTCCTTTTGATACACTTGTATCTTGTCACAATTGTTATGAGCAGCATTTCTACGGATACTTTCGCATGCGACCGGATCGAAATCGTTAGCGGCAACCTGAGTAACATAGGGAACTTCCAGAGCATATCGACAGGTGCGAAGTCCCGTTGCTGCCATCACATCCAAGATTTTCGCGCTAAATGGCTGCAATGACAAGATAAATTAATAGAATTCAAATTTTTATTTAAAAAATGTTTCTGACGATTTTCGTTGGTGATTTGTCAAATTAATAAAATCTACAGAGAGGAAGGTTGAAAACACAAATCCTACGCAAAAATAAAATAAAAACCCGGTGAAGAATTCCAATAGCATATGAAAAATCCATTGAAAAATTATTACGGGAATTCACGATCAGCAAAAACTGTGTTTTAAAAATAAATAGCCAGAGAGTTCCTAAATAATCACCTACAAATATATGTTAGAACTTAGAACCCCGAACCATACCTTAGCATTACCAGCGTCTGTCTTCGTTCCATTAGGAACGCCTGCTTCACTTTTATTGTCGTTGTGGTTTTCGACGCTTCCAGAATTAACCGAGGCCTTGGCGTTTCGTCGCTTCACGGCATCCTCATGACGAAGCTTCAGCTTCTCAAAAAAGACGGTAAGTACCAGGCAACTGGAAAAAGAAGCCATTATCTGTGGTTCAGTGAAAAACTGCCATTACGCATTACACACCTGAGATCCCGATTGAATTCCTGCACCGGATTGTAAAACACCTTATCGGTGGAAACGTCTGGAGCCAGCATAGCTCTGCCTTCCTTAACAACTTTGGCGGTACTCATTGCTCGTGCGCTGCGGAAGTTAGTTATTGGAAGGAATCTGGATTCACAATAAGTCAGATGGTACCAAACATCCAAGGACTTCAATGAGTAACAACGAATGGAAAAGAAAGTAAGATCTGTAGAATGTCAATTGTATTACTCACTGTTCTGAGTGCGGAGACCGATCAAATTGTGTGTTCGATGCTGTGAAACTTTGCCCGAACAGGCGACTGAAATATGAACACAAGTTTATCGGTGACAGCAGCGGATTTCTTGCAGTTATGCCAGTTATTAATGCAGAAAACCTAACAATACAGGGCCTAACCATTGCAAAACAACAGGACCAACGATTCAACCGTAATCTACTGTCAAATTGTCAAATATCTCTTGAATTTACAATTAGTTTCAATTTGTTCAGTTTTAAGGATTTTGTGAAGTACAGTATCTACTTCATTGTGGCCTTTTGGGCTTCGGAGTTTTTTACCTGTGCCTCACAAGGCGCCGTAGTCCACAAAGAACAAATTTTTAAGTTGAGTTTTAATTTTTATCAGATAATAGTTTTATTAACAATAATCAGACATTTGCTGTTTCTGATGCATACTCTTATTTTCATAATTACTGAGAACTAGTGTAGTGTCTATCACTGTCTGTCGGCGCAGACTTATTTCTTAGTAAAATGGCTTTCGCCAATAATTTGTAAGTATACTAACTCGGCCGATTAATATTAACAATTATAATCAATTATTATTGTAACATAACCGTAGTACAACTACTGTAATAATTGTTATCTGATTATTGTTAATAATTGTACTGTTGTACTACGAGTACGGGCACATATTTATTCGGTACGCTTGACCGCAGACCAGTTGAGAAACGCCAGATGTCGTGCAATATGCCGCAACAGACGTCCGCAGCAGCGCAGCCGGTACGAGTGAGTGTACGCTTCATTCACTCGAGCACACTTCATTCATACGATTGGTTAACTCGCCATTTGGTAGGAGTGGGAGTGCCTTTGTATCACCGCTTGCCAGCATGAGTCACGTCTTTTATGCCGATGAACGAAGAATGAACTTTCTGCCCAAACTTCGAGATAACAGATTTAGTTTAGGTTTAGCAGATCTTTGATTTCAAGCGAGCTGGAACCAGAAATCTTGACGGCAACGTCGCTACGGGTGAAGCCGTTTTGTAAACCCGATCTCGATCTCCCTTTCTGTTCCCCGTCATCATCCCCTGTACCATCCTATAGATGACTACAATAATTAGCCACAGCTATTATAATGTCATACGCTGATGGGAATAACGTCCGCGTAGAGGAGACGCTAAAAATCAAAATAAGTAAGTTCTGACGGTAAATAGGTAATGCTTCTGACAGCGATACTTTATGATTTTTAGGCTTCAGCGCTTTGTGATCTGGAATATGTTTTTATTTGTTTTTTGTTTACATAAGTTTTCTGTCCAGGTGAAGTTCGAAATCTACCTCCTCGCACACAAGGATCACCGAAATTTCGCAGTCCATTTGTGACTGTTAATCTGGACCAAGAAACCGTTTTCGCAACATCGGTTATAAAGAATTCTCAAAAGTGAGTCATTAAGCATCTGATGAAATCGTTCGCATTTTTGTTTTGTAAAAACGGCTAGGCTGAATAAGCATGAATCAACCGGCATTTTTATTTGTTTTATTACGCGCTGTCACAAGCTTGAAACTGGTAATAAAAATTGTCAACTTGCTTGCGCAACGGAAGTATTTATAATACTTTGTAATTACCGGTAGCTGCGTTAAAGAAAACCAAAATCTTTTATTGCTCTTAACTTCTACTGCCAAAATTAACAGAAACAACTTTTCTGATCTATTTAAAACAAATACACAGAAAGCTGTGTTTTTACATTGCTTCAGGTTTTCTTCCACGTACATAATAAATTCATCATGTGAATATTATACATAGATCTGTTTTGCAGTCCTTATTTTGGAGAGGAGACGCAGTTTGAAATTCCTCGGAAATTCCGCTTTCTAAATGTATATGTCTACGATAAAAACGATCCAAATCCTAATGGTCAGATCAACGGAGCACTGGGCAAGGTAGCCATCGCCAAGCAGGATTTGTGTAAATTTAACGGGAAAGACCAATGGTTTCCCATCGTGCCGGTGGACAGCGATAGCGAGGTGAAAGGAAAAGTCCATGTGGAGGTCTTCCGGGTCAACAGTGCCTTAGCGGTCAGGTGTGTTGCTGCATTGTGCTCCGTATCTGTCTTATCTGATTACGAGAAAACTTATCCTAACACGGCTGTAAAATCGATCAGACATGCTTAATCACGTTGTTCCCTCGATGTACAGTACGTGGTAGAGTTGCCGTATACGGGTATGGATTTTTGTCGTCTAATATTAACCAACTTTAGAAAATAATGGTAATTGTTAAATGGTAATCTATAAGTATTACAGTACATCAAAATTTTGCAGGCTTTTCTGTCTTTATATGTTAATCAGCTCAGACCATGTAAATTTTTTAGCTACAGTAGTTATGCACATTTTATTGAAACTGAGTGTTTTTATTGGAATATAAAAACCGCATTCATCTACGGGGTTGGGAATCTTTTAAAGCAACTAACTGCAAGATACCAAATTTTATTTAAAAATTGCAGTTTTTAAGATTATCGATTTTTTTTATCGATGCTGTGCAGCCGGTTTTAGTTCCAAAAGTTCTGGATAGTTTACATTGAAAGTCTCTCTTCTTTTTTATCTTTTGCGTAAGTTGCATTCGTATCTCACTGGTGCGCACCGTAATAATCACTATTAATCAGACAGCATTTACGAGGCTAATCCCGATCTTCCTGGCCTAATTTTCCTGTGCGATCTGATTTCCTGCATGCAGATGCGGATAATTGCTTTTCTTTCAATACAATAAGCTAAATTTATCATTCGTTGGTATCACAGGAGCGCCTGCAGATGTGTACAATGCTACTTACAATAATTTTACAACTTACGATCGTTGTGCATAGTAGCTGGTGGTTGGTACACATGTAATAGGCGAGTAACTGACGTTTTTTGCCGAAGGTGCAGCACATTAATACACAAATGCGTCATTGTTATATTAATTAGATGATTCGCTGTAAGCTTGTCACTTGCAACGAAAAGCGGCATAGCGGATGTGGTCACTGCTTTTTGTAACGCTGCTCCGCATTATTTACGTAGAGGCAGAATTTTCCTAACTGTAAGCTTTGATCCAATATTATTTTCTTTTATCAAGATTTTACATTTTTGAAGACCGGCAATAGTCATAAGTTTGCGATCGTTTAGGATGTGTAACTGAAATGATAATTTGAAACGTCATATGCGATGCAAAGCAATAAAGAATAAACCAACAGTACTGGCTTGACCGGTAGTGTGACGTAGTTTTTCTGGCTGGTTAGCGGAGGCATTAATAAGTATTCCATAATGTGGGATAGTGGTAGATTGCCGGCTTCAATGTGGAGTGTGACGTAGTATTTTCGATACATGATCCTGTTTAGTGTTTTTCTGACCTTGTCACTTTCGCTTCGAGATCATTTCACTTGTCGTAAAATTTTCTTTTAACCTGCCCTGTCACTACAGATGTGGCTGCCGGTTGATGAATGCGTACGTGTACTTTTAAATTTCATTGACATTTTAAGCCGGTAAAACTGATGGGAGAATGTCGCATTACTTACACGTATTTCTGAATGCATAGCGCGCCTTTTGTTTGCAATTTTGCATACATGTTTATACTATGTCACTTTTGATATTTCTTCCTTCGTATTCACCAACAATATTTTCTGTCTGATACATACATCTGTAGGTGCCCTTTTAGTCGTATGGTATTGTTCCATGCATATGGTCGTATAATTGGAGACTAATGCAACCCCTTGGGTGCGCCGCTTTTCTCGTCTATCGTGACAGTGTGTCAAGTGATGTTTTGTGAATGGAGCGACATAGGATATTCGCATGCGTAATTTTGCTGATGTCCAGACCGGCAGCAGTTGTAGCATATTGATTGAGGGTGTGGCGCATGTTGCGGTTTACTTTGATCCAATTAATCATCCTGGCAATGGAGATGAACTGGATTTTAACGCCGCTGTTTACGCCAGGTGTAAAAGATTAATGACAACTGTGCCCTTTTTTTCCTCTTTTGCTATGGGTATCCTTATTAAAATTTCAGCAGCTTTTTGTATTCCTTCGCAGACACTAGGGTAATGTGTGCTACCTGTTCACTAAACTGTCCACACCCATATTCTGAACGCCGATTTTTCATTTTATAGGCTAAAGGAGTGTGCTGACTTGACCATTGTCAAGAACACCTGCGATCCTTTTGCGCTGGTCAGCGTGGAACATCATCCCAACAGCAAAGATGCCACACCTCTCATGTTCAAAACCAAAGTGTGGAGAAAGACTACAGTACCCCGTTTCGATGAAACCTTCTACTTCCCGGAGTCAATGTTGGATTACGATAAAGCGGAAATCCGCATCTGCGTATGGCATGAATCGGTGGGGGTGTGGGGGCATGTGTTTCTCGGGGAAATTCGCATACCGCTCAACGGACTGGATGCGCCCCACCACAAAGCGTGGTAAGAAGTTTAAACGAACGGTTATTACCGACCGATTTTCAAAATTTTATGAAGTACATGCGGGAATATAATTACTGTACGTTAATATTCTGTTAATTTGCAACGTATTTTATGCGTAATTTTCGATAAACCTTCAACTATTCAGTGTCAAAAATCAAAGCTACGATCTGCATTTTCCACTTGGGCTTCAGCTTGATACGAAAGAAATCTTCACAACTATTTATGATAAACCACTGATCCACTCAAACCAGGTTGTTATAAGTGCCAGTTATCCTTAATGTAATAGCTGAACACTTCTTACTTTGTGGACTGAAGGATTAATGTGCTTTAATTTCATGGACGAGCAACACAACGAAAAGGGGTAATACAGCAGGCTCAGAGTTTTAACGTTTTATCGTTTTTTTAAAATTAAACTTACAACAAAGCGGAATCAGTTGTAGTTGTCTTGAGTTAAGGGACGAACAAACAGGTTTCTGAATGGATAAGTGGTTAAAAAATTCATTTTGGCAGCAGCATTTATGCCGGCTGTTTTTTCGACTTTTGGTGATGTCGCTTTCTGTTACCGGGGCTGATTCGGCAGTTATTTCCACCTGCGTAGTTCCGTCTGACATGTAAAGGGTACAAACTTTAACTGCTGACTGAAATGACGCTGATATTTTGATTACCCCCATCATTCACAAGTACAACAGGAGCGTATGCTCATTCATAAAAAAACCGGTAGTGTTGTTGCAGTATCTGTGAAGGGCTCTCGTCATAAGCGTGATTGTAAAATAAATTGTAGTTACGTGAAAGTGAGAAAATCTTTTATTGCAGTTTTTAATTGATGGGTCGTTAATTGATGGGGATTTGATGGGTTGATGGGCTACTCGTGTTTGATGAGCGAAAGGAACCATATCACAGCACCAAGACTGGTTTTGGTCCCTAACCATAAATTTAAAATATTTATTCAGAATTATTTATGAATTTTATACTGCTGTAATGAGATGCGATGGTTACAGCGGATAAGTGTATCGGATATTACTGTTTCCGGTTTTAAGAACTTAATACCATGTACTATCATTGTTACTATCATTTTACAATAAAAGGTCACTAAATATATTAGGTATGGCAATCGCAAAATAGTTTTATGTGGTATAGGTATTTTTGGTGAGTTGTTTTTTTTTTTCACCAGGCATTAACTCTGGCCAGCTGGCATCTTATCGTTCTTTTAATTGGTAGGTACTTTCTCCAGCCAAGGGATCAATCGAGAAGTACAAATGTTTTGGAGAAGGGTGGTGCTATTCGACTTAGTATCCGCTACAGCTCGGACGAGATCATCTCCTCGGAGTGCTACGAACCTTTACGTCAGCTGCTCTTAGAGTCAGCGTCCTTTGATCCCATCACATCCAGTGCTGTGTATATTCTGGGGGAATTATGTGATGATAAACTGGATGTGGCCAAGCCGATCGTCCGTATTTTTCTTCACCACGACAAGTTACCGGACCTCATAAGAAGTTTGGCACAGCTGGAAATGAATGTCATCTCGTAAGTGTTATTTTTACTAGCGCACTGTAACCATTATCCTTTGCGGCGTTGCGCATCATTGCAGGCCGCTCCCTGATTAACGGCTTGTGTATGTGTCATAAAGATTCGTTATTGCGTGATACATCGTTAGCGTAGCCTAAAAGAAGATATTTTTATGGATTCTGAAGACTAGAGCATTGCGGTTTCGAGTTATGAACAAATTGTAAACTAGAAGCTGTAATTTTACGAAAATCTTTATTACTACGTTTTGTAAAAAAAATCATGATAATGTGTGCCAACGCCTTTCGGTCGGGGTTGACTGAGACAGAAATAGTATATTATAAACCAGTAGTATTAAATGTATCACAAAAGTATCCGTAAACAATGATGCGGCACCGGAATTTCACGCCATTATCATTGTTTAAGTTTGCTTATTTTGGCTGTTGATTTACGCGCTCACAGGCATGTAAGTAGACCAAATGGCATTGTGGTCAAAATTACATAAAAGCTGTTAAACATATGTTGCGTCTTTATTTGGTAGTCATCGCTAACTTGTGTGTTTATTTTTAGCGATGTGAATACTTTATTCCGTGGTAACACGCTCCTCTCAAAGTGCGTCGATGAACTGATGAAGCTGGTTGGCCGTTTCTATTTGCAGGCCGTTTTAAAAGAGGCAAGTGGTGTAAATTGTATAACACAATCTCCTGCTGCTGGTCCTATCTCTGGCTGTTTGGTGTTTAACTTTAAACTCGCCGACCGTATGATTGTTGATATTTGCATAAGTATTTTGATATCATTGCACAATAGTATGTATGCTGCATGTGACTGATTAGCACACCAAGGTTTACGGTAAAAATTTTGTTTGCTTGCAGATAATCGATAAAATCCATGCAGAAAATAAGTGCTGCGAAATCGATGTCAGCAAGATGACCGATCCTAATGATTTGACGGCTAATTTGGTAAGTTTGGAAGAAGTTTACGTTGCTCTTTTTGACCTAGATATCGGGCTATTTTTGGGACGGCATATGCGTCTGTAATGCGATCGGTTGCGCGCACTTGATCAGACACTCAGGGGCCGGCTTTTGAACAGTTATTTCCGCTTGTGTCACATCTTGATTATGTCGACTTATCAGCTATTCAGTTATCTATTCAGAGCGAGAAAAAGGCCGGTTTTTGTAGTGAGGCGAGCCAAACTTGTTGGATGAAAGAGGAGACGTGCCCGCGAATAATAGACACGTTCGATAACAAGGCAAAAATGTTTTTGTGATCATATCGGCGCTCTCGCCTGAGCCAATTGCTTCTTGAAAAATTTATTCACGCTAGCGATTCCTTTGATACGATGTCATTCGTTGTGGATGATCAGATCTAATGAATAAAGTTTCTAAAAACAGCGTGAGCGGTGACAGCGGCTTTAAGCGGAAACTGTTATTCATTGCGTGTTAGATAGGTCAAAATGCAATCTTCTTAAATTGTCAGTTAGTACTAATGTGGGAATCCATGACAATTTTTTAGACGAAGTTCAAGTTAGAAAACAAATTCAGCTTCTTATTTTTAATTGTGCAGTGTTTAATTGCATTGTTTGAGAGCGTGCTGAAATTCTACTCCGATGAATGTTTTGTTGTTTCATTTACTGACGCTGTACTGATTTTCTGTTTAACGTAATGCTTTGCTGCAGGAAAATTTGGTTGGCTACATTAAGCAGATACTAGATGCAATCACCCAGTCTGCACTTTCCTGCCCTGTATTGATCTCAGAAATTCTTGCCGAATTAAAACGCTGTGCCGTGGCTAAATATCCCAACCGACCGGAAATTCAGTATTCCGTGATTGCGGGATTCATTTTGCTCAGATTCTTTGCTCCGGCTATTCTTGGACCAAAATTGTTTGCTCTGCGAAAGGAAGGAGGATGTCCGTCCAATGTGTCGCGCACGCTCACCCTGATTTCTAAGACAGTGCAGAGTGTGGGCAATTGCCTAAGCAATGAAAACAACAAGGTGATTTAAATCATTAACGCATGCCGTTGGGCTGTTCATAATAACATGCGTCTTTTCAAATTGCGATTTTGGAAAAATAGTTTTGACGAAATTGGACGTTTATGTCTAGCGAAATCAAGTTGCTAATACCTTTGTTTTGTTATTCAGATTTTATTTAAAGAGCCGTACATGGCACCGGTGTTTGAGCGTTTCTGCACGGATCCGTATCTCAGTCAGATGAAGCGCTTCCTGGAGACTGTCTCCTCCGCCAATCTCATCCATTGCACATTCCCCGTGAAGCTCAAGGAAGGGTATGCTTTTTCCACTTTTGAAGTGGACAAAGCGTCCAACTCAAGATGGAGCATGTTGGTTTCTAGATATCTGACCAAGCGAGCGCAGAGCCGCAAGCGGTTTGGTTTGAAAAATCTCCGCCGACGCTACTTTTGCCTGTCAACTCACGAACTGACTTATGCTAAAGAGCGTGGCAGTGCACCGCTTTGTCGTATCCCGGTGGCCGAGATTCTGAGTGCTGAGTGTGTCCAGGAAGATTCTTTTAATATGAAGAATATGCTCCAGATCATCCAGCCTTATCGGCAGTTGTATATGCAAGCTAGTCATTGTGTGGAAGCACGCGAATGGATGGACGCGCTCAGTTTTGTTGTGCAGAGGAATCAGCGGAAACGCGATGTCTTCCATCCGGGTGCGTTCGTGTCCGGGGTGTGGCAGTGCTGTCGGAAACCGGATCATGCTGAGCCTGGCTGCTGTGCTGTTACCGCGGCCCAACAGGTGCCGGTGGATATTGATGTTGACCGGGAAACGGAGAAAGTCCATATGCTCTTCCTCGCTAATATTGAACGCCTGGTGAAAATGCAATGTGAGTGTTGGATGAGAATTATTCTTTCTTATTTACATCGTGAACATTGTAAGTTACAATACGGGTGTTGATTCAAATGAAGACACGTAACACCATTGTGCAACCGGATGTTTATTTTTAGCGAACTGTGACTCGGAAATCGAGATCCAGTTAACCGGGGAAAGTGTGCCACGCCCTTTCGACGATCCCAATTCCCGGCGGATGACAATTGAGAATATTTATCGACGGATTGTCGGTTTGGAAAGGGCGCATAAACGGCACACGGAGCAAATGTGCCAAGAGCACTATTATGGATCCGAGTTCGCTCCAATCGGTGAAGATAATTATACATACTTATTATTGGCTAATACGGGGGCTACTGCAACTGCGCCTGGTCTCGTTAAACCCCGCTTGAATTGACCCGGCTGATATGAAATATCGCGTCGTGGTGTTTGGCGTGTCGTTATGATTGTTCTCCATGTTTGTGTGAATGTTCTCCGTCCGTTTTTTGATACTCCTTTGCCACAATTAATCTTTACCAAAGTTTTGTACATCTCTCCCCACAATCCCGGGGCTTATTTGGAATTCTGACCGTTCGTCTGCTGTTTGATCGTTAACTTGGGGAACTGGTTGTCCGTTCACGGTGTGCTGTAGTTTTTCGTAGCCTGTACAGTTGTTGCTTGATGGTTGGCCGGCTGACACATCGTTTCTGCGGCTGGATCCCTGCTTTTAAATTTTTTTACTTTTGTTCCTTTGATTCTACACCAAACTTTGTTGTGTTGCCGTTTGCTGAGTTTAATTTCTTCCTTTAATAGGCATCTGTCATAGTAGGCCGATTAATGGCAGCTAATTTGCTGGTCACTATGTGTACTTGAATCTGGCGCGCTCATTGCCGTCCGCGGGTCTGGACCAATTGATATTTTATACATAATTTTAACTTCGTTGTTTTGACATAAATTAACTTTCTGTGGTTAACCGGGAGTTTTTGTGCAGCAATGTCGCAGAGATGTGCACAGTCCTGTTCTGCATTTGAAGACTTTTATTTATTTGTAACGTTTTTATGTGATGGCTACTGGATAGTCGTCGAAAATATGTACAAATGTCTTGTTGATAGAGAAAAGTCGTTATTAAAGAAGCGAATTTTGAACTGATTGATGCCCGGCATCATGACGTAAATTGTCTAGAATGTGAAACCTCGTAAATGTAGCAAACAAATCTAGAAGATAACAGAAGGTGGAAGAAAGCCGGGTGTCCTTATCGGGAATTTGCAGTGTCACGGGAATCTTTAATATTTTGTTATTCAAAACGGCAGTGGACCTTACAATATTCTTAAATTATTAATTTAGGCTTTTATCGTAACGATGATTAATATTAAACGAACCATAAGCTATTCGTGTTCTAAACGTATTTCTACCAACCAACGATCTAATTAACGAGCAGTCTTCTGACGAGGGCTAACTGCAGAGTAAAAGGAGCTTCTTGAGCGGTGTGCTATCCGTAATTTTCATACTGAATAACGCTTTTTTACGGTTGCAGATAGCAAAACCTTGTGAATAATAATAAAGTACAGATACAAATTTTTTATCTTCTACATAATTAGTAGAAGTATATATATTTGGTGACTGGTGTTATTACACGCTACGTGATTATAAAATACACGCGCGTGCTTTGTGCGTGGCGACAAATGAAATGCAAATGTTAACAGAAATGTTAACAGAAATTTGTTATTGATAACACTAATGTTTCATATTGACATTAATATTTGAAAAACATTAATTGATTAGCTCTTGGAAACTGGACTTGACGTTAACACTATTTTCGAGTCATAGTGGCCCGTGGCCGTTATGTAGAAATAGTACAATTACAGTATGCACAGAATGCACAGTTGGCATGCATCGGTATTCTGTGCGCAAACACACTGCAGAAATAATTATTACTTTATAGTTTATACTCTATTGACAAACATGTACTGTAGAAGGCGATAGATTTTGAGTATAGAAACAGATTTTTGTTTTCCTGTGGACAATGATTAGTTTTGTCTGGGTTTAATACTAATTATAGTTGTCTTTTTGCTTTTACATAACTTGTCGACATGGGTTAGAGGATTTCTTTCAGAAGCAGAAGCTTGGATAACTCTATCCCATTATCTACAGCTCTGTACATTGCTGTGAGCATAATAGTGGTTTGAGTGTGCTTGATAAAGACGACGAATCTTGCGATATGCTTATCGGCTGTTTTGACAAACTCTTTTGTTATCGTTCAGTTGCGTGCAACATTCGAATCTCCAGCCACAGTACATGCCTAGGAGTCGCTGACTTGATCAGGCGAGCCGTATAAAACTGCACGAACTGCACAAGCGCTGCTGTACAGGAGGACTCTAAATCAGATTGCTGTGTTGTGGAACGTTAGAAGTTTCAGTTATCACGTGAATCGGTACGAAAATGAAGGTCCTGCTCCTTATTGCTGCGGTTTGCCTGGCGTCGGTCTACGGGAAGAGCGTCCACTTTAAGGACTGTGGTTAGTGAAGGAGAAGTTAATAGAAGCAAATTTTTACTTTTTTGCAAAACATATTCAGCCGCACGCTAATAAGTATTTGTTGTTAAAAAGTTCGGAACAGTTTCAGCTTATGTGGTTGTCACGAGTACATACGATCATTGCACGAAGTTTTTCGTGGACAGTTCATTGCCACATGGTGTTCGTTGTACTTACTTGATTCCGTTAATCCGTTTTCGCTGTTTAACTTAGGCTCGAAGGGTGGTCAAATTCAGCAAGTAATCATTACTCCCTGCGATAAGGAACCGTGCACGTTCAAGCGCGGTGATACCGTATCCGTGGAGGTTGATTTCCAGGCCTCGGTACGTCACCAACTGTTGCATGTCCAGCAGTATCTGTTTTCAGTACAGTCAGATCAGGCCTACAGATATCGTAATATCGTATGAGGTTTACCGTTTACAGCAGTATTAAGTATTTGTTTGAGCCAGGCATGTATGGATTTATATGGCTGTATGCCCGTTTTTCTACAATTATTATCAGTGGACATTACAGCTGCGTGTTATCAGTGTTGTATACGCATAGTTTTTAACAGGTGAAATCGGCTAACGCCACCTTCCAAGCCTCCGCCGTCATTTTCGGTGAGACTATCCCCTTGGCGCTGCCCCAGCCGGATGCCTGTGAGCTGCCCAACACTAAATGCCCTTTGACGCCCGGAACCAAATACGAACCCACCGAGCAGGTGCAGGTTCCGCAAGACGTTCCTCCGGTGAGTTTTCGGATCAGTTTCTAATTGATTTTGATTTGAGTATGGGTGAAGGGTGAATGCGGAGCACGTTGTCAGGTTTATGGTGCAAATGATGTTGTCGTTTTGCAGATCTTTATTCCATTCCCTCTGCAAGTGCAGCTTATTGGTGATAACAGCCTGGTTCTTTTGTGCGGAGAGATCAATGTCAAGATTCAGTAAATAGTACTGAATGGTTGTGCACTAGTGACTAATCTATGGCAGCATTTATAGTACGCCTTTGATTTTTTATATTGACTTGATAAAAACTGACTTTGACATAGCTGTGATGTTGATGCACGTGACGACAAAAAGCCTATGGAAAATTCACTTGCCTGGAATTGAGCTATGAGCAGAAAACAGAAGGAAAATAAAAACAAATGAAAATAATTATTATTTTAGTAAATACCAGTTTTTTTAGCTGCTTACGATGCATGCTTGCTTTGCGTATATGCTTCGCACTGCCAAAAATGGGCGTAGTAAACTGTAACATTAAACAGTAGAATATGGAAAGTTCCGCGTAGCTCGCAATTCAGTTTTATAGACTCTTGTAAAATACTTGCGGTTTTGTGGTTGGTAAATGCCCTTGAATATGATGCATCATTCATCATCGTGTATAAAAACCTGTTGAATCGGACATGCATACTGCATTCGCAATCGACTGCAACAATAATAATTATACCATCGCAAAGTTTATTAAGTAATAGAGATATTACAAAATGTTGCTGAATTAATCTACAAAGATATACCTTGTATATAGAAAAACAGCTAAGTTTTTGTAGCTAAAAACGCCAGCGCTTAAAATGCGCACACTTTAGCCACTCTTTCACCGTTCTTGGGAACCGCCTTGCGCTTGCGCGTAATTTAACATTACTGTCTGTTCTGGACAATCTGTAGGCCGCGCGATTGTGAAACACAAACGATCCCCGCTGCTCATCTTCATCAACGACGGACGCTGTCACCCGCTCGGGGAAACCATCCAGATCGCTGATCTTCAGAAAACCGGTTGCGGGATCGATGGGCGGAAACTTCTCTGGACTATAGATGGTCACCTCCTGATTGCGGAAAAACCACAGTTGAGCGCCTCTTTTAATGACTTCGTCAATCGGCAAATCCGGCATGCCGGGAAAACCTTGGGAAATCAGCTTGGGATAGCCCGGCACTGGATGCAACTCGTTACCCTTCACTTCGAATTTGTAATACGATGTACCGGAAAAAAGTAGCATGTAGCTTGTCTGTTCCGGGTTGGGTTTGTAGTATGCCGCGTCGACGTGGTCCAGCGATGGAGATAGTTCTCTCACTGGACGTTGGGGACCGGGCATCCACGTCTTGTCCATCACCCAATAAAATGGACCTAAATAATCAAAATTATTTTTGATGATGGTGATGTACAGTTATGGTGATGATGAATGAGTTAATGTACAGTAAGTTGCTACTGACTTGTAAGTACCTGTTGCTGCAACATTAATTGTAAGCCTACTGTATACGGTATTCTTACCTATTCTACGATAACAGATAAACATAGACGGTCAGACTTATAAATTAGGATCATTGTTGTAATTTATAAAAGTCAAAGATAGTATCAGGCTTCCAAACGTTTTTAGAAAATCGGTTTATTTTTAGCGGTGGCTTGAGGATTTATGTTCACGAAAGCGAGCTAGTGGAGTCCTGTAGCACAAATCTCGAATTCCTTGCAGTATTGCTTAGTAATTATGTTTTTAAAATTAGTACCAATTAACGCAATTAGTCGCACCTTTGAAAATAAGAGTATTGCCATGCCCAACCGCCACGACGGCATCGGGTGTATCAATACCGCATAAATCAGCACGTGTGTTGACTTCACTGTCGGCCGACGGATCTTCGGTCAAGTGATTCTGACTGTCATCGTCATCGAATTTCACATGGGCAGCATCTTCCGATGCGGACGCCGGTAAACTGCTCATATCCGTCTGCCTGCCCATGACACCGTTGGGATCCTCGATACCAATGCTCTTGGGCGGGATCGTTATCTGCATGGACATCGGCACAGTGGATCCCGGCCCCCGGAACACCGGGATGGACGGCAGACCCTGGATCAGCTGCCCGGCTGTCGTCTGTGCGAGCGGTGTGCCTTGCACGATCGTCCCCCCTGGCGTCACTTGAACGTTACCGCTAGGCGTGCCCTGGATGATGGTGCCCGCCGGTGTCGCCTGGACAATTCCGCTGGGTGTGCCTTGTATAATTGTCGCTCCCGGCGTGGCTTGGATAACACCGGTGGGTGTACCCTGGATAACCGCGCCCGCTGGGACACCTTGCACCACGGTGGTCGCGCCTACGGGGACACCGGTCACCACCGTTGTGCCGCTTGTCACGCCGTTCGGGACGCCTGCCACAACGTTAATCCCACCGTAACCACCCGCCACCGGATAACCGGCTACATATTGCCCGAAATTCCCGTAACCGGAGCCGGGGAAATAGATGAAAGTTGCTGGCGGTGCCGGCGCCGTCGTTGGCGGCCGGGTGGTAGTGGTGGTCGTCGTCGTGGTAGTTGGAGGCGGGGTAGTCGGTGCCGGTGTCGGTGCTGGGGTTGGTGCCGGCGCCGGAGCGGGGGATGGCGATAAGATAACATAAGGTGGATACACCGGAGATGGCGATGGCGATAGATAAATTATCACGGGACTTTTGGTCGTGTCCGGAGCTGATGTGGTCGTCTGGTAGGAGGGGTAAACTGGATATAGCGGCACCTGTGCGGGAGGATAAGTATAATACGACGGATACCCGGGATAGTTGTAGCCATAATCCGGTGCGTATGGATAGTAATTGGGCGGATGCGAGTAATATCCGTAGTCGTAAGTCGCGGGGTATGTATAGCTGCTGTATCCGTAAGTACCGCCCCCTGGGTAGTACGGGACCGTCGGACTACCTTCAAAAAACCACCGCGTTTGCGGCTTCACGCTGGTACCGTTGGTAGTGGTTTCGGTGACGGTAGTTTGGGGTTGTTCGGTTGGTTTGGGAAAAGTGCCAACAACTTCCGGTGGCGCTGTCGTGGCCAAAGGTGAACTCAACATAGGCCCTTTATAATTTTCCGGGAGGACGTCATCGGCGGCCAGCGTGCGCTCTCCGTATAAGCGCCGAATTTGCAAAACGTCTTCGTTTTGCAGGGAAAAACTGTCTGAAAAGGGTTGATAAAAGGGTGCCATTAAAGCTTGCTGATTTTTCGAATGGCCAAGGCCCAAGGCGTGGCCGAATTCATGTGTGGCCACTTGAAACAGGTTGACTCCATCCGTACGGTTGGAAGTCCAGTCTTCGGCGTCGTCAAAGTGGGTATTTCCTCCAAACTAACAATATGGAGTGGACAATACTTGATCACCGACAGAGTTGTTAAAGTTCTGAGCACGCTAACAGAACGAAATTATTACGAGTGCTTAAACCTAAAGAAATGCCAGGAAAATTTTTTTTCTCTTATTACGCTTGCAAAATTTCTTACAGGAGGAAAAAATGCGTGACCCAACATTCCGCGTGGCCCGTCGAACGGCTCATGGTCACCTAGAAAAGCACAATTTCATAATATAACTTAACTTAAATAACCAATAAACTGCAAGTATATACCGTGATCGCCCTGTACAAACATAACGTCCATGTCGGCGTTTAAGGTACGCTCATCCACTTGGGTGATTGTCAAGTTGGCCACATCCGTCCACATGCGAAATGCCCGCTGGATCTCCTTATCAGTTAAGTCTTTCGTCATGCTAGTCGGATGATGAATGACACGGTATGTCAGGTGATTGTTCTCCCATTTTCCAAAATCCAGGCCAGGTAACTGCCGACGAAAGCGACGAAGGAGAACACGAGGGGTTGGCACTACATCTTTTACGCCACATCGTGGTTGGGCCATTTTGGCTAAAGTATTTGCATCCAGTATACCTAATGAATATTTATTATTTAAAAAAAATGAATCTAACCACGCAAACTGTATAGTTACGTTCTGCTTAAAATGGTAAAATAATGTACCGGATAAAGTAATAACAATGCATGCTATACTGAATTACCTGTAGCCGGTAGTCCAGCAAAATCCTGGAATCGTTTTACTGCCGAATCAAAGGTCACTTGATTGGCGCTGCGACTTGACGCGATATCTATATATCCGTATTTTTTCAAATAATTTTTCGCACTGGCAATATCGTCCGCTCTAATAAATCCAGGCAATACCAAAAGTATAATCCACAATGCGCAAAAGCGTGCCAAACCAGCCATTGTTTAAAGTTATTATGGACGTATAATATTATGTGACCTACAGTACACAAAATCCTCAAAACATGTTGGTTCCATAAAGCAGCGGGACTACTTTGACCCCTCAACACAATCGATTTGAAAATTTATTACTTTACTCTGCCAAAATGGCTGTCGTGCAAATTATGTTCACCTACATATAAACGAACAGAACCGACTTAACGCCAACATGAATCGTACGACGTGTATTCACACATTATTCACAACAGAATGGATGCAAGTTAACAGTTTAAGTTTAGCAAACATCGTCAGAGGAAACTCAATCTTTTGTAAACTGTGTTCCGCATCACATCTTGTTTTCCGTCTGTTCATGCCAGCATAATTTATTGTTTAGGCAATCATCGAGAAAAAGGATGTTACAAAACTGCAGTAGAAGATTGTTTGTGGCGGAATTCAAGGCATAGGATACATAGACAATTTCAATGTGTTCAACTGAGCAAATGTAGAATTCTTTTGGGATTCGATGTCCTCCCTCTGTGGATCATACAGCAGGTGGTCTTTCGGTTCTTCTGATAACGATCCGCATCCAAACCACCGCGGTGCTGTTGGTTGAGGATAGTACCGGCTCACCTAAGTCAAACCACAGTTTCTGACGCAGTAAACGATGCCACTTATTTACTAGAATGTATTTTGCAACGTTCACGCATTGAATTTATGGGCACATACATATAGTTCGACGGATTTCGTTTTGTTAAATGAACGAGTCAAATTTGTTCCCGGACATGACCTTACAATTAGTTTGAAATCAGTGCCTTACGATTTGCGCTTCTCAGCAATCAAAATGTTTTTCAAAAGCCATGCGTTTAGTATTTATGGGAAATCCTACGAAATTATTTTGTAGTACAATGATTATATAAATAATCGAAGCTGCATGTCGATACTGCATACGCCTAATAAAAAAATCTGTTTGTACCAGCTTGCCTAATTTGAACTATCTGGTTTTAATTATTAATGCAACTGTTTCGCTACCTACAAAACAAATGTTAAGTGATAATTTCGAGTGCTTACTAAGAAACTCCATGTGCTCATAGCGTAGTATTTGTCTTTACTGAACAAGTAAGTGCGTCCGTTGGATGAGCGGAACGCCGCGTCAATGTGCTGCGGGAAGCCACGGTCGACTGGAAGCGGTTTAGGTCCGCGAACAGGTGGCAGTTTGGTTCGATCGAACGACCAGATTTGGTTCCCTGAATGTAAGTAACCGGGTTACATACATACCGTATACAAGTGTCCAAAACATTGGTCAGTCCATTAGGATAGTACAGGCATGCGATACACAAATTAAGTTTTCTCATACCTTTGACAAAGTAGGTCCGCGAATTTTTCCCCCACTGAAACGCCGCATCGAGATCGTCAGGCACGCCTCCCCAGCTGGCGCGAATCAGTTTAGGATAGCCGGAATCAATTTTCCGGTCTTGTACGCGCCAGTACCACGAACCCTATATAAATTTATACTGAAGTGTGTTGAGCCAAGACTCGACGCGGCACATGCCGATAATCAGCTCAGTCTCATTTAATTAGATTATACCGGCAATCAATCTCTCTTATACGGAAATGCGCGCACCTTAAAGAAGTACGTCCGTCCGCCAGCCCATGACGGCGTGAGCGCCGCGTCTAATTTACCCGGCAGACCGCCCCAATCCGCCGCTATCCGCCGACCCGGAAGCAGCACCTCACCCATGGCACTGATTGTCCAGTAGTAATCCCCTATTTACATACACCGAGGATGCTATTTAATAGAGGATTATCCTTATGAGACGGATAGCCACTGTAGTCTTGGTGGCTTACCGCTAAACATGTATCCAACTCCCTCGTATGTGGTGGTCGCATCGATTACGAAATGCGGATCACAGAGATCCGGTGCGGCTGGCTGATCGGATGATGTCGCGTTGTGGCTGCTCGTCACAGTGGCATTTACTCTGGCCGTCGTTAATACGGTGGGGCGTCGAGTGGGCGGGGGATTTGTGGTAATGAATTTCGGTTTAGCGGGTGTCGTTGTTGACCGCTCCGTTGTCGTTGGTGTTGTCGTCGACTGTGTCGTTGTGGTGGTCGTTACCGGAAGTGTGCTGGTGCTCATCTCAGCATCATCCAGCATTTCGTGATCCATACCCTCAAAATATACCGCCGTCGTGGCAGTTGTGGTTGCTCGGGTGGCCGTCTCTCGGCTGGGCCAGATCCAGCTTTTTGTCGTGTACACCGGCGGCAAGCGGGTGGTCGTGCTGGGCGGCGGTGCCGTGAAGACCGATTCGTTATCGGGATCCAGGGGCACCGCATCCGTATCCGAGGTCAGAGTTGATGTAGTTGGCCGCACCGTGGTGAATCGCGTTCGGAACGGATGTCGTGTCGACGGGAGGGTGAACGCCGGTGGTGTGCTAAGGTCATCGGTTTCGGATGAGGATTCCGTGGCGCCGGTTGTGCCTTCGCGAAGCGGATACAATCGCCGGATCGCCGCTATGTCGTCGGAGTGCAGCTCGAATTTCGGATTAAAGCCATCGTAGAACGGCGCCATCACAGCTGCGGCCACATCCGAATGGTCCAGGCCGAGGGCGTGGCCCAGTTCGTGCACCGCTACTTGCAGTAGATTCACACCGTTCCGGGCGCTCTGTGTCCACCGTTCGGAATCGTCAAAATGGGTGTCCCCTCCGAAATCAGGAAAAAATGCATGTGCCAGCACCTATTTGGATGCATATGCAAATCACTGCTATCAATATTTTTTCCAAATATAGCTTACGCCTTGAGGTCCATCAAAGGGGCTTAAATCGCCGTGCTCTCCGCGTGCAAACAATATTACAATGTCGGCAGGCCCGCTGTCCACTTGTGTAAAAGTCAAACCGGACGGCTTTGACCAGTACTAAAAATCCAGGATGAAAATGCTTACTTATTGGCAGACTTTAGTAAAACACACGCACAGTTACAGAATTCGAAGGAACGTACTGCAAAAGCCTTCCCAATAATTTCATCTACCGCTTTCCTACTCAGCGTCCTTGAATATTGGCCAATCTTAAATGTGAGATCCAGTTTATCCCATTTACTACCTGTATCGGAAATGCATACGGAAATATAGAGCAGGTTATACATTTATTTGCGGCTTACTGTAGGCAGTAATGGATGATGTACTAGTTGTTAATAAACAATATGCACATTGCGCACCTTGGAGTATAAACGCTCTTGAACCGAAACCCTTATGCACCGGGTCAGGATTTCCGCAGCGTGGAGTCCTCATCCGTTTGAGTGTCTGTCCGTCCATTCTACCTGTATACACAAATCTCGACTGTACTACATTAAATTAAATTACTACTACTACATTAAATACTACATTAAATTTTCGGTGAATTTATTCTATAGTATTTGTATTTATATATTTTATTACAAAAATCATTTGTTAAGCGCAACATTATAAATGCCGATGCCATAACAATGTCGTTTGCATAAAACTGTTAGGATACACATCCGTCACGTATCTCTTAACAATAAATGTGTTCGACCGCCTGCCGCTAACTCATTATTGCGGTTTTACCATTTTCTTTCTGTGTTTTCGTTGCAGTGGGAAAAAGGTAGAATGACGTAATTCAAAACTGAAGTACAAGTAAGCCATGACAATTTTGTTTTGTCTGAGAACAGTTATACGAATTGTTTTTTTGGGCGACTATTCAAACAGCCAACTGGCGAGTGCATTTAATGCAGGTTATGACGGACAATTCCGGTTGGTATGCATAATCTGAACCAAAATTACAACCACATTTCTATGGATAGTGTTGGATACAAAGAAGCCAGCTGAGTTACGAAATGGCAACGGACCGGAATTATAATATTGATGTTATGTTATTTGTCCAGCAAACACAGCCGACAAAGAAGATGACATACAATCTTGACCTTGGAATGTCGTCACCGAAGTCAAGCAAGTGCGCCGCCGGCTGCTCGCAGGGATAACATCTTGTGTGCGCGCCGTGGATGGTCAAAGACAGAAGTACCCAGCCCAATTAAGAGTTGAAGAGCCAGTCACTTAGTCAATAACGGTACATTGCCTCTGCATTGTGAACATCACAGCTTTTCTACAGTTGCCGTATTTCCGTTCCACTACTGGTTTTTTTCGCTCAGTAATGGTCGATACTGGACTGTGGACATATGCCTTGCACACTGTGAGCGCGCTGAATATCTGCAGTTATGCGGCCACAATTTGTAGTTTTTCATGGCTCACAAAAAATGATCTTGCAACCGGAACTTCGGCTGAATTAACTGAACTAACATCTTACTAATTCATAGTGTATCTTACCGGTAACGTGCAAACCACTGAAACGCTGAAAGACCCGAATAGCCGCAATGAAATCTTCCCGATACACTTGGGCGGCCAGTCCACCATTTGTATCATGGTCGATGTATCCAAAGCGTTGCAAATATTTCTACAAGCAAAACACCGACGTAACTTATTAGCACAATTAGTAACGGTTAGGCAATTTTGTACGTACTGTATATACTCAGGCAAAACTGCGTTACGTAATACCGGCATGATGTAAACAATGGTCCAAAATGATACTATACCATTTAAAACCTGCGTGTATTGTTCAGCACGTGCAGCATGAATACCGACAATGGCAGAAACTTGACCGGGCGTGACCGTTGAAACGAACCGCATAAGGCTATTATTAACCGCATAACCGATTATTTTTTAATACAAGGTCTGTAATTGGACGGGATTAATCGATTATAAACTAATAGCGTCTCATCATAAACGACTTAACAGAGTTTATCACCGCACTATTGTAAAGGCACCCAAGACTTCAGTGCTCTGCAGGGAAAATTTGGCGTCTATTTTTGCTTTGAAAAGAAACAATTATGGTTCAACAATACTACATGTTCTTCGTTACGGCAAGTTATAACAATGTCTTCCCGATCAGCCAATTTAATGCAGTGTCTTCCCACAGTGCAGCCAATATTCGTTTTCTAAACAACAAACAGCAGCAACGTTCTGTCAGGTATAAAGATATGAGCGACGAAGAGCGCTTAAGTAATGTGCGGAAGGCTTCTTTAGCGCAAATCGTCATCCAAAAACCTTAACTGCATTTTGAACTCTGTTGTGTCTTGTCGTACGTTTATTGTAGGGAAACCTCATAAACCTCGGTGATATCGATGAGATCTCCGACCGAGCAAATATTACGTTGTCTTGCTACATACGTAATAGGTCAACTAATGAACGGTAAATTTACTCAGATGACGCTCAGAAGTGAATGGCAATGCAATCCTTTTGCAATGGCTGATTTACGTTCGGTTATTCTTCATTTAACCAGATGTATCTATTATTAGCACGAAGCCTGATTGTCCATATTTCCGGTGCTGGTTAACTAAGATACCAAAAACTTACCAATGCTAAAGAGAGAGATGCAGCATCAGCGGTATAACGCAACAGGTATAATAATCCAACGCTAACTAGGTGTATTAAGCGGAACATCCAAATGTTCATCCTTAGACCGTATCCGCCACTTCCTGAGGTTAGACATTTGTCGCTCAGGAACAGCCTGCGAAGGCCAAGTGGGCCGACAAGGGATGAGACAGGAAGTACACTAAATATGTCATCGAGACATCGACCATATCAGCACACACATATACTACAGATGCACTGCGCGCCGGCACATCATGCCAACTTCTGTCAACGCCAAATGATCAAATTTCCTTCCGGTCCACTCGGACTGTGGACAGTTCAATGGTGTATAATCGTATTGATATATAGACTGGCGAAAAAAAACCTCTTCGTCCCAACACTAAAGTGGTCTCGATCAACACTTTAAATTGAGCACTATTAAGGATGGCATGAAGTTGTCCAAGATTGCACCCGTATACCAGTTTGTACATACGCCACAACTCAACATACGTCAGACCGTCTGACCAGTGCGTTTGTCAGCATTAAACTTTGCCGGTACGTGTATTATGACAGCGATTACAGTGGCAAACTGGCCAGTCAGTACTCGATCCCAGTAGCCATACGGCATATTATTATTACAATCCTACCGGACAGAAACATTTATTAAAGAAACAAACAAGGTAGTAGCACTGCGATGAACTTGGTATTATGGATGTCATGTCATTAGAAATATGTATATATATATACGATGTTTGATGGATAGTGTCAACAAGTGCCATCTGTCTATTGGGCACTTACCTTGAACATGGCTAATTGCATGAATCGATCTGCCGGCTTTGTCAAAATGCTTACGTCTGTTAAGCACTGCTTGTCTTTTGGATACCGATTTTTTATTCATCTTTTAAACAAACTAAGTGCATGCACATCAGACAATAATGTATGTATACATTTCTAATAGTGAAGATGTGACCATAAGAAAAGTTTAAACCTGGTCGTCGGAGTCTGTAATATCACAGAAACGTTCTCAAAGTATTAAATTTTTAGGGCTCATAAGATTTGTGGACGCAGAATGACAGTCTTCCGGACCCTAAAAGAAGAACTACTACCTTGCTGCTACTATCGTATCTGAAAAACAAGGATCATAAGGAAGCAGCAAACACTTACTCTGCAGATTTGCAGCTGATCTGAACCGCAGTATAAGTATTACATGACCATGTAATGAGTTCTGTATTTCTTCAGTTCAGATCTTGATGGTCCAAATGGCATCATTTTACAATTCATGAGAGATCACAGATTCTAATTTTTAATTGTGACGGATTTTTACGCTTAGTTGTCAGTAGAATGTGCAATCATTTATGCTGCTTTGTTTCCTCGTCACGGTTTTTTCTACAAAAGAAAGCAATTTCCAAAAACCTATTTCTCGTTTTAGTACATCATCGTCGAGCGCAGCAATGCAGTATTATGTACATGTACACCGCACTTTTACATACCTTATGTAACACTTCTATCAGCCATGCAAGCCGACATGGCGGCAACGCTGGTCTGAAGTTCGAACAGCCGGTAAAAGGCAAGCTCAAATGATTACAAAACGTGAAGGAATCTTGGGAATGTCATTACCACGCATGTGGAAGAGAGTGATTATTACACATCCTTATCGTAGCTCGACGTTTGTGTGTCTGATAATGAAAGTTATGGCTACACATACTCCATTCGTTACAGTTGTTAATTATATGGAGTACTACTACTTTGTGTTCTCAGAAAATACGAGTATGTAATATCAGCCTGTCGCTGCTGTTTGCAGAGTAGCTGTAATGCGTTATACCGGAAAGTCATCATTATGTTTTGATTTTATCTGCTTTAGTTTATTTGGATCCGAATTCTTTTCGTTCCGTCGGTCCTTTATTCCTCGTAAGCACAACGTAACCTAATATCACATTGCCGGCAACAACGTGGACAAATTGCGGAAAGTTTAAGGAAGCAACAGCTTGTTAAGCACAATTTCCTGCCGTGGGATCCCATATTATTCCGTTGAATTAGTTTTATTTTGTGTTGCGCCGTCTGGGAGGATTTTGCAAGACACGTCGTTTGTAATTCCATAAGGTAAGTTAATGACAAGCAAACAATGTCGTTCGAATGTTGCAACACACCAAATCTCATGCAACATTGATCGTATCGTTGGTATTCGTCGGCACTAGCTAATTTCGGTGAAAAACATCTTTTTGTACTAAACCTTACTTTCGTTTTGCTTGGATTTGTGATGCAGTTTGCTGCTTCCTTACAGCGGGTTGAGTTACGCGCCGTAAAACGACCAAAAACTGCATGACTGCTCATAAGTGCAGTTATCGTTGGCAGCTTATTAGTGAAATTTTGTTAAATACTTTGTAAAAACTGGTAGCAGTACGTGTTTACGAGTTAAGTGTATTGTTTTTGCTGTCAAGTTATTTTTACTGTAAAGTTGACTACCCTAACATTTCGAATAACCAACGTGCTCGCTAAAATATAAACGTGTATACGTTCCAGAAATTATTTGACCGACAAAGGCATCATACGTTATTTTTAATTAAAGTAATGCAATAGTTTTTTCGTTTCTAAAAATTGGACTGCTCATTTAAACATATGGCTAAATTAGATCTTCTCCACAGTGGCAGTACCCATAATGCATTCAGTAAAAGTACCCATAATCCGTGTATGGTGGTCGAATGCTTCTTTGTCCAATAATTGCTGACCAAGACTGTAGTGTATACAGCCGAAACCTTAAAAACCAGATACAATCTAGAACCAAGAGCAAAAATGTTCTTACGCAACTGACTTACTCTAAATATTAGTAAGTATATAGTAAAATGACCGTGTGCGTTACATAAAACTTAAAAGATCGGCCGGCTAATTTTAGATGTCAACATGATGACTGGTTTTAAGCGGAAGTTTTTTGATCATACAGTAGAAGAGAGCTGGAATAGGTGGAAACACTGTATGGTTGAAAGCTGTGACATTAATTCATATTTCGGCTTTTGAATCACGCTATCTTCTGTCCATTGACCATTGTAACACGTGCTAAGTTTCTGTTTGTTTTATGCAGCAGGTACCGGTGGCAATACCACGGACCAAAACTCGTAACTAAATAACAGTAACACATGGAAAATTTGTTGTTGTATAGCTGGCAAATATTTTCCTTCGATTTGTGCCATTAACAGATCGCTTTCCAAAAAACGAGTGTGTTGGCTAAAAAACTATAGGCCGTGCGCGCTTATGCAAGTACTTTGTAGATTACAAGAAAAACGAATAGATGTAAAGCATTGTATCAGGTGACTCCCGCCCTAGGGTGCTACTTTTTAATGCAAATTTTTGGAGTCGGCTTTTGTTTTAGCTGGCACAAAACTTTCGCTAACATGTCCACTGTCCTCGGCATTTACGTAAACGTTTTCTCCAGTCACCGACAGGTTGTTATTACGTACATTTTTTTGAATTCGCACTCGTGTTTTGCAACTGCATTTTGCGTAGACGTATCTGCACTTCCCGTAGCAGGATTGTCAAACTAACGCGTTTTTAATAGGGTATACTGGACAGTGTACACCACACCAGTGTTGCAGTTAAACATCCCGCACTTTAGTGTTGTTATTAATTTTATGGACTTCGATCAACAGATTCAGAGCCCAAAAAAAGAATTTAATAGCAAGTGCCACGTATCGTATTGTAATTATCGTGTCAGCAGTTAGATCAAGTGTCACAGCGTGAGGAGATTCTTTTTTTGTTTGATCAACGGGCGTGACTCAGCGCATTCGCTTCCAAATTTCCAATCCTACCAGAAATCTATGTGTGACCCTCATTCAAGCGATGGAGGTGTAGAAATGAGGGTTATCCTTGAGGGGTTGTAACAAGTTTTCTCGAGCGGGGTCCCATTTAAAAAAAGTTTTCAGTACGCCGCTGGAACATGACTGCTGCATACAAATCAGCAAACTGACTGCTCGTACAGTATCTATAATATGATGGTGACGTACCTGTACAAATCTTTTATACGAGTGGTCTTATGGATAACAGCTGCTGTGACTGAATACTGTAAGCTTCGCCCGTTTTGCCAAAATCCGCGACGTGGCACATCCGGTGCCGGATCTTACAACCCATTGATGACCAATGCAACAAGCTGTTCCAGTCGCTAGTTTGTCTACCATTTATTGTACATGCATCGTTCATACTATGTACTTGTTGTCTTATACATTTATAGTAATATGAATGATCAACATTATTTGTATTTATCTGACGATTAATTCTCGTGGGAACCGTTATTAATACACAGAAAGTAATGCTTATTTGATTCGGTACTAACATCACATCGTGAACCAGGCATTGTTTAAGGCAAATGTGGTTAGCTCAGCAAAGTTAAATGTACGAAATTTTGCAACTGACGATACAGGGAAAGCTTATCGGGGTCTTCTGCATTTCTAACCACAGATTTTTTTCTGCGCGGCTTTATTTCTGTACATAATATTCTTCGTCAGTTCTTCTGCAACACGACGAGGTTTCTGAAACACATGACGCATCTCCGCGCTTCAGTGTAGAAGCAGTAGAACTGTAGAAGTATTAATGCGTCGTTTCAGACCGCTTTTCTATTGTCTTTTCGACAAGCTTTTTGCCTAATGCGCTAATATAACAGTTTGCTTCTTCGCCGCAAGTACCTACTGTTTAAAACGCCGAAATAGAAAAACAAACTTCAGGTGTTCAGTTAAACAGGTGTGCAATAACTGCAGTGTGCATCTGGCACATCTTCGACCGTCTCTGTCAAACCGTGACCTCTTGGGACAAAGGGAACCAACGTACGAGTATTTGCACTGTAACATTTACTTAGAGGTATTTGCACCGTAACATTTACCATTTAACATGGCTGATTGTGATCAGCGACCCTGAAGCACGAAAACTTCTGTGCGTTATTAGTATCGTCTTATTGCTAACAATACATGTGAAAGATCTGTATTAAAGTATTAAAGGGGCATTTCTTACAATCCTTCGAATTCGTATATATGGGGTATGGGCAGATTCTTCTTTTTTAAATAGTGACCTAATCACCAGTTTATCTGAAAATTGAGACATTTTAGATTTTCGTCTACCCTACCGAATACGTAATTTCTTGTCTACGCCATCCATCCATTCTTTAGTCTGTACCCGTTTATTGATTTCAGAATTCTTAGTTCCCGTATTGTATTCGCTAGCTTACTGTATTTGCGGTTTCTTTGTTTTGTTAACGTATTTCAAGATTTGACTGCGCAACTTGGTAGTACTTGGACAGCGCAGTGTTGACAGGAACGTTTTTTAACGTTACGCATTCGTTCTGATAGATTAAAGGAGTGACTTAGTTCCACAAATTTGAGTACACTTTCGCCGAGTTTTCCGTAGCCTACTAACAGCCATCAAGATCAACAACAATCCCAAAATAACTCAGCGGGCGTTGGCCGCTACTCTCTCACTCCGAAGTTAACGCGTGTATGCGAAGGGCAATGGCGGTTGTTTGCCTTACATGGCACTAGCAAATAGTGCGATTGGTCCATTTCCTTCTAGACATGTTTATATCCCACCACTGTACTCGTTCCATTCTGTTCGGGTGGTATTCCGGTTAGAAATTCAGGCTCATCGTCACTGACAGTAGCATCTCCGTGATTTTCTTTAGCATATATACCGAAAACTGTATTCGCCTACTCTATCCAGTGACTTGGCAGACAGATCACAGCCACTGACAGATTGTTTTGCTCGGATACCATAAATTTTGATTTCTGCGTTTCTAAATATCGCTTACGAAAATGTCGGCTCCTAAGTTCGATACGGCATTGTCCCCGAAAAAATCCGAGGTCATCGAAATGTCTGCCGCTCGCTTCGTCGGCAAGGTTAGCGGCAACCCGAAGCCCAAGATCCAGTGGTTAAAGAACGATGAACCGCTGTCCCTTTCCGATGCCAGACACAGCAAACTGAAGATTATTGAAGAAGCTGATGGAACAGTCGGACTGAATTTTGTTGAGGCCGCTGCTGACGACGACGCTACCTACAGTAAGTCATCATTGGTGACCTAGCGGTCAACGCGGTATTTACTGCTGACCTTTCCTATACCAACAAAAGCATTGTGCAGAGCACTTTAGTTCTGGATGGCGGTTTCCAAACACCTGATTTTACAGTATTCCTTCTTCCAATATGGTTTAAGAGTGGATAATGCGATGAATGTCCTCGCTACAATATTTTTTTAAATGAAGCCTTTTTCTCGTAGAGTGCGTCGCCACTAACGATCATGGAAAAGCCGAGAGCCAGGTGGATTTAATGGTGGAGGCCATGCCGGAAAGTTTAAAGAGCACGATTAACGACCCACTTCACGGACAGCGTCTGCCCGGGATGAAGTAATCCATCCGCCCCGGATGACAGTAGGATTTTTCTAGCTCCGACCGGAATGTGTTGATAGTAGCGCCGTGACATTCAGGACCCGCCGATTACGCATTATTTGTGTGAAAAGGTCGAGCTGATTTCTGGCATTCGCTGATATTATTGTTGTTTTTACTTACTGTAGATTTACCAATTGTTCTGCCTATTGTTCATTGTTTCGTATGGAACAGGCCAGCGTAATACTGCATTTACAGCACACCATTTTCTGTTCTTTCCCTAATCCCTCCGGATAAAAATGAAGTACTTGAAAGACCCGAGTCAAAATTTCGAACGAATTAGTAGCAGCATAAAAACAAAAAATAGCTGCCCAGATCGCTGTTTCTGTCATTTGTTCATTAATTGCCATAATATGTAATTGTCATATTTTACGACGACGTTACAAATTTGTTAGTTTAATAAGTACTGCAGTGGCTCATGATATTTGGGTGCGTCGCATACACAATTACACATAATTACACAGAAGTAGTACTCATAACCTGATGTGAATCGCTCAGATTAATGACTTATGTAGTGTTAATCACAAAGCTGCGAGAATGGTCTTCGGAAGTTCCGGTTCGTAGTGCGGAAATACCGTAATGTATGGGTAATAGTTGTTGACGGAACGAAAGCATCTTGGCTACCATGCAAAGGCTACCCACCATATTCTGCACTGTAACTTGATGTAATTTAAAAACGTGAATATTTCTGTATGACCGTTAGGAAACTCCGCTGCTATATATTTTGCGCTGGTGCTGTCATACCGGAACAGCGTAAATGGTACTTTCACAGAACCAAGAAAGATGGGCACAGTGTCTACTGTTCAACAATTTTGACGTTATGATCTCAGCTTCTCAAGTATCCACGACAGCATTGCATCTAAAAATATACCATGTCGGCGACGGCCGGGCAGCAGCTATTCTACATTTTTCTCCTTTGCATCCATTGAGTTTTCTGCCGCTCTCGGCCGTAAATGCACGCACGACAGCGAATGACTTTTTTGCTCGTTCCGACTCAATCCTCGCGACGTGCGTCTCCACTGTGTGAGGCCGTACTTAGCACAGCAGCATCTATCTGACGGAGTACTTCAGCGACATGACAAAATGATTTGCTTATCTAAACCATTTCTCGCCATGTAACCCCGTACAGTGCGTGTGCGTAAATTCCCCCTACCTCACTGCGCACGTCCACATCACATGGGCATGACCTTGCTGTGTACGTGTTAGGCCGAGAGATCTAGTGCCTGTTTAATTAGATGTCCGTGATGTTCGTTGCTCTTGGTCACTTTTAGTGTATGTCGTGTATCCGGAAGTGATTCTGCCTCTCTCGCTCTCCGAGTGTGTTATTTTGCTTTGTTTGCAGAGACCTGGATTGGAAACACTAGTGCAGACCTCATCAAAAAATTCTTCCACCATGAGCAAGAAGATCGATGAAACCGAATCGGATAATGGTACGAGCACTGTCAATGATCTTTCCAGCACGTCAGATCGAGATTTCGGTTGGTTTCATCTTATAATTTGTTGCATATGTAGAAGAACATCAAAGTTTTGAGGCACGAAGTATTACCATCAAAACGGACAAGAAGATGGCGCAGTTTTACGAAATTATGGAAGAATTAGGACGGTAAGGTGTAGATCGTATTACAGGTTTATATATATGGAAGAAAAACTTTTTCGCATTTACTTTCTTGAAAGATTAGTACACGTTGGATATAGGTATATTCTTTTCTTGATTCCTTGGACTGTTTTATACGTTTGCGTAAAGCACGTTTGCGTAAAACAGTATAGAAAGAAAGCATTTTTAAAATTGATTTTATTTTATCGCTCATTCATCAACTTATTGGAGAACTAAAACGTCTCCATTCATAAAAGATTGATAATACAAGATGGAATAATATGATAGCGCTATATCGGTGTTGTGAATCCACGTAGTTTTTGCCTATTATTTGTAAACGATTTTGTTTTCCAACATGGCTCTAAAATTTAAAATCCAAAAAAAACTATTTACTTGCGGCCTGATAATGATGGTAATTTTCTCATGTTGTTCGTTATAGAGGGAAATTTGGAACAGTATGTAAATGCCGCGAGAAGGCAACATCTCGCATTCTGGCAGCGAAAACGATTTCCGTCAAACGGCCACAGGAACGAAAGGAGGTCGAAAATGAAATTGAGATTATGCGCAGTCTACAGCATCCGCGCCTGCTGCAGTTGTACGATGCTTTCGACGATGGCGGCACGATGGTGCTGGTGATGGAACTGTGAGTCGAGGATTTTTGTTGTGCATCAAATATCTATATTCCGCGTATACATATCGTCAATACCGGCTGCGGACTGCGGTTGACCTGTTAATTGTATAATTTACAGCATATCAGGTGGTGAATTATTTGAGCGGGTGATTGACGATGAGTTTATCCTGACGGAGAAAGTGTGCACAATCTTCATGCGACAGATTTGCGAAGGCGTGTCGTTCATGCACGACAAAAGTGTCATCCACTTGGATATGAAGGTTGGCTTCAGGCTACTGTTGCTGTTTTCGCGCGCGCGCGAGCCTGTTTGTGAGCCTGTACTAGAGCTGGCAACTTTTTTAACGATTCAATTACCGTCGAGTAGGCGAAAGTGTGTTGCTCATATGCCAGACTTAGCACGCAAATATGTCTAATGCTTTAATTACCATTCTTCCAGCACATTTCAAAACAAACGCGCAAATTCTCCTCTCAAGAAATAAATACGTTACGAATGTATCTTGTAGCCGGAGAATATCCTCTGCGTAACGCAAAATGGTAACCGGATCAAGCTGATTGATTTCGGTCTGGCCCGCAAGTACGATCCCAAGACCAACGTAAAGGTCATGTTCGGGACACCGGAGTTTGTCGCACCGGAAGTCGTCAATTTCGAACCAATATCCTTTGCCACCGATATGTGGAGCGTTGGCGTTATATGTTACATTCTGTATGTTGTTTTCGCTCTTTTCTCTCCGTCCGCTTACGCGAACTTTCACTTTAGGCTTTCCGGTCTTTCACCATTTATGGGCGACAACGATGCCGAAACGTTAAGCAATGTTACGCAAGCAGAATGGGATTTTGAAGACGAAAGTTTTGATCATATTTCCGCCGACGCCAAAGATTTTATAACGAAACTTTTGGTTAAAGACCCAGCGTGAGCAAACAGACCGTTTTTGTAAAACCTGTTGACTCGGAAAGGTCAGGATGGTTGTTCTTTTGCAGAAAACGGATGACCGCCAAGCAATGTCTCGAACATAAATGGTTGAGAGTGAGTAACATCTCATTTTTAGTATAAAGTTTGGAATCATTATTAGTTGATAATATAAATCAAATGTGTGTTTGTTCTATAGAGAGATAAACCTGCGAAGACCGATGAGAAGGCTCTTTCCAAAGTGAAACTTAAACATTTCGTCATACGTCGACGATGGCAGGTAAGAATTCCTAATCCCGAAATATTTCGACTTCGATGCCTTCCCTTTTGTTTTTGTTTAAAATTCCTTTTGCATATTATCAGAAAGCGGTTAATGCCATTCTGGCCCTTCATCGGATGGGAGCGACGGTATAGACACTTTCACTGACATTTGGGCATTTGTCTCTGCAGTTTGTTGTGCAGTAAGGTTCTGTTATAAACCAGCATTAAGAAAAAAAATTTTTAAAAGAAGTGTAAATTCAATCATGTAGAGTATAAATTTTCCATTCCGTGCGTGTGTGCATTGTAAATAACGTTGTCTTTTGCATTGTGTTTGATTGTGAGAAATCGGCATCGTCTTTTACCGCGTTCAGATACATACAGTACATACGTGTAATACGATAGAATAGTACGATGCAATTGTGTGCCTATTTTTCGTCCGTGGTGACAAGAGCTATTAAATTTTTAAGTTTAAGAAAACAACTGCTTTGGTCTTATTTATAACTGTATTAATAACTGCAATCCAAGCTGTATAATTTTTATTACATCTGACAAAGGCAGGTACTCTGTAGATTTTCTTTGTTACAGACATACTGCGAAACCAGAAATAATCTTTTAAGAAGTTACAGTACTTTTCACACGGCGGCAACAAATGAACCGTTTAGTAGAATGCGCTTAATGCGAAAAAAAAACTATTAAAAGTGCACCAAATACGAATATAGATGTCTATAACCTGTTGTTACTGCACGACTACGCAGTGTTTACGGTCACATCAGTAATCAATTATTTGTGCCGGTCCGGTACTGTGGATCAGTGGGAGAATACGTGAAAGAACACCAACAAAGTTGAGAAGTTGAGGAAAAAACTCGGTTGCAAAATTAAAATGCTAACACAGTCGCGGATAGGTATAACACGGATCGTCCCACATGCGATAATAGTCCGTATCCTTTGAATAATGGATACACATCATATCGCGCTTTGTACAGTTGCTATCCCTCTGTGCACCTGGCTGATCCCACGCATATCTCGGTACCGGCATGCGCGTGAGGTTGGCTTTCGTCGTCAGCAGTCCGCAAACATACACGTCATCGTTAAATGTCCGCTGTACCTCCAGACTAGCTTGCAGTACCCGATCTAGAAATCTTGTCGGGAATGCATACAATATCCCCGATAAATATTCCGGATAGACATCACCGTCAAACTCTTCTCGAGGAACATAATATTTTGTGCCGGTATTGCGAATTACCGGTGACCCTTCATTAAACATGGCACCATACACATAATCGTTCTTTTGGTTTTCCTGTAAAAACTTGTAATACAACGGCAAGTTTAGCCAGTTATCGTCGTCAATTTTGGCGGTGTAGACCGATTCGGGGCAGTATGCGGCGCCCCACTGTAGCAGATAGATGGCTTTCTGCGCTGCACTGCGGTACACATCGTCGAACTGATTGGACTGGATAATGTCACCAAACTCTAATGCTTCCGCTTCCAGTTTCAATTGGAGATTTTTCTTGTACACCCTCCCAAACATGAACAACAGGCGGACGCCGCAATTCGGATCCGCCACTGATCCCCACGTTTTACGAATGGCTGTTCGCAAGGCAAAGGCATCAATCCGCGAAAAGGCCACCAGCACTAGGAACGGCTTCATGGGCACGTCTTTGCAGGGTTTCGGGGAGATGGTATACTGACGAGCGATCACATCCGCATGACCGGAAAAATTTGTGTCCAACTTCAAACGGATTGGCTCTTGCAGGGGAACGCGGCGTTTTGACAGGAGTCTGGGCAGGATTTCAATCTCGTAAAAACTCGTGTGCATCTGACGATTACTTATCAGCGAAGTAAAGCATAATGTCAGTACGGCTGTTCCAATTAGAATAGCTACCCGTATCCAGAGTTTGCTGCTGACATTCTGAGCCGAATGGTGCTGCTTTCGGTTAATCAGATTGCGCCGTACCATGAATTCGGGAAACATGATGCCGAACATTAAACTTACCAACCGGAAATTCTCGTTTGATTCCCCGGTTTCCCATAAAACATGAACACTGTTTGCAGAATGTTGGGCAGGTGATAATTTATATCAGCGGTAATAAGAACATCCACACGCCGGAAATATTGGTATAGTAAGGTAAGACAAAAATAAATCCGCAGTTTCTTTACAATATTATGCTATGTGTGTACGAGTTTGTTGACCACAGTTTTTGATGCGTACGTAAGATGAAAAACTTGGAAGGTAGGTTAACAGCAAGTACTAAACATAGTTACTGTATCACAAATAGTAAATAAATTGTATTAAGAATTTTAAAGTTTAACAAAGTCTGACTTCTCGAGGAGACCTGCGAAGATTACGCGGGAAAACATAAACACCAGCAGTATTGTATTTGCGCATAGTAAGCCGGTTAGCTGCCAGACAACGCGTGCAATTAGAATTTGTGCTAACATGGCAAGTAATAAATTTTTCACACAAAGATTTCATAATATGCACTCTTATACATTTTCTATCTGAGATAAAGCGATTAAAAACTTTTAGGTGTAACTATTGGGTTTCGGTGCGCATACCGATATATTAAATCCATAAGATCTGTTAGAAGTGCGTTGCTTGTAAAAGTCATTAATTAGTTTTTATTTGAGACACGTTATAAGTAATATGTCAATAACTTGGTTCTGCGCTACTGTCAACAATGGTTTCCGATGTCCTGTTTTTCCTCCTAAACGTTTTGCAGTGTATTCCTGGAAGACTAAAATAAAGGAAAACACCAAATCGAATTATGGGTCTGATTTTGACCGCCTGCACGTCGACGATGCTCGTAGCATTCTCGTAGCAGTTCATAAAAATCATGAAAATCATGTTTTCTGTAGTTGTCTACATCATCAGTTTATTCAAGTATCTTCATTGACTTCGTGATATCTTACTGCGCATTCAGCAATTTCAGTATATGATCACTTTTTAGAAGCAAACTAAGCAGCGTATCGTGGTTCGACCAGCAATAGCTTGTGCAACTAATGGCTTATTAAACTGGCGACGAATGGCGACATTGATCACGTGGATTAACAGTTTAGCGCAAAAGCATATATCAAACAAGACGTTTTCTTAAAATTTAGGGCTTTTCCTAATATATGGAAAATATCTGCAACCTCAGTTGGATAAATGCAATTTTTGTGCCTTTACCGGACACTTTTTGAGCAATTAAGCTGCGCGCGCGGAGATATCTTCACCATCAGTTGCAATATATATCGTTAAACTAGCAAGTTTAAACAGTTTCTCGTTTTACAGTTACTGTACTATGATGATGTGAAACAGAAATAATACAAACCGCATATCTAATTACGCAATTACGCACTGTATACCCAATTTTCTTTTTTTATTATACAGTAAGTAAACCAGAAAGTCTGCAATGAGGAAACTAAAAACCAACCCCTGCGACCTTTGAAAGTTTACTCGTACTTTCTCCTTTACCAGAACCAAAAATGGGGATGCCGCTTTATGTGACGTAACGCCAACGAAAGAGTTCTAGGGCTACGTTGCACATCAGTTTTGATAATGGATTTGCAAATTGTAACATGTGCCTAAATTGGAAAGCTGTTCAGGTATCATCTATGATCTTTCATCTTATCGAGTACTTACAAGTATCTTACTGGTTAATAAAATTTACCAGCTCCTGTTTTTAGTGTTCTGGGCTTACAGGTTGTATGCACTCACTGGTTTACTACAGTGCATATATTTAACTAAACTGAAAACGTTTTTTTGACAGTCTCAGTTATTACGAGTATAATTGTGAGCTTCCATTAATTTATGCAGTACTTATATCTATACTTTGTACAGTAATTATAATAATATGCTGCATAAATATGCCATATTTAACACTTTGTGGAGCATATGTTGTACAAATAGCATGGCCTGGAAGATATATTTTTTATGCAGGATCCCCCTATTACTGAATTCTGTAAAACAAGAAAAACCCTGTACTAAAAAAATAGTCTTCATCATCGATCTCTTCGATTTTATCTGTCAACCTGTGTTGTTTTCATTTGCAGTTGAACAGTTCCAACAATTCTTCACATAACTACCGGTGCCGATAACGCCGACAAGCACTTGAAATACCTGTATTTAATACGTTATATCTGTACAGTCTGTACGAAAACGTTTCACTAGTTTCAGCCAGCTTGTGCGCTGTCCAAACATTGGTACCATTGGTACACACACCGCATAAGTATTACAAACATTAGCATATGTACACATCGACGTCGTGGATTAGAAATAAAAAGAAAACAACAGACTCGCAGAAATGTTTTAAGCTCTGAAACTGGTACTTTATAAGATCATATCAACAAAAAAGGAACAACGATGGGCAATAAAAATTTTCAAGTTGTTGTTTGTGACTACCTTAAACAATCACCCAATGAGCGACGCAAAAACGTTTAACATATCCTTTCGTACGTATAACACGGATCCTTCCACATCCGGTAATAATCTTGAGCATTAGAATAGTGGATGCACATCATGTCCTTCTTGGTGCATTTACTGTCGCGCTGTGCGGAATTCTGATCCCATGCATAATTCGGCACGGCTTTTCTGGTGAGATTAGCCTTGTTTGTCAACATACCACAAACGTACACGTCGTCATTAAACGTTCGCGGTACTTCAAGACTGGCCTGCAGAATCCGCTGCACAAACCGCGTGGGAAACGCATACAGAATTCCGGACAAATACTCTGGATAATAATCACCACTGTACTCTTCACGCGGGACATAATACTTCGTGCCGGTATGCCGAATGACCGTCGTGCCACTGTAGAACACGGCGCCATACACGTAATCCGTGTGTTGGTGTGTCTGTAGGAATTTGTAGTACATCGGCAAATTCAGCCAGTTGTCGTCGTCGATCTTGGCGGTGTAGACAGACTCGGGACAAAATGCCGCTGACCACTGCAGCAGATGGATGGCCTTTTGTGCCGCACTGCGGTACACATCGTCAAACTGATTGGACTGGATAATGTCGCCGTATTTTTCGGCTTCGGCTTCCAGCTTCCGCTGCAGATTATCCTTGTACACTCGCCCAAACATAAACAGCAATCGAATACCGCATTTTGTATCCGCCAACGATCCCCATGTCGTTCGTATGGCGGTGCGCAAATCAAAGGCATCAATGCGGGAGAATACAATCAAGACCAGAAACGGCTTAACCGGCATTTCCGCACATGTTTTCGGCATTATGGTGTACTGGCGCGCAATCGCGGCCTGGTACCGACTAGAACTGGAAGCGTTGGTGAGGCTTGCGCCGTGATCTTCCAGAGTTTTCCTTTTGGCTTTTGGTGGCAGTTCGATATCCGTGAAATCATTCGAGAAACGGCGTTTACCAACAAATGACATAACGCACAGCACTAGGATGGCGGCTGCAAATATCACTGCTATCCGCAAGTAGATTTTGTTGTTGCAGTTCTGAAGCATTCTTTGTTTTGGGCGCCACGCCGGAAACAGCGATCTAAACAGTAATCCACGATATATAATATATTTAAGAGTTTATGGAAACAGTTTATAATAGTCTTATCGCAATGGGTGGCACAACTCTTTGGATCTTTATCGTGTAATGTAATTAACATATTTATGCAATTATGCAAGCATTAGTTAATATCATCCAAGCAGTTAGTGTTCTTTTAATTTACGCTTTCTGAATTTTTAAGCAAAGCAGCACAACTTTACACTACTATAAATTCAGTTCATGAAAACGTTTGGGATTTCCTTCGAAATAAGATAACAATCAAAAAATGGAGACAAGAGCGTTTTCAGTTTACCAGTATTATGAGCAATTCCAACAAACGCCAAAGATGAAAAAATCCGCAAACCCGGCAATGCAATCCGGGGATATAACGTCAGCTGTAGCTGTAGATAAGGCGCGGAAATTTTCAGTTTTTATAGTAAAATTTTAGGAATAATAACAAGATCAGCATCAGAACGCCAGCCAGCCATATTTTTATTAAAACAAACAATACATAAGTAAGCGCTTCGAGTCCCGACAATGGCTCAGCTGCTCCGGATTTTGTAGACAAACAAAGCTTGGCGATCATCGCTTGCAGGGTGAATTTGACGCACGGTGCCTGCTGGATGGATCAACCACGAACCCCGCTCCGATGTGGCAAACGGCAGCAGCGCATGCAAAAAGGACTTTGACCACTGATACGACGAAAGCACACAGTATACCCAACATTTACGGCCGCAAACAATGCATTATTATAATCGCGCGGTAACATCTACGGGTATGGCATAATAATTATCAGGTACGAAAAACGTTTCAGTGTGTTCTTCTCGCGGCACGTTCTTAATGCCATGACTGTGTTATGGCCTTATAGGCGAATACGCATACTTATACACTGTCAGCAGAATGATCGGATGCAGATTGGCAAATCTGCCACATTTGCATACGGGGTTGTAGAGTCTAAAATACGTACAAGCGCTGTCAAAACGCAAGCATAAACACCGTAGTAACATTACTTATCAGTTATCCGTGGTGATTTTGTATACAGTTTTTAAGTGGTTTATTTTCGAATTCCGGCACAGTAGCCGGCTCGCAGCACAGTACATACAGTACGAGTAAGTGTATTCGCATTGCACTAATGTAAAGTTAACCAAAAATAATGTCTGGCAAGCGGGCATTGCTGTATTGTGATGGTGTGACCTGATTGACAGAAAAGTATATGTACAAGTAACAGCTACAAACGTTTTTTGATTATTTTTTCAATAAACCAAAAAACAATAAGACTACAGAAATAGGCAAGCGGACTTTGTTACTTACAAATGTACCGTAATCATGCAGTGGACTTACTGGTTATCTCTCTAACAAATTCAGTTTTCAAAATCGTCAGTAATATATATTCTGAGGAAGTGGTGCTGACTACACTGATGCTACGATGATGCGATCCAGATTAGAAATAAACAGAAAATCGACATGGACTTTGATTTTTCAGTTTTTGTAAAGGTCAGTATATCTGTAGAGTTTACAGTACAGTACTCATAAATAATGATCATGATGAAGCCCATAACAAAGAATAAAAAAGCAAAGCAGGGTGTTTCGCCAGAAGTAATAGAACTGAACACCCGAATGTGGCTGAGCTCGACACGCAATCGAAACTGCCTCCTGCATGATCACGTGTTGCAATCTGACTACCGTATTTTGTACACTGTTTTTATCTGTTTTGCGTACCGTACCGCTCTACGGCACATTTTTGATATTACCACTTTTGCTTAAATTTTACCAAATTTTCCATAAGAATAACGAAAGATTAAAAGCATTTGCGCCATTCTGTGGGCGCTTTAATTACAGTATTCCAATCAGGATTTCATCTGTTGTTCAGTTCTTGTTATTTATTTTTCGATTCTTCAAATGAGTTGTTCAAAATCTGGAACTTGATTCTCTACGACTCGAAAATGGTGAAGCAATTGTGATTTGCTGGCTCCTCTCGAATTTCGATCGTGCCTTTTTCGCACTTGATGTTATCCAGTTAGCGCTCCGACTGTACTTCAGTTAGTTTTGGGAACACCAGTACCATCCATAATGGGATCTGCCGAAGATCCAGACAGGTTTAAAAACTTATACGGACAAGCGCAAAATTGGACTCTGGCCAACGATACGAGTTTGTTTCAGTGCCTCGAAGGTTTGCATTGTTTTGATTTACTTGGATTATAACGAAACTAGTCGCGTATCATGTATTTTCGCTATTTTGACTTGCGTGAACTGTCTGTTTCCGAAGCAGTTTTATGATTTTAATCTGCTTAAAGATTTCTCACGGCGCATTGTCGCGCGCACGGAATCGACCGAGCAGCGGTTGCGCGATGCCGTTCAAGAATGCCAGACAAGCCGTGTCCGACTGCAGACGTGCCTGAATGCCTTCAACATGCTTTCCAACACGCAGTTCATGGAGAGCCGAGTTCGCGACGAGGAAAACCAGCCTGTTAAAAAGCCGGAGGAGAAATCGGTGGCGGATACCGCGAAAGAACAAGAAACACCCGAAAACAGGCGACTGACCGAGGTGAGTATAGAAATTTTATTGGAGGCAGTTTTTGGAGGTTTTTGTTGGAGGTATTCGAATTTACTTTGAATTACTGCTTTGTTCGTGATTTTCTTGCGAAATTTCGTTTTGACAGTGCTTTTTATTTTTTAATTTTGTCGTATTTTTTGTTCGTTGAATTTTGTGATTTGTTTCTGGCTTTTGTTCACAGCGTAATTGTCTGTGAAATGTTTTTTCAGCTGCGGGAAGCCGTCTCGTTAACCAAAAATGTGCTCAATTCATACTTCGATTCCGTTGAGGTGAATATTGACGACAGCGACGAAGAAGAGACATCCACCAGCAAGCGAAGCTTTCGCGAACCCAAAGATCCATATTTACGCCGAGCGTTGCCTTATTTAATTGGTTCTGCGGAGTTCAATCGCGATCGCTACATCGGCTTGAAATTGCAAGTGGAAGAGCAGGAAATTGTGCCGGACGAGGATATCGTCTTGACGGCCAAGCTGGACGATGTTTTGGTGCCTGCGCAGAGTGTGATAGATGCGGAGCGTGCTGCTTCGCGGAGTTTTAACAATTCCGGTCGTGATACACCGCAGTCCAGTGAAGATGTTAGAAATGCGGATTATGTGCCCACCAAGCTTCCTACCATTCCCCGGAGAGACACCACGCTGGTCAGCAGTAGTGAATCGGAAAATGAGGATGATATTTTTGCTGCCCGTCCGATTGGACCAGCGAAGACCTCGCCGGCACGACCAGGTCGGTAACATAAACTTATTAATACGATTAAATTCCTGTTATTCTGCAACAGAGGTTTGGTTTGATAAAACCTCGGGTTGTATTTAGTTGTTGGTTAAAACTTAAACTGCTTACTTATTATGACAGAGTTTTCTTGAGAATACAATACGTTGAAGCGTTTACTAATAAAATAACTATTGTGTTTGCAGTAAATGTTTCGGATTATTATTTATGTTTTTGTTTGAAAGCTGAAAGCGCTGTTTCTGAAGAATTGCTAATCGTTGGAGTGAATCAGTTTGACGTTAATCGCTTAAAAGCTAGTGCGGATCCAGTGTATATTTTTGTATGCTAGGTCCGCCATCCCGTCCACCGGAAAACGATACGCCTTCATTTACACCTCGCTCGTCTTCCCAGAGCAGCATTCACAGTGTTGCGCCTTCTAAACCGGTTACCTCGCTGTTTGACGCCGAAGACGAAGATGATTTATTCTCCGTTCCTAATCCGTCTGTGAAGTCAAGAGGAGAGAAATCCTCCGACATTCCAACACCAAAACCAACAGCTGCAGCCAGGCCTCCCAAATCAGCGACCTTATTTGAGGATGACCGCACTGAAGAAAATGATAGCGTTTTCGCCACTCCGAAACCATCGGAAACGGCAAATCCATTTTTGTCAGAATTATCAAAAAAGATCGGTATTCCCGCTCCTGTTCAAGGTATGCTGAATGCTAATAAATATACCAGATTGGCTGTCAGTGCATTGATTTCTGGTTTAGGTGGAAAGCCTCTAGCTTCGAAAATTGTGGAACCAGCGGAATCTGAACCTTTGCCTCCAACTGTGGTACCGACACGTACCGTTAAGCCGACCAAAAAGCCGTCACTGTTTGATGACGACGATGGCGACGATGATTTGTTCGCTATTGCTCCTAAGCCTACTAATCGCACCGTTCAAAAACCTATAGCAGAGGAAAAAGAAATAGTGGCTAGCAAGCCGAACCTGCCTGCTGTTGTGCCGGAAAGTGCGCTTGAAACTGCCAAGAAAAGCGTTTCTACCAAAAAAGGGAAGCCTTCGATTTTCGATGACGAGGAGGAAGATGATGATTTGGGAGTGTTAGTGAATTTTTTATCATGATTAATAAGTTATAGCTTGCAAGAATGTCATTCGGTTTTCTGCTCCGCGGCATTTCGGTTTACACTACGCTTGTTGTGTGAAACAATTGTTCTGAGAAAACTAATTATTGACTGCGAAAAGAGACGTTTATTTAAGCCAACTGTTTTACTATACGTTGTCAGCTTATTAATTCTCTTTCCAGTTTTACTCCGGCTAAGAAGAATACGGAAAAGCAGAAATTAGAAGAGAAGTCATCAGCCAGAACCGCCAAAGATGCACAAAAAGTTCAAGGAGTTTTTGAAAGCTCCGAGGATGACGACTTATTCGCCACTAATAAAAAATGGAAACTACCCGGTTTGGATAATGGCCCTCTAACCCCATCCTCAAAAGAAGAGCCAGTACTGCCCGCACCGCCATCAAAGACTCCCGCACCCGCAACACAACCTCCGCCAGTGAAACCTAGCGCGATCAAAGGCTCTAATATTTTTGACGAAGATAGCGAGAGCGAGGATTTGTTTGCCGTTGCCGCGAAATCCAAGCCGATTGTTCAAACACCGCCGTCAGAGAAGAAAGTGGAAAGTGTTGTTGAACAGCCATCGAAAGAACTTCAGCCTATGCCGGAACCAGCAGAGAAAATAACCAGTCCTCGCCGGAAAGGTGTGGAAAAATGGCAACTGCCCGGTCTTGGTCTTCCGACTGAATCCAAACCGAAGCAAGAAGACATCAAACCTGTGGATTACCTTGCCGATCCCCGAAAATTTGCCAGCTCTGATGATCAGTTTATTGATATTCCTGCTACGAAAACGCATAGTGTTATTTCTGAGACTGCAGAACCTGTTGGAAGCGACAGTGGAACAGTAATAAACAATCCCCTTGATAAACAATCAGCTGCGGACGGAGCGAGCGCCACAAAGACGTTAGAAGAGATTAAAGCAAAGCCTTCCGGGTTGAAATCAAAGTCCCTGTTTGACGAAGGAGAGGAAGAAGACGATCTTTTTGCCAAGAAGGTCGAAGCTCCACCTAAGAAAGCTGATACAAGTGTGAAGAAATGGAAGCTGCCGGATCTTGCTCCTCAGAATGTGGAATCGAGTCCGGTGGTTGCTCCCGCAGAGCCAGTGGATACGGAACATATGACGCCTAGGACTGCCGCTTCTCCCAGAGGATTCGAACGTCAGCTCGGAAATCAACAGAACACCGACGATGCTGTTGTCACACCAGCGGTTATCGAGAAGGTAGACAATTTGAATAAATTAAAATCTACATCCAGGTCTTTGGATGCCGATATCGATGACACCGATTTTGTCGAGCCAAAACTGGAGCCGGCGCCGAAAACCGCACCAGCCAAATTGTACCAGCCCATGAAATGGAAATTGCCGGGATTGACTAGTAGTCCAGTGTTGCCTTCCGTTGAAGAAACGAATGATATGCCTTCGGATACGGCTTCCGTCACCGAGATCGTTCAGTCGCCGCCAGCTACCCCGAAACCAGTGCCTCGTCGGCGTGGTATCAAAACGTCGGGAGAAGCCGGTCAAGATGAGGAGAAACATCGCTCTGCAACACCGCCTGGTGTGGCCGATAATGCTGTGAAGGTGAAAACGGAAGAGCACAACGTTAGCGATCGAAAGGAAGGAACTACTATCCCAATGATACCTGAGATGACGATTGATACGATGGCTGAAGTAAAGTCTAGTGAACCACCGAAGCCACCAGTGGCTGCTAGACGGAGTGCAAAAACCGCTTCGGTACGTTTCGATTTTGCCGTGCGCATGCTGCAGTCAGACGATTTTATTCACAAGTAGAAATTTTATTTTCTGACATTTTTGAATTTGTAGCCGCCAACTACGGTTATTAGCGAAAGAGGCGAGGAACGTAAAGTGAACGAGGAAGGAAGAACTACGGACAAACCAGTGGAGTCTTCAGCCAAGGCTGTAGAGCATCCTTTACCGGTAGACGTAAAGACCGAAATGAAATTACCAGAGCTGGACGAAATTCTTCCACCTTTGCCTAAGCTTCCTAGCCTTATTAAAGCGGAGCTACCTGTATTACCAAAAGAGTCTGATATCGACCCGCTGCAGTCGGTGGCAGCACCCGTACAGGAGCCTGCTATCCAGAAACCATCGCCACCGAAATCTTCACCGGCTGTATTAAGTTTTGCAATGCCGGAAAGAGATTCCCAGTTGTTCGCCACTCCCGAACCACCCCCGCTGTCAACCTCATCCTCTTTCAGCGGCTCTCTGACTTCCTTGAAAGAACGCGGTGGATCGCTGTTTTTGGATGAAGATTCGGAGGAGGATTTGTTTGGCAAGTCGAATCCAGTCAAACAAATGCCGGTAGCCAAGGTATCCAGCGCTAAAAGTGAAAAAACCGGCGTTTCTGTCAATCTTCTGAATCCCCTTGGGAGCGGGGAAGGAGATGTGTCATCCGTGCCCAGGCCTGCTAAAAAGACCGTGTTCGATAAAGAAACGAAAAAGAAACCGGCGTTATTTGACAGCGATGAGGAGGATTTGTTCGAGTCAACTGCTAGTGCGGCTAAAGCGGTGCAGCAGACCTTAGCCAGCCAGACGGCAGGTGTCGGCATGGGTAACAAAGGAGACGTGAAAAAGAGCACAAAGCCATCACTGTTTGATGACGATGATGATGATTTGTTCAAGAACTGAATGCAGACTTTAACTTAAAGGCTAGGAAGGAAGGCACGTGTACGGTGATATCTTGGGAGGTGTTCTGTGATTTTAGTTGTCCATTGTTTTCATGCCGATGGTCGATATTGTGAGCCACCCGATAATTCCCAGATTTTTTTAAAGTGATTTTTCATGGAAATTCCGTATGGGTAAAACTTACACCATTATTAACATGATAATTTATTTTTGATTTGTTATCAGTGTTGTTTTCACTGTAAGTGACTGATTCAATCCATGTATTGTGGCATAACTCCATAAATTTGACACCGATCAATACAATAGACTGATCACCTTCTAACTAGAGCAGACTAGCAAAGTTATGGCTTTTGGAGTTTCGGTTTCGAAAAAGGGAACACATTGATAAGTAAAATTGTTTCAATAATCACGTTGCAACTGCCGTAGAACTGTAAGTACTCGCAGAGCAATCATGATGTTTTATTAAAGAATAAATGTTTAGACTATAATTATGATCATGTATGATATCGTACGTAAACATTTAACTGCTCTTGTTAAGTGCCCTTGGCTATGTACTGGACTAAATGTGAATGACCGAAAAAATGGTATGGAAAATGGACCACGATTGTAACAGTTATGCTTTTATGATATTATGCAGTAGTTGTATTGCACACGCCGGTTCCGAACTTCCGATACGTTTCCGTGACTCGCGCACTGCGATTTTGTTGAGCAGCAAAAGTGTGCGATAACACCAAAAGCAAAGAGATATTAATCGATTGACATACAAAGTAACAAAACTCATCGCAATTAACAACCGCTAATTCGTTTAGATCCTGATCGTTATTGTATAATGGGCATTATGAGAAGCCTCATAGCGCTACCGCTATTGTTGATCGTCTTAATCATTTCCATAAAACACTGTTATGCATACGGTTATGGCGGAGGTGGGCCATCGTATGGCGGCGGATACGGAGGTGGCTCTGCCTACGGGAGCGGATACAGCGGATATCCTGCCTTTCCAGCCATTCCTTACGGAACTATACCGCAACAGTGGTGGGGTCAACCAATTTGTAAGTGTGCATGTTAATTGTACGAAGGTTGTAATCGTATTTTACCTTTTAATAATTGCACTGCAATAGTTCAGTCTGCTGTGCTCCTGTGTTACGTGGGAAAACGTCATAAATATATAGATATAATTAGTAATTTTAATATTGAACCCTTAATGGCTTTTCACCTCATCTTTTTGACTGTATGGGAATGCATTCTGGATAGATCTTGACAAGAAAGCGCCATCGGCTACATCTCGGAAAAATTCACTTTTTTTGCAATAAAAGGATGTAATAATGTTGTTTGTAGAGAAAGCATGGTCAGTATTTCCAGCAAGGTGGATAGGGTAAACCCTATCCACCTTGTTTCCAGTATTGACTAATATCAAACGTGTTTTTAATGACCGCACTGCAACACAAAACTAACGATAAGTGTAAAAATGTTGTAAATGTTGTATATATGTAAGTATCAGCAATGGACAAGCGATGGAATTGCAGGGAGTTCCAGATTTAGATGCGTTGTACGGTATTTCCTTCGTATTTCGCATTAGTCAGCTGGAAGTACAATACCGACTGTTCGTGCATTTAATGAGTCAAGTCGGTGGTGCGCACTACAGCTCTTGCTGACTGTAAGCGCTGAATTTTCACTAACAATATATTACATAATGGCCGTTTGTCGTGTCAGTTTTACTACAGACTAAATGATTATATTATGGAGGATTGCCAGTTTTCGGTTGGTGTTGATTTTTTGAATATGTAGTTACAATAAACAAATCCAGTACGTATTACGAAAATGAAATGACGATCGAAGTTTAGCATTACATCAACTTTTTGAACTTTTAGGGAAAAGTTTTCAGAAGTACTATTTTAGAACAAACTGTAATGCTACGTTCACTTAGCGTAATGTGCTTCTACGAGAAATAATCAATTACTGATACGCACGACGGCCGGTACGAGTATACAGAAGTCACTATGTTTTGTACACCTCCTTATTGTTAATAACAGATGTCAGTTGCACAGTTATTAAGTAAGTATTTAAATATTAAGTATGGGTGCAGTTTATTGATTGCGCCGAAATTTACGCGGAAATTAACGTATATGCGGAAACAAAACAAAAACGCACAAAATTGTGGCATTTCACTGCTTCTTTAACTATGAGAGTTTTTGATTATAAAAACGGTATCAAGCTAAAAATATTCAAGCAGCAGCAGTTTACTAGTACTCTAGGGTTTATTTACTTCTATTTGCTATTGTAATAATTTACTGTAACAGAATGCGTTACTTGCGGCTGTCAGTAATCTATCTACCACAACTAAACAACTTGACTAATTTTTATTTTAACGTTTCCTGCAGACCTTCCTAAACCACCAATTTATGGCGCTACTCAAGCGGGAATCCAGCAGCAATCTTACAATGATTTCGCATGGGATTATTTCTATGATGTTCCTACTACATCAGCACCGGCGCCGGCTGATAAGAAGTCATAGCTAGGAAATAAGCGGTGATATTTGATATAAAAAGAAAATTTGCTAATATACCCAGAGTTTTGTTAGAATGTGAATGGTTTGTTTTGAGCTGGAATAATCCAGTAGGTGTTTACTGATATTCGTACAATGTAGATTACATACAGCTTCCACAGTGCACTTTTTCTAAGTGTTTGCTTTTATTCCGAAGAACGTTTCTCATTTTCAGAGTTCGGAAATGTTCACGTTTCAGGTTCATTTTAATTGATTCGATATCGTAGTGTGACAGGAAGCAAGATCAATCTTAGAGACCACCCTCATTCCCCAATAATAAAAGCGCTTTTAGAAATCTGGTTACAACAGAATGTGGTATTTATGCATAAGTTGTCTCCACAATATATAAACTCTTTTGTGCATATTATTGCATCACTCCAAAAAATGCATCGTCGACGATTTAACTGGTTTCTGGACATCCAACAAGGGTTTTATAAAGCGGTACAAAATTCTCACCGTTCTGGGCTTGCCACTGTAATATGAAGAAAATAGTCAAGTGAAAGTAGATGCGCTATCTGTATAGTCGCATCGGTACGAATAATGCTTACATTAAGATGGAGCTGTCCTGATGTAGCCGAAAGACCATTCTCATTTTCTAGGCCGGCAATTCCAACGAATGGTGTACCGGCACCATTTGCACCAAACACAGCCAGATACTGGCCAGACCCATCGTTAAAGGTATCCAAAGCAGTGGCTTCAACAATTGTTGACTGTCCATCAATCAAGGATACTGACTGGTCAGGATGATTTGTGCCGTCATTCAGCATGATATTTTTTCCGGTTCCTATTGTATTAAAACAATCCTGAACATCTTGGTCCGCTTTCGGTAATGGTGTATGAGCTAGGACTTACCATCGCTAACAAAATAGTATATACTGAATGTGGAGCCATCTGTCCATGCCGAAAAGTCTGAAGTATTCGTCATATCCACTTTGACCAATTCGTCACAGAAAGGTTTGGTGTTGTCGGCATTGAGCGGTTCCACGCACTTCACGGCATTTCCGTCCTTATCCTACAGAAAAGTGATTTTTTTGTATTGGTACAAGCAGTAACGAGCGATTACGAGTGGACAGGCACGACGAAACGTGTTTCAAGTGCAAAAATAAACGGCAATGGGCAACTTCAACGTACATATACAAGCTCGAACTCTGGTTTGCCACTTTGATCCAGCACCACTTTAGTTGTTATAACGGATTTTCCTGCCAATACAGGGGCATATGGTCCAGCAAACAGCTGATCAGTGGGCATAGGACCAAGCGTAGGTGTAAGCGTAGGACCGGTTTCACCCGAGGGGCTAAACGTTCCTTTCAGGGCGCAGCCATTATCTGTAAGCAAAAACAGTCCATGTAAAACTTGCATCAGATCATTCGAGAAGCAAAAAAACATGGCTCACTGCTTTCCAAAATCAATACTTTCATAAGTACGAGTAATCAGCAAAACAGGCGATCTACCGCTCCATTACCACCATGAATGAGGTTAAAAACTCACCATCAAACAGGTAATAATTCAGATCACCCTGAGAAAACAATCCAGCACCCATGGATGCCGTCGGACTCTTCTTGCAGAAATCAGCCAGCTTGCACTCATTAGGAGCCGATGTTGCTTGTGACGAACATTTATCGCCGAATATTTGGCTCCATGGAGTGGGTGGAATGGTCCACTAAATGGGAAACACGAATTTAGTGCTACAGTTCACACGATAGTTTCGTTCGTCATAGGGCAACCGCACCTCGAGCGTAACATCTTTATAGCTGGTTGACGAAAGCGGGGTAACGGCCGGGCTCGGATCGGGTTTAACCAATCCGTAATAAGGCACATTGTTGGTATCCAAACCGAAAACGTAAAGATAATGCTCCTGACTAGTCTGATCGTACACATGCTGTAGTCCTTTCACTCTCTGGATAGTAGACTGATTTGTAGCGATGCTGATGGTGGTTGAAATAGTGGACCCATCGGTGAAAAGCAATGTCTTTCCGTCACCTGGGAAGTCAACAAAGAGCAGACTTATTACCACATTACATGTGGGCCCAATGAAATCGCGCCTGCCAGAACGCAATAAATGCAATGAAAACAACTGACGCAGCACATACTCGAAGCCGCTACATAGACCGCTCCATAGTTAACAGGTTCCATCCAACTGGAGTATGCCGATAGGGATGAATCAAGTGCGACTGCCTTAGCGCCAGGTTTACATGTGTATGGAGCTGAAAGGGTTGCCCCGCAGCTTTCAAGGCTAGTACCCTGTAAGCGCATAAACATTCAAGTTCCAAGCGCCATTTTACTTTGTGATTTATTAAATACGCTTTAGAAAGCAAAATCCGACAACTGTAAAAGCTTCCTTACATCGGACAGAACCATGTCAGCCTCTGGATCATTTATAAAAGCTCTCGTTACACTGGTCAGTGATGTTGTAAACACGGAGCTGATTAATGCAGGATCGCCAGAAGGTGTAAGTGTTCCGGCACCATTCTTGCTCCAGACGGAAAGTGGCAGGACACAAGAACCTAAATATTTTACCACTGAAACATAACAGCGAACAAATAAGTATTACCAAGGTACCCACCAGAGAACAAGTAAAAACCCGATTGATCGAACACTTGTCCTCCTGAAGAATCAGGGCCTACTGCAGAATCCGGCAAAGCAGAGCAGAACATCTCCAGATTGCACGGGTTAGTTGTTGTACTAGTAGATGTCGTAGTGGTAGTAGAATCCGTAGTGCTGTCAGTTGTACTATCATCAACTGAATTAACGGCACTAAGTGTGGGAACAGTTAGCGAAGATGTCGTATCGCTTGTCGTGTCCGTCGTTGTGGAGGTTGTAGTCGGCGTTGTTGTATCCGTGGTAGTCGACGTAGTTGTTTCTGTGGTTGTAGTGTCCGTCGTTGTAGGTGTTGTAGTGTCCGTCGTGGTGGATGTTGTAGTTGGCGTTGTTATGTCCGTGGTAGTCGGCGTAGTTGTTTCTGTGGTTGTAGTGTCCGTTGTTGTGGACGTTGTAGTTGGCGTTGTTGTATCGGTGGTAGTCGACGTAGTTGTTTCGGTCGTTGTAGTGCCCGTCGTTGTGGACGTTGTAGTTGGCGTTGTTGTGTCCGTGGTAGTCGGCGTAGTTGTTTCTGTGGTTGTAGTGTCCGTCGTTGTAGGTGTTGTAGTGTCCGTCGTGGTGGACGTTGTAGTTGGCGTTGTTGTATCGGTGGTAGTCGACGTAGTTGTTTCCGTCGTTGTAGTGTCCGTCGTTGCGGACGTTGTAGTTGGCGTTGTTGTGTCTGTGGTAGTCGGCGTAGTTGTTTCTGTGGTTGTAGTGTCTGTCGTTGTAGGGATTGTAGTGTCCGTCGTTGTGGACGTTGTAGTTGGCGTTGTTGTGTCCGTGGTGGTCGGCGTAGTTGTTTCTGTGGTTGTAGTGTCCGTTGTTGTGGACGTTGTAGTTGGCGTTGTTGTGTCCGTGGTGGTCGGCGTAGTTGTTTCTGTGGTTGTAGTGTCCGTTGTTGTGGACGTTGTAGTTGGCGTTGTTGTATCGGTGGTAGTCGACGTAGTTGTTTCCGTCGTTGTAGTGTCCGTCGTTGTGGACGTTGTAGTTGGCGTTGTTGTGTCTGTGGTAGTCGGCGTAGTTGTTTCTGTGGTTGTAGTGTCTGTCGTTGTAGGGGTTGTAGTGTCCGTCGTTGTGGACGTTGTAGTTGGCGTTGTTGTGTCCGTGGTAGTCGGCGTAGTTGTTTCTGTGGTTGTAGTGTCCGTTGTTGTGGACGTTGTAGTTGGCGTTGTTGTATCGGTGGTAGTCGACGTAGTTGTTTCCGTCGTTGTAGTGTCCGTCGTTGTGGACGTTGTAGTTGGCGTTGTTGTGTCCGTGGTGGTCGGCGTAGTTGTTTCTGTGGTTGTAATGTCCGTCGTTGTGGACGTTGTAGTTGGCGTTGTTGTATCGGTGGCTGTCGACGTAGTTGTTTCTGTGGTTGTAGTGTCCGTTGTTGTGGACGTTGTAGTTGGCGTTGTTGTATCGGTGGTAGTCGACGTAGTTGTTTCCGTCGTTGTAGTGTCCGTCGTTGTGGACGTTGTAGTTGGCGTTGTTGTGTCTGTGGTAGTCGGTGTAGTTGTTTCTGTGGTTGTAGTGTCTGTCGTTGTAGGGGTTGTAGTGTCCGTCGTTGTGGACGTTGTAGTTGGTGTTGTTGTGTCCGTGGTAGTCGGCGTAGTTGTTTCTGTGGTTGTAGTGTCGGTCGTTGTAGACGTTGTAGTTGGCGTTGTTGTATCGGTGGTAGTCGAGGTAGTTGTTTCGGTCGTTGTAGTGTCCGTCGTTGTGGACGTTGTAGTTGGCGTTGTTGTGTCCGTGGTAGTCGGCGTAGTTGTTTCTGTGGTTGTAGTGTCCGTCGTTGTGGACGTTGTAGTTGGTGTTGTTGTGTCCGTGGTAGTCGGCGTAGTTGTTTCTGTGGTTGTAGTGTCCGTCGTTGTGGACGTTGTAGTTGGCGTTGTTGTGTCCGTCGTAGTCGTACTGCAGAAAACCGCTAAATCTACAATCTTTTCCTTTGTACGAGGATTTAGCGGAAGCGACTAGAGAAATTTGATAAGCTACTGCGGCTTTTCATGTTTATTATTTAACTGCTCTACTTTATCCATTTATGCGCGTCCAGCAAAATTTTCGCCCTTTGTGAATAAGGTTGGTCGTTATTCGTGCGTTTTATAGTTTTATGATATCATTTCTTGGAACTAAAACAGAAAGGCGCAGAAGATTTGCGTGAAAACTATCTTGAAGCAACTAAATTTTAAATGAAGAAAGGCAAATATAAACAGGAAACATCAGCTTTTAGCGGTTTAAGAAACCAGTAACGATAACATTTTTATTTGATTAATGAGTAAACCAAGAGATGAGCATTTAAAGTCACTACGAAAAACAGGATTATGGCTATTAAGCCAAATGATTACGAAGCTATTTTATCGCACTAAAATATAAAGTTACCGGGTGGCCCAACAAAATGGCGGCCTCGTTTATTATGGTGCACTGGCCCCGCCCAACGTCCGATGGACTTCATAAAAGTTTCATTCGGAAGAACAATGTTCGGAGCATAGAATTATTTAATCATATTAACCATATACAAAGTTTTAACTTTTTAATGAATTATTTTAATAAAATAGGTGGATTTTGACGGTGTCCCAGAACCGAAAATTTGGATTTTTCCATTAGCGAATTAAAAATTGCTATTGTTTAGCTTAGTAGATTAAAATTTGTCAATTTAGTATTCCAAGTAGAGGGATTGTTCCTTGTTTTTTTTTAACGTAAAGAGATACGGTATTCTGGTCAGCGTGTTCGGTCCAGAAACTGGAGCGCTGGAACGCCGCAGATTTAATTTTCGTGAAAACCTCCAGCAGTTTTTTCGAAAATCAATTTCTCACCAACGCTCAAAGAGAGTATCTGAATCACACTTGCTTCAATAAAGGCAACACCTTAGCTACATTTAATAACTAAATTGACATATTTTGCTGAAGCCTGTCCGGCAGTAAAAAATGTTAATAAAAAAAAGCAAAAATTAAACAGAAAAACTGCATTTTTTCAAAAAGTGAATCTAGTGCATTGCTCCCCCATTGTGTGCTCCATGGAAACCGTATTTTTTTTGTTGAAAGGAAACGCTCTTTGCTATATGAAACACTAAAGAAACTGAAATAGTTTGTATAGATCATAAAGGAGACAAAATTCTTTAGTCCAAAAGCTGGGTCACTTTACATTTCCGAACAACTTCAGTTTTCACAACTTTTCACGAGCGTGTCATAACTTTTCAAAAAACTGTTTTTTGATTTTAGTAGCTAATATAATTTGTAATCAACAGAATCTAAAACGGGTATGGCACCACAAGCGGTTCAAGAGCAGTGAAACAAAAACGGAGACCGCCATTTTTTTGGGCCACCCGGTATATGCATAAAATTATTATAAAAAAACACTACCGATAACAACAGGAGAAAAATAAGGTAATTATTAAAGCTAATACCCAACTCAAGTACTCGTGGTCAATACCCAACTCAAGTACTCAAGTACTCGTGCTCATTTTGTTGGAACTATACAGTACTAGAATGAGCAAAAACAGGGACCGCTTTTTACGAATTTTCATTGTAAGTGGCAATCGATTATCAACTTTTCCCTGTAACATTTTTCTTCCTAATTTCCATAAATTTAGTTTTTTTTGTTATATGCTTTGCAGGTACATGTTTCCTAACTCTTGAAACGAACCTACAAAAAATTTTTCGGCGAAAAAAGAGATCATCTACCCATAAAAACATGCCGGTCAGCACTCCCTGTGACCATGATGCTTTTGGCTGCTAGCCTAAGACCGGCTGGCGCTAGGCCAGCATGTGCTCAACGATTTTTCTCACTGCTCCGACTAATCCACTACCCCCTTGGAGCTAAGCGCGTTATGTCAGACTCCCAACCCGTTCTCGACTGCCTACTCTTTCCTGCGTGCAAAAACCGGGGGCTTTGCTATTTTTCAAAACATTCCATTCGGCCGACCGCACTCAGAAACACAATCTTAATGTTACAAGTCCCGTCGCCGCTAATTTACCTGCCGGTACTGGTGGTCGTGTCCGTGGACGTGGACGTTGTGTCAGTACTGGTGGTCGTGTCCGTGGACGTCGATGTCGTGTCAGTGGTAGTATCCGTACTGGACACTGTAGACGTGCTGGTATCGGTGCTAGTGTCCGTCGACGTACTGGCGGTGCTTGTCGTCGTGTCAGTTGTGGTAGTGTCCGTTGTCGTATCAGTACTGGTCGCGGTTGTTGTCGTGTCTGTCGTGGTGGGAGTGGTTGTTGTGTCGGTAGTGCTGCAGCAAAGATAGAACATGCCGGTCAGCACTCCCTGTGACCATGATGCTTTTGGCTGCTAGCCTAAGACCGGCTGCCGCTAGGCCAGCATGTGCTCAACGATTTTTCTCACTGCTCCGACTAATCCACTACCCCCTTGGAGCTAAGCGCGTTATGTCAGACTCCCAACCCTTTCTCGACTGCCTACCCTTTCCTGCGTGCAAAAACCGGGGGCTTTGCTATTCTCCAAAACATTCCATTCGGCCGACCGCACTCAGAAACACAATCTCAATGTTACAAGTCCCGTCGCCGCTAAGTTACCTGTCAGTACTGGTGGTCGTGTCCGTGGACGTGGACGTTGTGGCAATACTGGTGGTCGTGTCCGTGGACGTCGATGTCGTGTCAGTGGTAGTATCCGTACTGGACACTGTAGACGTGCTGGTATCGGTGCTAGTGTCCGTCGACGTACTGGCGGTGCTTGTCGTCGTGTCAGTTGTGGTAGTGTCCGTTGTCGTATCAGTACTGGTCGCGGTTGTTGTCGTGTCTGTCGTAATGGGAGTGGTTGTTGTGTCGGTAGTGCTGCAGCAAAGATAGAACATGCCGGTCAGCACTCCCTGTGGTCATGATGCTTTTGGCTGCTAGCCTAAGACCGGCTGGCGCTAGGCCAGCATGTGCTCAACGATTTTTCTCACTGCTCCGACTATTCCACTACCCCCTTGGAGCTAAGCGCGTCATGTCAGACTCCCAACCCGTTCTCGACTGCCTACTCTTTCCTGCGTGCAAAAACCGGAAGCTTTGCTATTCTCCAAAACATTCCATTCGGCCGACCGCACTCAGAAACACAATCTCAATGTTACAAGTCCCGTCGCCGCTAAGTTACCTGTCAGTACTGGTGGTCGTGTCCGTGGACGTGGACGTTGTGTCAGTACTGGTGGTCGTGTCCGTGGACGT